ATATCACTCAAACTCCAACGGGCTTATTCTGTTGGAGTTTATCAGGTTTGGTACAGTGACCTGCATTTACAAGTACATAGACAAGTACATGAACCTGTTGGATTTTGTGAGGTTTCTAGTGCAGGAGCCTAGGGGGTTAGCTAGGGGGCTTGCTATCTTTGAACCTTCAACCAACATGCCAGAGCCAGAGGATGTACTTCGTGGTTGAGTCACTTTTCCTGGTTCATGCTAAGAGAAAGTTAATTTCTTTACATCTATTTGTTTCCCATTTTGATTTATTTCCATGGTCTTGACATAGAGTTTGCTATATTTTTTATTTATTTTAAAATGTTCTTGGATTTTGTTCAGATGATGAAGAGAAAGCCAGTAAAACTGGATCAGTGACTGATGGTAGTCAAAGCGGTCAGCAGAATGGTCGATCACAGAATGCTATCCCAGGTAGGAAATTATGCAATGAGGCAGGTATTGTCAGTCCAAGTTATGTCTTTGGAGGAAGGTTAATGTGCCCTCAGTTTACAACTAACAGAGATTTATTTATGTGTTACAAGCCCAAACTGTGCAGGAAGTATATTTATAATGGTGCTCATGAAGGAATTTATCTTAGCAGGCTTATTGATGATGACTTGGACTTGTACTTTACATCATTTAATGCCAAGTAATGAAAGAAATGATTGTCAATGAGATGATTCAGATTTTACATGTAAATCTGATGGATCTTCTGTTTGTTGGTTTTGATGAGTTTGTTTATTTGTTTGTTTGATTTCTTTACAGAGGAGAAGCGGGCCTACACAATTGTTGAACTGGAAAAGAGACCAGGAGTTGGCTTTGGGCTGACAGTGTCAGGTAAGATTGGTTGAGTAGACCTACTTGTAAAACATAATGACATCACACTTGGTATACATGTGTATTTACCTTTGGGGACTCAATGGCCAGCGTTCATCTCCACCTCATTGCCATAAGAAAGTGCATGTTAGTAAAATAGGATGTGATTATGTTACAGGTCTATTGCATCAAAAGTTTCCATTCCATAAATGACCTGACAGCAACTATTTCACGACCTGATTGAACTACATGTATTTCTGCAGCTCTTGTGTCGTGTATCCTGTCGACATGTACAAATCACTGAAACATTGGGTATTAGACCACTCATTCAACTCTGCCGTCACATAGGGGTACCTTAGTCCTAACTTTGACCTTTGGGGAAGGGAATTGAAATTGTGAAACGTTAACGTACATTGTTTAATGTTTTGTTATACATGTATTTCTATAATACATGTTACATATGTATGTATTCAGAATTATGAACTGGCCGTTGTGGTTGTACAAACCTTGTATAACAAGATACATGTACACAGGTTGACAGAGCATGGGCCATCATTGCTCTGAAGTTATTTGGTTCCATGTCAAGTGGCCAAAGAAGGGAAATGATGCTAAAATTGGTGACACTCAAATTTAAGAAAATGATAACATGCCATTAATTAAGCAGATGTCATTGGGTTTGCAAAATGTGGTCACTTTAAACATAGCAGAAGGTTTCGAGAAATTGTTGGTATTTTTGAAGATACACCCTACAGGTCACAGTATGAGAGTTGATGCCCCTTAAAAGGCCAAGAACAAAGCATTTGCTGTTCTTGCTTTACACATGCATGTAGTGGAGGATCGGGAAAGTTACCAGCCAAATGCCCAAGGAGAGTTAGCATAAGGTTTCAGTATAAAGAGTGTTCAGAGGAAAGTTGAATTAAACAGGAGATGTTTTGATCGTGCTATGGATAGTCATAGGTTCAGTATCGATACAGACCATATGCTACATGTAACTGGTTACAAAGTTGTGTGTTTTGTTAACGGGGCTCTGACTTCTAACAGACAAAAGGCCAGCATAACCGTGTATTTATTACTTGAAATATGTAATATTATGTATAAAATCAGATTGCTAATTTCCTGTATAATGTGATAATCATAGTGAGGCGGACAAGTTGAGGTCAGCTGTGTTGCTCAGACCTGTATACCATGGGGTAAAGCGCCGTTGGGTGCTTTTATCTTTTGTGTTCTACTTTAAAATAACTCATATTTGTCCAGTTTAAATTCTTGTGATGTACAGATGCATGTTTTCCATCAGTATCTTCAGCACAAAATTCACGGCAAAGAAATGGCATAATTTATAACGGAAGTAGAGGAGGGCAAACAGTCCCTGGTGTATTTGGTAAGGGTCAGGATTTATCTGCCTCACTGTCACAGTGCAGGAAACGTTGATTCTTACTTAAAGGCTTCTTGAAAATCTGCCAAAGTGTGACAAGTTGTCGGGAGACACGCTGTTGGTTCAGTTCCGCTTTGCCTCACTGCAGATTTCCTCCTGATGAAACTTGTAAGGGGCTTTAATCTTAGAGTAGCACAGTGAGGAAGGGTTTAGTGTCAGGGATTATGGATGGGCTTAGCCATCGCATAAGAGAGACAAATGAAGAATGTATCTAATACTAGGTTCAGTCTTTCTGTGTAAAAAGACACATTAGCTTGTTTCCTCATTGTGTTGAGAGAGCTTGTAATGTAATTGTCACAGATTTCATGGATTTGGACAAGTTTCTTTTCTTAAACAGATCTCTGAACCAGATGCTTATTCGCCAAACTTGCTACAATGAACTCATAGATTCATGTTTTTTTCTGGTAACAGGCACTATCAGGAACGTCCTGTTGTCAATGTGGATGGAATTAACTTTATAAAAACAGATTGTGTCCATTTTTTGGGTGTATACATTGATGATGGTCTTACATGGAAACAGCGTGTTAATCACATTGCCACTGTTATATCGAGAAACATAGGTATGATCTCTAAAATGAAATGGTCCTTTCCCCATGATGGATTAATGGTTTTAAACAACACCCTTCTATTATCATACATTTGATATGGAATTCTTGCATGGGGCAATAGTGGTGTTGGTCATATTAACAGAATGTTACAGTTACAGAGAAAGGCCTTATGTACAATTAATGTTAACTTTTGTGAGTATACTAAACCTCTTGTTTACAATTGTACTACTCCAAAAATCACTGAACTCTACTTTTTCCAGTTGGGCTCTTTCATGTATCAACTCAATAACTCTCAGCTGCCGCAATCAATTTGCTCAATGTCTTTAAGAAATGAAGATTTTTATCTCCACTTTACAAAGCAAAGTGAGGAATTTCTTCGCACGTTCTAATCTCGCTACATCTACTGTGAAACATGTAGGTCCCAAGTTATGGAGTTTTATGGATTTTGCCTGGAAATGTGCATCTAGTCTCTCAACATCCAAACACAAATATAAAAGTAAATTATTAATTAACTATTTATGTGCCGATTAATTTCTTTCTCACGGGGTTGCAGCAGGCAAAGGCTACATGATCATGTACATGTGCCGTAGTTAACATTTGTTGTGTTATTTGTAAGTGTTGGTGTCTTTGTGGAACTTTGTTTATTAAACTGGGGACCCCCTCTGGACAAGCACTGCTTCTTGGGGGGCCCCGTCCACATATATGCACTATGTGGAACTGTTTCTATTGAGTAATATTATATGGAGAATAAAGTGAACTGAACTGGAACTGAATCAGTTTGTCTGAACTCTTGTAAAAATGTAAAGAAATAGGTATTAAACTTGAAAAAATTGTCAGGAATCTTTGTTAAGGCAATTTTTACGCCTGTTACTTTTTGCAGTTGATGGATGGTTTCACATTTGATCGAAATATTTACGATTTGAAGGTATTTATTGTCTTTACATAAAAAGTTCTTTGTGTATGGTATCTCTTTTAAGATCTTAAGTCTCTCAGGGAAATCAGGACTAAACTAGACAGCAGGTTATCTGAAGGTGTGCGGTAGTTATGGGTATACACACATTTATCACATTTTCCATGGAGTATTAAGGATACATGTAGAATTTTTGTGGCAACTTCCCCAAATTTCTTTAACCCATCTGCTGCCTTCCTTTGAATTTCTCTCTCAACCCTTAGGTGGAATAGACAAAGATGGTAGGCCTCGAGCCACCAACATGCGTGCTGGGGGCGTGGCCCAACGTAGTGACCTCCTACAGATTGGAGATCTGATCACAGCAGTCAATGGCATCAAGACAGCCAAGCTGAGACATGAAGATGTTATCAATTTGCTCAAGAATGCTGGTGATCACGTCTCGCTGGAGATAGAGTATGAGATACCACCAGCTGGTTAGTCAAACTGCTTAACATATTTCCTTTTGCTTAGTAAGTTTTGCTGTTAAAATATGTGTAAAGTATCCCTGTATAAAGGTTAATGTCATAAATAGTGAGTGATTTCTGCAGTGGTCAGCTTTTGTTATAAACGGAATGTTTTTCTGCTTGTTATTTGATACATAATGTTACTATCATGCTAGGGCAAAAATATCACTTTGCTTTGCATCATGAAGATAAAACACATTTGAGGGCAGAGATCAACTGATGAGATCTTAGAGTCAAAGCATATACATTTGTATCTTAAATGTCCAGCAGGGGTAAATGACCTGTTGGTTTCGGCCAGTAAAAAAAATCTTGCAGTCCAGTAGTTGATGTGGATTAATTAAGTATTTGAATGACTTGGTATGGTTTCAGACACCGCTGGTGAAAACTTTGCCCAAATTGTTGTAATCCCAGATGTTTGCCGTTGTTGAATTACATCATGTCTTGTCTAGGGCCAGTTTCACTGTACTCCAAAGCAAAGAGTTTTGCTAATAAACCAAAACATTGAACCTTTTCTCTAATTTTTTTTTTGCGAAAACAACCCCTATTTTGGAGGTCCTTTCTTGGGAGGGATGCCATGGCCCTTGTTGCTTGCCCTATGAATCCCCCTTTGCTTTCCAGTATTTCCTGCTCTGAGGGCAGCGGTTTGCCGTTCCCCTTACAGTTGATTTACAATCATTTCTTGCCATTTTTCCTGTCAATAGTTCAAGACAATGGAATCACAGTTACGTCCAAGAACATGGAGATCAAATTAGCTAAAGAAGACGGGAGTTTTGGCTTTGTCATCAGGGGTGGAGTTAATGCCAATCCTAGTAAGACACGTCCCCTCACAATTACTCACATCAGGCCAGGTGGACCAGCAGACAGGTATAATAGATTTATCCATTTGGAGTTACGAAGCAGTTTTTTGTTAACGTTCTGCAATAATCTTGAAATCTAATTGCAAATGATAAGGGACTGTTCTCTCATTTTCTTCAACTATTTCATTGCCTTGTAATCTGAAATCCACCTTGAGGATTTGGATGGTTTACTTTACAAGCAGCACAGTAAAGTGAAGTATCCCAAATTAGACACTGGATGAATAAGCTTACAGTGAAATTTGAACCTTGAAGGTTGGACAGTGATTCTGTACACGGACCTTTTGTTTGTACCCTGTATATGAAATGCTCCAAAGATCCTTTTTTTCTTGGCTGTAAGCCAACCAGCATGAGACCCTGAGGTTCATCAGATCCACTCCAGGAATGAGTAACAACAATTTAGTATGCCAAGATTCACATCTGAAAATCAGTCCAAGAATTGGTCAGATCTCCAGTGACAGTTGATTGACATTTATTTATTAAATAGTGTATTCTAGACATCCATATGTTTTGTGTAGAAATCTTCTGGAAATGGAAGGGAAGTCTGGTTACTAGTCATTATTATGCACTGGAGAAGAATAGGAATGTTAAAGGTTGTAGCTGACATAGACCTTTGGTTACCGTCTAGATTTCCCTCTATTGGATTTATATTCTTAGGGTTTGTTTGCGCTGTTACCCCAGTTCACATGAGTAGGATGCGTGTGCATTACACTCCGGTACAGGAGTATACTCCCCCTCTAGCGACAGTAAACTCTCGCTAACCCTTGGGTCGTACTCTAGCCGTTTCAGCACTCAGGAATATACTGGTAATGCGAGTAGCTCGCTTGAACGCACCCTTCTTGTTATAGGTATTAAATGGTAAAACCTCTCACCATTTTTTTTATTATTTATCCTGAGTCTCCAAATCAAGCACTGTTTTCCCAGACATCTAATGGTAGGCATAAAACCTGGGTCATCAAGGCAGAGAGCACGCCCTGGACCAGCTCACTATTTTATGAATAATTCATGATGTTGTGTTCTACTCCATAGTATATAGAACATCACATAGTTTGCTGAATACCCAATTCACAACTGAAATCTTAACCAAACTGAAAACTATTCATTTTGTGGTCTTGTGTTGGGTACAGTTGATTACATCTTGACTCATCTTTGATCCTGTTTGACCTGGATGTTAGGGATGGTACCCTGAAGGTTGGTGACCGTATCCTCTCTGTTGATGGGATCAACTTATCTAGTTTGACACATATGGAGGCACTCAATGCAATCAAACTCAGCAGCATGGATGCTACATTTCGTGTGGAGTATGACGTCTCCATTATGGGTGAGTTAATACTAAGCATGCTCAGAAAACGATGCTTTGAAATCCACAAAAATTCTCGTTCATTGGTTGCCAGATTTTGAAAGTGCAGATTGGTTTATGCAGTTTATTCATGAGAAACGGACAGTAGAAGGCAGTTTCCTTTTTGGAAGAGTCCTGCTTGTTGATGGTTCCGGAAACATAGATTTGGTCATGTGTATGAATGTGTCAATGGAACACTGCGGTTCATGCAGAAACAGTGTGATTGTATTCTAAATGATACTTGCTGGGCTAAGCCCTGTAAGCATGGAGTCATCAATTCCCCCTGTGTTTGTTCACCATGCTGACCAGAGATTTCTTATTAAACTTTCGGCTGCATCACGCTTGTGAGATGCTTTGCCATTTCACACGGAGAATTTGCCAGTGCTGAAAAACCTGATGCCTTTCATGTAGACTCAAGTTTGATTCTATTTGCCACCTGAATGCTTGCATATGTTGCTAATGACTGGTTGGTTGACCAAGGAGGAAAGCTTGTGCGTGGTATGTGTACATGTACATGTCTGGCTCATAACCTATGTGATGATGGTTTTGGATACGACTTTGGCACGTGTGACAGATTTATCGAAATGATTTGATTGCCAATGAAATACTGTAGTTGTAACAGCACCCCAATCAAAGTATCTCCATTACTACTTGATTTTCACACTTAACTTTGCCATGAATACTAACAAATCACTTGTTTCCGTTTTATATGCACCCCTGGGAATCAGGTTGAAACGGCACAATTAATGGATACTGGTACATGTATGTTGTCTTTTAAATGTGAACTATTGTGCTATGTTTTGTCTTGTTTTCTGAATGTCATTTATTTGGTGTTTTGAAATTGAAATTTGTGTGAGTTGCATTACTGATGTCTTGATTTGACAGAAATTATATTCTCTTGGGGGAAGGAGGGACATACTGATGAACATTGTTTTCTTATGTACATTAGAATGAGGTAAAAGTGAATCCAGATTTGACCCGGGGGGGGGAGTAGCTGTCAAGATGAGCACTTTGACAGGGATGTGTCATTGTTATCTCTTTTGACTTTCCAGTTTTGGTGGTGCAAGTTAGAGTAGGAAACCCCTGCCCCATGACTCCTGTGTAAACCTCCTCTGAACCCTCCAGAATTTAACAGATGTTTGCAGAACTGGATTCTGGGTTTTAAAGCCCAATTGTTGCTTTATTTTTGGTTTGTTCAAGTGTTACGTTTATGCAATAGATTTGGGTAGATTTGGGTTCTTTTTAGTGTAAATGACAGTGTAGTAATGTTAACCCTAACCCTCCTCAATCCTCCAACAGGTGAAGGATTGAGGAGGGTTAGGGTTAATGCATTGCTTTAGTCTGCCTATGGTTACATTGTTGCTTTAAAAGTGCTACCTTCATTCCTGCCATGAGATAGCATCTTTAAGTTGGAGTGAAGCCAGGATTGATATTAGCCACAGATGCTGAATGTTCATGTGTGTATGTGGTTTTTTCTCTTTTACCGCGTGTTATGGGAGCATTGGGCCTCATCATGTGCTTTTTGTTTTCGTTGCTTGACAGTCAAAATATGCATGTTTGGATTCATGTTGTGTTGTAATAATAACAGTAAAATCACAACGGAATTTAGAATTTGTCATTTCAGAGCTTGCTTCAGAGTCAAGAAATAGCTGTCTATGTAGCTGGTGTTCTCATTTACATCTTGCACTACTTGTGTTCTCTTTGTTGAGCTCGGTAACATTAGCACGCAATAAGCCAGGAATTGACTTCTGTTGAAAGTTATGTCATTGGTTTCATGTATGTTGTATTTCTGTATTTTACATTGAAACGACCCTAAAGGTGCCTTTTCACAGACACGCTATCAGTGCACTTCTCATCTTTCTGAGTTACAGAGACTGTGGAATGAATGTGTATAGAAGTTAAATGCAGCAATTGGATGCAGATTTTGGAATGGACCAAAAATGCCGAAAACTGAAGTAAAATTCACCACTTTTTGATGTGCAGTCCTAGCTACACATATGCTTGTGGGAAAAAAATGCAGCATTGCAAATCAATATTTTATGTGCAATCGATCAGGATCTTAATATATTCTTGTTCTACACCTTCAGAGGCAGTGAGGAATGCGACGGGTCCGTTACTTGTCGAGGTGGCTAAAACTCCCGGAGCCAACCTAGGAGTGACACTGAGTGCCTTGAATAAGAACTCCAAATCAATCTTAGTCATTGATGCTGTCAAGCCAGCCAGCATTGCGGACAGGTGGGCTGACCTTGTTACTCTAATTCCCTGCTCAGGAATTAAACAGGACATGGAACTGATACAGAATCTAACCCAAATGTTGAAAATAAAAATGGCTCTCTTAAAAGCTTAGAGAAGAAATAGTTAAAAGTTGGAAGGTTTAACATCAAGAACCTAGCAGAATGTGTGTCAGAGATTCACATGTAACCCTTGTATATGTCAGTGTTCCTTTGTCTGTCTTCTTCATCTGTCAAGTGCATGATACATAGACATCACCTGGAAGTTTTTGTGTCCAAAGTCCAGAATACAGAAGCATCCAGGTGCAGGCACATATATCTTACCACGTTGGTGTAGAAACTGGTACAGTAGCTTATCTGGAGAATTTGAAGTTGAGAGACAAAGCCCTCAGTGAGAGTGTAGGTCCAAGTTGGTGTAGAACTCATTGGTGGGAGTTTAATTTTTCTTTCTTCTGACCAAAAAAAGTTCAAACTTTGTGCACGACTCAATTCATAAATGAATGTTACTTTGAGCATAATTTCTTTCAAAATACCAAATAACAAGTGTATTTTTTATTGTTGGATCTTGACCATTATTAGGTGTGGAGCACTTCATGTTGGTGATGAGATCATGTCTATTGATGGTACCAACACTTCTCATATGTCAGTACCCGAGGCTACTCAACTACTAGCTACGTCTTCTGAACAGATCAAACTGGAGATTCTACCAGTCAGTCACATGACCCCAAGACTGACATATCCTAGGGAACATAGACAACCAAATGGTACGTCATTCAAGTCCCAAATTATGTAGATCTTTATAACTGGCTGGGATTTTTGCTCAGTTTAAAATCGGTTGAAATAGTATTTTCCTTCATATTTTGGATTCCTAAATATCTCTCCCCTGTAGCCTTTTCTGTTCCCCATCCTCCAGTTTATACATATTTTTGATGTTATCTTCTTTTCCTTTTCTTTCTCAGCAAGCAATATGTCCAGATCTATCACTCCTGTCAGCCATCTGAATAACTCCAGCTACAACAGCCTGAATAGATCACAGGGAACACTCCAGAACAGTCGACAGCAAGCTACAGCACTTAACAGAAAGATGAGAGCAAAGAATCTCAAGGCATCATCTACATGTAAGGAATTGCTCCCTAATCCTGTTGGCTGTCTTTCAAAAGCTTTGCATTTGATATTCATTTCAACAAAAAAGTTGTTTTATGCATCCATTTGTAATGACTACAGTGTCATGAGAACAATGGTTTATTGATGATTATTTCAGTTTTCTGTGGCTATTCATTCAAATTTTTATGGCTATCAAGTTTCATGGTATCCTTTGAAAAATTACCATTTACAATGTATTCAAAACTTCCGAGTTTTTGTCAAGTATTTGACTGCATTTTTACTTCAATTCATTCAATAAATTCTTCATATTTTTCGCAGTATCTCTCACATCAACAATCAACGGAATTGGAGCAACAACCCAAGTCTGTCGGTCCGACACCACTGAAGTAACTCTATACTCCCGCAACTATGACTTCGGATTCACCCTCCAAGGCGGTGTCTTCACCACAGAGATTTTAGGTTCACCAGCCATCATTGGTTTCATTGAACCAGGTGGAAAAGCTGATAGGTAAGTGAAAGAGATGTATCTTTGGTGTAGGAGTCGAACAATGTTGGTGTGTGAGAGCAGCTGAGATGCCTTTTGTAACTTAGATGTATCTTTGGTGTAGGAGTTGAACAATGTTGGTGTGTGAGAGCAGCTGAGATGCCTTTTGTAACTTAGATGTATCTTTGGTGTAGGAGTTGAACAATGTCGGTGTGTGAGAGTGGCTGAGATGCCTTTTGTAACTTAGATGTATCTTTGGTGTAGGAGTTGAACAATGTCGGTTTGTGAGAGCAGCTGAGATGCCTTTCATAATTTTAGAAACTATAAATTTAACTTTTTTTGTGTTCTGTTGAACACTGTGAGGCGGTAGTAGCCGTGAGTGGTTCTCAGAGCAGTCATGATCAATAGCAGAATGACACACTTTATGAGGAGGTAGTAACCGTCAGTGGTTCTTAGAGCAGTCATGATCAATAGCAGAATGACACACTTTATGAGGAGGTAGTAACCGTGAGTGGTTCTTAGAGCAGTCATGATCAATAGCAGAATGACACACTTTATGAGGAGGTAGTAACTGTCAGTGGTTGTTACAGCAGTCGTGATCTCTTTGTATGTACATGAAACATTTTGGGTTTTTTGGGACCTTTCTCCTTATGTTTATTCTGTCTTTTTAAAAGTGTGTTTTATATTAAAACATATCAGATATTCAAGTCTGTTCCTCTTGTATTCAACAGGTCTGGGGTAATGCAAGTGGGTGATAGGATCGTAACCATCAACAATAAGTACACCGATGAGCTGACTATAGAAGAAACCAATCATGTGTTGAGGGAGAGTGGACAGCAATGTACCTTACTAATAGAGTTTGATGTCGCAGGTAATTATGTCCTCATGCTGCGTAAAGTGTCTTCATGGATCATTAAAAATTTCAGGAATCATTGAAAATACTTGTAGTCATTGATTTGTTTGTCTATAGAAAGACACTGGCTGTAATCCACTTTGAGGAGAAGCACCCCCTCATTGGTTGAAAAGAGCCGCGTTGGTCGGGAGTATTCATTTTGTTGGTAGCGATGCCACTGCAAACTGCACATGAACTAGTTGTGCGCAGTTGGTACCAAAGGAGCCTCCGTTGTTAAGAAAATAGTGCCCTCTGTCGGTCCAGCTTGAGGCCATAGTGTAGCTTAGAAATCACATTAATCTAGCAATCCAGTTTGTTGGTGTGACATTGTCACTACTTCAGTTATGCCCACTTATACAGTGTGGAATCAATGGATTTAGAAGTCATACAATATTGGCACATCAGCCAGTAGGAACTTGTAAATAGTAGAGTGTGCTCTTGTATGATGCAGTCACTAATGAACTGCATATAGAAATGTACAGTTCCAAAAAAAGTCTTTATTTGAAAGGGTTTGGATTGTCCACATACTTGTATTTGATTTCATGTCTTCATTAAGTTGACATATTGTCTTTTCCAATCTGTTACCTTGTGGCTGAGAAAGCAATGAAGCGATCCTGACTCTTAATGCCATTTGACTCTAATAATTTTATTGAAATGATCGAAATCATTACATTTCTTTTTTTGAAAGAACTTTTTTTAACTGTTGCTGAAAAGGTTAATTTTTAATTGAAAAGAATGTTACTAATGTGTTTGGACTTGTCTTGTTTTCAAAATATCAGAGTTAATTGAAGATAACTTGATTTATTTCTATTGATGACAGAGTCTGTTGTTCCTAGTAGCGGTATATTCAGTGTCAAATTACCAGTGGGTGATCAAGGCTTAGGCATCACATTAAGTGGTAAGAACTGGCATTATTAACGGCTATTTTAGAGTCAAAACATTTTTAAGATTTTACATGAATCATTTAATGATCCTGTTTGCAATTACAGTTTTCAAAAGATCATTTTAGAGTTGTTAAGGATGTCCAAAATATTATTTTACACTTTGAAAAAATGTGTTGAATCAATATCCAAGACTTTCCAATAATCAAGAACAATTTTTTGTGGTCTTTTCTTTCCAGCCCCTAAGAATCGTAAACCAGGGGATGCCTTACTGATATCAGACATCAAGAAGGGTAGTGTTGCCCATAGGTAAAATACAGCAGATTGCATCTTCTGCTAATTTTTACTATTTCTGAGCAAGAGCTTGACCATGTTCATGGCCTTTTCCCAAATATTTTATTTGTCTCTGGTTTCTGATTCATGTTTACCCACAGCCATTCGGCACCATATGATATGGTTTGGCCCAATGCCAAAAACTGAAGTAACATTGAGATTTGAAAATAAGTCCATGTAATATTGCCTACCATGCTTTTATTGAACTTGTCAATCTAACTTGATCTGGTTGTTATAGACAGAGGAAGGTTGACCTAGATCTGTTATTAACAATAGCTTAATCAAACCCCATCCAATGTGAGAGATGGTTGTTCTAGTCTTAGTTGATAGAATGACATCTGTCTTTTTAATTCAACAACTGACGAATTTCCATGTAACAGGACTGGTACTCTGGAACCTGGTGACCATCTCTTGGCCATTGATGATATTCACTTGGAAACATTCTCAGTAGAAGAGGCAGCTCACATCCTGAGACAAGCCGATGACATCGTCAAGCTGAGAGTCAAGAAAGATGAAACCTTCTCAGGTACATTGGAGTTGAGTGAAAAAGAAAAATTGAGCCCCAAATTTCACCTGTTACACCTTGCTCTCGAGTACAATTCCTTATACAGTTTAACAGTTTAACATTAAATCTAACTTTCTGGAAAATGAAACTGGTTTCTTTTATCTGAAAAGCAGAAAACACTGCTTAGTATATTTGCTTAGAGTAAACAAGATGAATCACAAGTAATACACGTTACTGAGTTTGGCTGGTAAACTTGTTTTACTAAGCAAACACAACAGTATACTATATGGTTAACAGCTCCTTAGTTGTAATCTTGATGGATGTGGAGGTCTTCTGGTCAATTGAATTTGCTATATGACTGCTACGAAACACAAGATCTGGCCAAGTTGATGTGTATGAGTTACGTCTTCCCTCTGACGCCATTTATTGTCTTCATATCAACAGAAGATCCTGATATCAGTGGTGCAATATCATTCACGGTGGAGCTGATACGACACGGTGGACCTCTAGGTATTACCATCTCAGGGACAGAAGAACCATTTGATCCCATTGTCATCTCAGCTTTGACTGAAGGAGGACTGGCTGAAAGGTAATCAATCTTGTCGTTAGGAATTAGGACTTGACACTCAGTCCTCAATTAATGCGGCGTTAAGTTTTAATAGTTTCTTGGAATTTTCCCGTTATCTGTTGAACACTACAGTTCTTCCCATACACGATTATCACCATCTACAGATGTTTTTCAGAGAACACTTCTTTCAGTCAAGGCCAGTTTTCATATTGTAAATTTTTTTGTTATTTCTTCGTCAGCTATTAAAACTACCATTAACCACTTCGTGCCGGGGTGCCCGGTACCGGAGACCTTAGGTTTGTATGCATAGCTGGGGTGCCTGAAATCGGACAAAGGAGCGGGGCCTTGTAGCGAAAGATGGTACTCGGAACAAAAGACCGGGCTGCTGGGAATTGCCAACATTTTCTCTGTTGTCAGTAGTGGAGATAATCCGTCATCGTTTTGAAACAGTGTACCTCTATTTGTGGCATTCAGTGCGAGTGGATTACAACTGGGGACAATAGCGCTCTAGCGCCTCATCAATGAGCAATACAATACCGCTGCACGTTAATCTGGCCGCATTTGAAAAGATGCCAGCAGCACACTTGACCAATTTTGGGAATAAAAGAAAATTATGCAACGCCGCACAATCTAGGCTTCTTTACAAGGTGGCAACTTCAATTTAGACCCAGCAGTATATGGTTAATCCCCAAGGTGTCAACTAGTACACAGTGACCCTTGACTGTATTGTCATTTTATGCTGATCTTGTTTTAAAACAGTTTAGTAACATTTAATTAGTTCAAATAACAGTATGAAAAACATTAACCCTCCTTCTGCTGTAACCGTCAAAAACAGTCAAAAATTCCTTCCACTTCCGCTATGTACAGTACATAGACATATCACATGTCACTTGACTGATTTTGACTGATAGGACAACTGTGTTGAGAATGCATCGTTGCATAGGAGAGTTAATGTGTAGAATAGGTTGGTAAGATGTTATAACATTTGCTTTGCCATGTAGCATTAGTGTAATGCTGGGTAAAATATCATTTGTCACATTCTCAGTTGTTTTATCACCCTGTATGAGCTCAGAATATTGCTTGATAAAAAAATTGATTTTCAGGACGGGAGCATTACACATAGGAGACCGACTCCTGGCCATCAACGGAACCAGTCTAAGAGGAAAGACATTATCTGCTGCCATACGACTCTTACAGAATTCTGGGAATATTGTCACCTTGAAGATCAGTAAACAGGACAAGAAACCAATCCCTGTACCTGACAAAGCCATCACTCAGGTGAAGAATATTCTGCCCGTTTCTTGTCTTTGAGTGAATCTTAGCAAAGTTATAAGAACGGACAACTTGGACATTGCAATGCAGTGAGTGCTGTATCCCAACTTACAGACTGATCTAATCACAGACTTACAGCTCTGTATCATGCCAGATTAACTTGCCACCAAATTATTAAATTTCTATAACATAAGTAAACATGTTGACGTCATACTAGTATTTTATCTTGTGTGTCCTTTCTACCAACAGAACAAAGATGCCCAAGTGATGCAAGCACACACTATGCATCATTTCAATCCTGTTGTCTCCAGTAATAACCCCACAGCACACAGTACACCTATTGGTGGAACCACACAGGTATTTGCTAAACCTAATCTGTGCCCTGTTGTTCAGAAAGCTAAACTTGCGTCCCCTCACAGTGATGACAGAATACTAGATAACTGACTTATCAAGATCAAGCCTCGTCTTAGTCATGACTGTCCTTGAATTTTGTGACCCAGTCATTTGTTGTGATTATTTTGATACAGTTGGTGTCAGTCAGACCCACAAACATCCTTTGTCTTAACCCTAACACCCCTCAGTCCTCCAACAGGTGAAGGATTGAGGAGGGTTAGGGTTAATAACTGGAAACTGTTGGCTTCTGCAGCACCCTGGAAGGTGTTCCTGAAAGCTGCCAACCAGTTACTATTGATTTGTGTCAAAAATTTGTACGACCTGGTCAGTCCTCATTTCTTGAGTTTGAAAACTTTATCATTATCAGGAGTGCATCGGGGGGGGGTGACCATGAATTTCGCTTTTGACTGCAGCTGATGATGGCATTTGTGCATAGTTTGTAGACCATGGCTACTCAATTAATTTTTACCCCAAGTGGTCTTTTAACCATTATAGGGCTCAGCTGATTCATGGGAAGGTTCTGGATTAGACACTGGATACCACAGTACCAACATTCACAACTCACGCTCTAACTCGCGCTCTAACTCACGCACCAACTCCCCTGCTGTCCGTCGGGCATATCCTTCCCCAGCCCGTAAACCCACCCGCCAACGACGGATGCGTTCCTCCTCCCGATCGACATCCCCAAATGATGCCAGTGAGGATGAGATTGAAGAGCGTTACGGCACAGCGAGGAATCACTCTGGTGCCAACAGCGATCCCCTGAGCTCAGACCAAGAGGATGGCTACCGCTATAACCATCTGACCAAACCCTCCTCCAGGAAATCTTCCCTTACAAGAAATCACGAATATCTCAGGAATATTGACTCTGGGATCGTTGCTAACGGCGTCAGCCCAGAATCCAACTTGATCAGCCCCGCTACAAGTTACCCCCACAGCACAGCCACCGGTTACCCAGACACGGCTACCAGTTACCCACAGAGTCCAGAGTCTTCACGCAGCCTGACCTACCACTACAACTCGTACAGCATGCCGGCTGGAACAAGAATGATGGATGGGTATCGTATGACAGCCATGGAAGCAGAGATCAATGAACTCCTTGCTGCACCAGCTACTCCGACAGAAATACACCGAGTCACTTTATACAAAGACAGCGATGTAGAAGACTTTGGGTTCAGTGTCTCAGATGGTGTATATGAGCCAGGAGTGTTTGTCAATACTGTCCGACCAGGAGGACCAGCAGCAAGAAGTGGTAATGTCAAACCATTTGACCGTATACTACAGGTAAGGATGTTCGTTTCTTTGATTAGTAGGAGAAATTTTTAATTGAAAATTGTAACAAATGTTGAGGCAGAATTCATCAGAATAATACATGATTGATTCTAACGTTCATTGCAATTAGATGGGAAACTTCTTAAGTTGACTTTCAGGTAGTGCAAGGTTGAACAGAGACACTGACTGGAGAGGGATATGAACCCTGGACCACTGAAATATACACTGGTTGTCACAGCACTGGAATAGCTCTAAGTCAATGTTTCAAATTTCTCAGCAGTTTCTTAGTTAAATCTAATATCAATGTAAGATATAGCTGTATAGAGGCTACTAGCTATATAGTGGCTATGGCTTTGTCCCATAGACTTGTACACTTCTGTTTGTAAATTTAGACATGGCTTGGTGGTAAGGCAGTCGGAATCTAATAAGGGAATAAATATGAGCTTGGCCGGTCTTAAACGCCAGCTCCGGAGAGTGGATACGACTAACGCCCAAGCAGCAGGCGGGAGTGTTATTCTTGTTCATTTAAGACTGGCCAAGCACATATTTATTTCCATTCAGGAATACCTTTTTATTCAGAGAGTCAAAAGAGGTCAACATATGATGGATTTCCCACAATTTTGTTCTGATATTTTACGTTCATTTTCCTGAACACCCCGTCCATTTTATGGTATATTCCTTTTGAAAGTTGTCCAATAGAATCCCCTTCAATGAACTTGGTGTGTGCATGGCGTGTGCACACAAACTCTTGACCAATCAGACCGGATTAAACTGTCTCATATCCCCCATGTACCAGCGCATGATTTACGCAGTGGGCGTTATCACTTCTCAGCACGCATTATCAAATGTTAATACGTGGTCACGTGATGCATTTCGACCAATAGGAATAGAAAAACTGTCCCAGGTATTTATTAATGCTTTTTATTGTATTTCCAGATTAATCAAACTAGAACGCGTGACTTTGACTGCTGCATGGTAGTACCGTTGATAGCAGAGTCTGGTAACCAGTTGGAGTTGTCAATAAGCCGCTCCCAGCCAAGTGATGGTAATGTTCACCTCATCCAACGACCTCCAGCAGGCACGGAGACAATGTGGCTGGGATCTCAAGATGGTAGTAGACAAAGCAATCAGGAGAACTCATCACAGCATACTATGTAGAAATGGAATTGGGCAGAGCTTGGGAAAGTTGAGGGATCATAGGATTCTATAGGTCTATAGCATCAGTGTAGCCTTCTCTCTTAAGATATTAGAGATTCATTCCAAGCTGTGTACATGCCCCATGCTTGTATCATTGCTTAGTTCCCTTAATAATTGGAAGCTGTTCTTTGCAGCAATGCCATGAGGGCATATTGTGTGAAAAGGACATCTATTTTAAATGCTGGTTATGAACATGCTAAGTTCATTTTTTCAGCTATAACAGGTTGGTATTGTGTTCTGGTGTCATCTTCTTCAAATGATTCTAACAAAGGACAGCCCTGGTTGACTCAGTAAGTACATTACACCTGTGCCCTGATACTTTTGGCAGTTTGTACATTCCCCCAAGGCATATTTTTTTGCTTCCCAAGTGCTTTAGACTGGAAGCCATACTTAATGCAGAATTAGGCAATCTAAACATGACCTACAGACTTCGTAACCTTTGACCTGATTGTGAGCCTCAGTGAATAAAGCATGACCCGGTATTAAGTGAGCAAACACCTGGCTAGGCTGGTAACTTAATAGTCTGGTAACTGTCCCACTCAACATACGGGTGTATGTTGGCTGTATAAATATCACACAGTATCAGGAAAATTATTTAGAGAGTTGTCAAAGCTGTCTGTCCTGGACTTGGCCCCCTTTCATCCTCAGAGCAGATTAGGTTCTTGTGGAATTGTCTCCGTACTGATATGGTTAGAAACATCACAGCTGGACATGTTGGAGTTCATTTTTCATTCCAAAATTGTTCCCGAGCCGCTTTCCTTTTGTTGAAAAATTGTTCCCCCATTTATCCAAAAAAGATAGAAGATTGCTGTGTTTTTCTTTTTAAAAGAAAATTGTGGAAAAAGAAAAAAAAGTCACTTTTTTCATTTTGTAATTATGTGTATGATAATTGATTTAAAGTTGTATTCATATTATCACTACTTACTAAAGCATTACGGAAGTGAAATACACGTCAGATATTTAATAATGTCAGAACAGTATTTGTGTAGTCCTTTGCATTTTGTGAATTGTTAGTTTATTGTGTATTTTGAAGAGTTTTGTTGGGCACCAAGTAAAATGTTGTGACAATTTTTGAAAATGTGAGATGGCAACTTTAACCGTGATGACCTGTGTTCTTATTCAGATGAAAACTATTCTTGTTTAATGAGTTGTCATGTCAGATATTGACTAGTCAACATGGTCCACCAATATAATTTTGTGTGTATTTACTCCGTAGCTTCATTTGCTGTCAACTTCAGATCCAGTATACATGTAGGCTGTCTGAAAGTTGTGGCTATGGCTGCCTAGAACACATACACCTGTAGGAGTCACTGGCTGGCAACTGTTGCAATTTTTCCATAGACGCATTGTTCCAAGCCACAGCCAGTTGATTTGGACGTACTGTAATGGCCAATGAAATATAAACAGCACCCTCACTTGACTTTGATTTGCCAGTAACCAAAATAGGTGTTTGGGCATGCTCACAGAAAAAATGATTCATTACCTGTTTGTATAGGTGCCTCATTGGGGAGGGGGAAACTCTTGTGAATATCTTTTTTGGTATGGAAAGGCACCCTACAAGTTCAGTGCAATAGTGTAATCATGGATGAAGTTCTTAAGACTATCAGGTGTAATTGTATCAGGGTACATGTAGGTAAGACTGAATGAAATTTCAGATTTTTTTTCAGGTTTCTTGTCATTTACATGTAAACTTCAAATATATTTGTGCTGCATGTTTCCTGTTCACTACCATACATTGAATCCAGGAATTCTTTTTTTTGGAAATAGTGTTTACCCTCTACCATTCTCCATGTTTTTTCAATCTTGTTTCCCATTTTGATGTCAACATTTTCTTGAGCATTGCATTGACTAAAAATCATGATTTTACAATCAGTTAAAAATGCATGGTTGGTATACATATATCATATTTAAGATATATCCTTTTCCTCTTGATGGTGTAACAGCTTGTTTGGAAGTTAACGCAGCAATGCATGTGAGTCCTGTTGTCTATTTTTATTCAAGCACAAAATCATTTTGGGAATTCTATTCCTTTTTGGTAATAAATCTTTTAGAGGGTTTCTGTTTCAATTTAGGGAGGAAAATGTCAGTTAAATGACCAGATCTGAAATTGAAAGGTGAGATTGTAGTTGTGTGATGTGCTACATCATCATACATGATATTATTGGTCAGGAACTGTGTCAAGTTTGTTCAATCATCTATGTTTACAGAAGCTCAACACGTACTGCATTTCACATCACATCACCTCTTCTAAAAATATTCTCATTGAATGAGAAGGTAGATAAGGTAAATTACATGTGTCAATGAGTTGCAGTTCCCAAGAGGTGTTCAACTTCACCCATGAAATCTGCAGGTGTGTTTGTCGTAACCAAAAAATCTCTTATTTACAAGAGTATGGGGGGTTTCACAAAAGTGTGCCTCCAAAAGTTTGCAATGCGTTGGCCAATCACAATGCGCAGTCAACCCAGTGCATGTTTGGAAAGGGTCGACAGATTTTGCGAGTTGTGATTCACCAACGCGTAGCAAACTTTGGGAGGCGTACTATTGTGAATTGCCTGTATTGTTGGCGTATTTAATGGTGTAGTTCACCACATTTGTTAAGGGATGCTTTTTGGGATTTTGGATCAGAAAGTTTAAGCAATTTGTACCAGTAAGTGGATTTGTGTAGGTTGATTGTATGTGTTCAAATCTAGGTAATGCCCGGAATCCACAATGTGACACCTACAAGTTCTTACTTGAAGTTGATCTTGGCTGTTCCCTTTTCTTTTTGGTATGCTACTAGTCTAAGTGCTACTTTTCCTCTTATATTGGTGCTAGTAAGTTCAATTTACATGTCAGACTAATTAAAGTCTTTATATGGTTTGTGTATCACACACACTTGAAAATAAGGTTAACTTCTTGTATACATGTATTTACCATCTTTTTTTTTCATAGCCAAATTTCTTCAGTGTACAAAATGTGTTGTCTTCACTCTCATGGAGGAGAAAAAAAATGATTTGCAGTATTATTTCTGCAAATCTTTCTTTTAGGTTATTGTAAATAAGCAGAATATTTCTATGGTTATTTTCTAATTTATTTTGTTATACTAAATCAGATGCATGGAATTACCAGACCAGTGGAGAGAAATAAATCAGTGAATATCCAAACTTATCTCTGTTTTTAAATCAAGTACTTTATATAAAGGTCTTTTCTTTGTACTCAGAAGAAATACTGCCAGTCAACAAATGTAAACGAACATACACATTGGTTTTTTTTTTTCAGTTAAATCAATAAATTCATGCTAGTTGAATTATTTCTCTAAAACTGACAATTTACCAACGTAAACTGTCATTGAAAAGCATGAGGTATGAACATTGATACAAGGCAAGAAATGAACATAAAAACTCATTAAATTTATTTGCACAAAGTCATTTGGATTGGCAACTAATGTGGCTTAAATTGAAAAAGTTGTTCAGTTTTCTTGTAATACATATTTCAAACTACAACATCCAGGTCATCAAACATTTCCCAAATTAGCAGCTGACAATGCACAAAGTCATGCATCAGTTTTCATACAGAAATTAAATAGTTAACATCACTAACTTGATGGCAATTTACATGGCGCTAACAGACAATGACAATGCCTAAGGTGACCAAACACAAACATGGTGAGGATGAATTTCATACACTTTCACAACCATCAAGACCCAAGATCAGCAGTGAACACCGATGTCCGTCATGCATGTACACGAGTAAATTCCTGTCTATGAAAGAAGTCACAGATGCCAAATGAATACAACAGTATCCAAATACATAAATTACATGTACATAAACTATGTACCTGTATCATGTAAATCTGTAAACATCAACACATCTGAGCAATGAAATACATGTGTCCCAAAACAGATCAAATCTCAACTGATAGGTTAAATTATTAGATGGCTTTTGTTTAATACCATTATTCTGTCCAAACTGTGGCCAATAAATTAGAATTAAAACAAAAAATGTACAACCCAATTTGTAATCTTTATAAAAATTTAAATATTTTTGATAATTTTAAATTGGAACTGGGATAAGCATGATTTTGTTCACAAAGTTGACAATGATATGTGCAGGTTATATGAACTTCCTGGGAAAAGGGAAGTAATGATACATGCAGTACTTTAATAAAAATATATTTGTCGGAAAGAAATTCATTAAATCTGCTTGATCAATAATAGGCTTGGTCAAATACTTAACTACAAAGCTGCAGAAGGCCTCATTTTCAACTGCATATGCAGAGATTCAGAAAAACCTGACATTTAAAGTAAATTTTTAAATGTCAATTGAAACAAAGATTTCAATCCTGATAAAATGACAAGCCAATCAATACAGTTGAAAACAACGTTTTAAGGAAGCCGAAATTCTTATCCAAACAATGAATCATTAAACACTTCCCAGGAGAGGACTAGGAGTATTTGGTCTGGGTGAACTTCAATTATTATTTATTCTCTACACTGCTATACAACTTTGGCTATGTCACATCATCATCTGATATTGATATCAGTCAAATTACCAATTTAAATAAATAGATGAACTAGCCTCCATTTTCATGACTGCAGACATATACATGCACATGTTCTAATCCAATTTAAGACCCCCAATGAAGGAAAGGGCTCTAAAGGATATGTACTTTACCACAAATATTGCACAACATGATCGTCAATTATTTTATATACTTGTCTAGCTCAAGTACTCATTACTCCTACACAAATTACACCCTCTACCATACCACACACTCCTCTGGGTAGATGAATACATTACACTAAGTCCTGTGATCAGATTAAAATGAATATAATCGGTGTTAAGTAAACCTGTCTTATCTTGTGAGCAAACAGAAAATACAGTACCAGTTGTATCCGATCCTGACACAGAACTGTTATCTATTAAGATTAATTCTCATGTTGCTGGAAGTACAGATAGATTCTGTACACAGGTAGATATTGTGCATAGAGATGTTAAACAGTTGGCCAATTTAGAATGTGAATTTCACAATCCCTTGCTGTAGTTAGGTTCAAACAGGGTCTAAATGTATGCTATGCATGAATATGCCACATGTGAGCCCATCATTTACTGGTACATGTAATGTTTGTTACCATTGGACTTCATTCTGAAAGCAAAGATGTGCTCCCTCACGATTATAAATTTCTTACAGAGCGATAAGAGGATACTTTCACAGGGCTGGGACCAATTCTAAAAAAGATCTCTGATACAGATGTTTTGCAAAATGGCAAGTCATATTGATCAGTTGATGGTTCTTGGCAGAGGAGTTCCTTGACAAGATTGTGAACACAGTCACAAGGCAAGGAATGTCATTACTTGCCAGATCCTGTTTCATTACACATCTGACCTTATCACTTCTGACCTGTCACGAGACACAATCATGCAGATCAGGTGTGGGTAGCATGTACCCCAATGACAAGGAAGTGACACATGGCTAGCCATGTCCCCAAACATTTATCACAGATGGTAGGTCACAACAACCAAGACACGTCCCCAATGACTTTAGGTCCTCAGGACCCCAGACAAGAATCCTGTTATAAAAAAAGTAGTTCAGGCCTTGAATCCGATCTGAGGGGAAAAATTGACAGTGAGAAATTGAGATTAGCACGTGGAGAGAAATTTTACACAGAGCACTGATCCTGCCAGGCAAACATTAATTGCAAAGCACGTGACATACTAGTAGCTTCCTGTCAATGTAATGCAGGGGGAGTATCATTTCGTTCTTTTTCTATTAAACCATTCTATTTACCAGAAGTAATTTCAGCATGTAGAAATAAACTGTGAACAATGTAACCTTTAACAGATTGAAAAAGTGCAAACATTTAAAGTAGTACTTTCATGCATTTGTACATTGTAAATATGCAATACAAAAAATAAATTTAACTCCACTGTAGCCTGGTATCTGCAGACCAATCAAAACCCAAACAATCTTTATTTTAATAAATACAATTAAATTACTCGAGTAACAGATTTTCAATAAATAGTCTGACATAAATTATTAAATGTACATGGCATGAATATGTGGCCCTCCACTACATTAGACCTTACACATGAAGGATTCTGGCATGTTTATCCAATCACACGAAAGGATACGTGCCACAGAATTCAGAACAATTACCATGACAGTATGGTAAAGTATTTAACTGGTCAGGGAAACCCCAGTAAAACCTGACCAATTGATATAAAAGCAGCATCTAGGACTCTGTGGGTCTGGGTGCCAGACCAACAAGGGGCTTAGAATAAAAACAGGGTTATATTTCGGGACAGATACAAAACACCAAAGGAAGAAGATAAACTGAACAACCAGGATACATGGCTCACATGGCTGTGGGGACTGTACAGGAGTTAGACTCACGTTTCACCAACTTTTCTGCCAAATTCTTCAAAACAGAATTTGTGCAAACTAAAGACAGAGGGTGCATGTACTCATGCAAGGTCAGTCGTTACAGAGTACACTCTTGAGGCAGCACTCACAGCTCCAGTGCATCTACTGTCTCACACCTCCCGTCTCACACCCCCCCAATCTTTAGTACATTGTGCACAAGGCAATACCTTTATTACTAAAGTGAAATGTAAGGTGTCAACCCTTTTCAACTGTAAGACATAAAATCATGATCAAAATAGATGTAATACATGTATGCTGACAATTCAACAAAACTTTGGATATGGTATGCATGTGAATGTTTCATATGAGCATGAAGATATCAAAGACTTCAGTAATTACTGGTGTTCATGTAAGCAGTGCCTTGTCATGCATAGATGGTCAGTGCACAGGGCTTAGGCCATGTCCAAAATGGACTTCCAGAGCTACGGCTAGCTCTACTGTCTGTATGCCTCCATGTATTTCCAATAAAGAGAGGACTTAGACCTACCGTAGCTCTAGACACCACATTTGGATGTAGTCTGAGATAAAACTCACAGAGCATTTCAGTAAAGTCTTCAAATTGTTTCAAGATTTGATAGAGACATACTGGACAGAGGTCAGCCAGCTGGAGAATCCTTACAGAGGTCATCATCATCCATTACATATTAACCAATGGCTGTCAGACAGACCACTGACAGACAAGGTCACTGGGAAGGTGGGCTAAATGTTTTTGGATAATATACCACTGACCTGGCTACCCTGAATGCAAATTGGCCGGTCACTGGGTGGACAGTGAGTGATGGAGGTGATTGCTGTGGCCAGTGTGGCCATTATGTGACCACAGAACAATGGCATGACCACCTAGTCCTAGCTCCATGGTGTGACTGACCAAATGCATTTGGCCTTGGGAACCTGTTGTGATTTTGAGGATGGCTCTCTTTACAATCTACAAGTATCATTTACTGGAGGATCATAACCAGACACACTACATGCATATACTGTACTCTAGGATGGACAGTATAATCCTTAACATATGGGGCCTGGAGCAGGTAAAATGCCCATTTGATAATCCCTCATTTGAAACCTTTACCGTGAATGCCTTGTAACTAAAATACTTATAGTCAATGACAATTTGGATTAATGAATTCAAGCCTGATAACATTCAGTCCACTGAAAAACATTCAAGCACTGAGGACAAAAGGTGTAATGTGGCAATGCCCTGCCAAGAAACCAGCCTCACAAAACTTCCACCTTTGAGGAAACTGCAGTGAATGCTACCCCAGGTTAGGGGCCTCATCCATTCCATGCAAATGTGCCCCCCCGTGGCCACCAATGGAGAAACCATGGTGCAATATGTGAATAGGCACCACACAATGTACATGTATACCAGTACCTGCTTCTAACATGAGTATACTCCAGATTTATCAAATGACTTTGTGTACTATATGAGAGCTGAACAAACAACATACCCTGTATGTATGATACACGTGGTGTGTCAATCTAAGACAGATTGTTGATTGTAAATGATGTGCTCCCTTGTTAATACACGGAGGTTATTGAACCTGGCCTTCAGATGTCCAATCCAGAAATCTAGATAATCCTTAAAGTACCAGGATGTTTTGTTTTGTTCATTCCAATTCATACCCACTAGGCATGCACATATCATAATATTCACAATATGCACCTGCATCACAAAATGAAGACACCCAGAAGAGTACATGTACATCTGTCAACTCTAAGCATTGGTCACACACAGACACACACACAAACCAAATTGCATTTAACCACAGAGTGCATAAGCACACACTCACAGTTATTTACATTTAGAACTTCTGAAACAGGAAATAAATGGTGTAATCATGGACTATGGCTATGTATCATATTGTACTGAGATGTCAATACAGTTCCTGGTGGATATCCTTTCTATCTACATGTACATAATTTCAGCAGTGGAAGAGAGGAACAGAAAAAGCAAGTACGTATTAAGTTGAATACATGTAGGTCATGTTAGTCTCCAATATGCAACATGTACTGTAGAATCACATGTACTGATCCAACTAAGTACTAACCATGGCATGCTACTTTTTTTGGCACATCATTACCAACAGAGGGTAACTCAACACTAAAAAAACCTGTCTAAACAAACTATCATGAATCCTGTTATTAAAACAAATACCCGTGCCTTGTAAAGAAATCCTGAAATCTGCTGCGTTCTATACTATGTCTTTATGACACCACTGTCATACTTGACAGATCAACTCTGTAATCCAAAGGCTGCAATGAAGACATTGATGACCACAATGGTGAAGACGAATCCTGTTGTCCAGTTGTTGAGACGGTCTAGCCGGTGTTGCCGGTAGACATCGTTCAGGTTGTCTCTGCCGAGGAGGAGAAGGAAGACACCAGTGACCAACTGTAAGGAGATGGAGATGATGATGAGGGCTGTGACAAAACGGAAGAAGCGGAACTCATGGCCAATGCTGACAAGACTCTTAAGCTGTGAAGCATTGGCCATTAGAAGAGCAACAGCCAATAAACCCTGGGAGACTGTCTTCTTGGTGGCATAGATATTGTAGTCTATGGCCCGCGGTGCTGGATTCTGAAAAATCAAAGTAAACAGAGTTTCATAATGAATGCAAATTGAGACTGTTGTAAATTTAACATTGGATTCTCCAGTTGCCTTCATATTACTCATACCTGTAAGTGATTTCTGCCTGGAGCTTAATACAAAAACTACATAAAAGAATGTACAGTTGAAAAGATTTAATCTTAAGTAAAAACCCTGTTTAGTTTTTAATTTGTTACTGACCCCAAGTGACAAGTTACCGGTAAGTTGCCACTGATCTTAAAGCTCACATTTCACACTTAATCAACAAGTAGGTTTTAATTTAAGGATGTCACAAAATGGAAGGAGAAGCCCAGTCAGTGTTGCTTTACAAGGGACCTGATACCTTTTGAAAGTTACAGTGCAAAGATGCCAGATTGATTTCTTTGGCACAGATGGATTTTGGAGCATTCAGGAAAATTCTAGCAAAAATACCAAGGCAGATAAGCTTAATCATGATTTCATACGGAGGTATTTTGTGAGGTTCGGCAATGGCATATCCACAGGTACACCGTACATGTACTTACCCAAGTGATGTGGTTCACTTATTTTGAAACCACAACAATCAAATTAAAGTTTGTGGCGCTTGCATGGTTCCCAGCAAGCCAAGGGTGAAATACAATGTACATGTACGATATGTACCAGTAAATGTATACACGTACAATCGCACCAGTAATTTGTCAACTCCATGTACATGTACTCTCCTACTGTAGGCTGCTGTATGACAGAAAACTAGGTCTTGTGCAGTAGTTGGCTTAACTACATGTATGCTTTAAATGACTAATTGACATGTACATCTGCACAGTACAGTATACATGTACATGTACTTTAGCAGGTTACAGTGCTCTTGTCTGGGCTAATTATACCATATATCAACTAATAGTCTGTAGACAAATCAGTAGAATTCTACATAGACGCCAGGTTGATGCAAAGTGTTTTGGCGTGAAAACATCAACCTAAGGAAAACCAAATTGGGCCAAAGCCCCTCAGTGTCTCATTAAACTTATCAATTCAGAGTCTCAAACAAGCACAGCCTTACCTAAAGGGAAGCCCAACCTGGAGTGGTATTTACCCAAGCCACATTGAAACTGTGGCAAAATTAATTTCTTAGGTAGAGAACGTTTTCTTCAGCAATTAAAAAACAGGTGTTTTAATCTATTAAAAGAAAGTTTTCACAAAGTCTTCATCCCTGCTTTCCAATGTAACACAAGAAACCTATGTACTTACATGTACAATGAATAGTTACAATAGTAACTTTAATGCACATACATACATGAATATTGCATATATATATGTAAACTATGAATGTACATGTACATGTACATATAACTTGAAACTCCTCTGTGACTACTGAGTAAAGTGTAACTTTTCTCCTCACATCTAAAAGTGCAGGAAGGAAGGGCATGCATTACGCTTGTCTTTGTGGAAGGTGGGTGATCAAAATGAGATGGAGGGGGGTTACATGTACATGTACACGCCCGCCCTTTCGCCTTCCAACCTCTGACCTATATAGTATACACAGTCATGTATGCATATACCAGTACAGTATTGTACATATGTGAAACCAATTGAAAACTGTGACTTTGCACCTTGACATGTACTCATTGACAAAACTGCCATATCTTGTGTTCAATCATTTCCACACACAGGATTTGAGTTATCAGTCACTGTTTCTGATTACAAGAAGACTAGCTTCCTGCTTCCGTTAAAAAAACCACCTTGTATGAGGAAAAAAAAACAAAATCCTGTCCCAGATTACAAGCCAGTCAACATGGGTTTTAGGTGCTGTCACACAGAACGAGATCACTGTTTTTCCCAGTATTAAAAGGGTCGATGCAAGATTTCAGTATCAAACTACATGTACATGTACAAGCGTATGAAGGTACACGGTACAAATCACTGACAGTAGTTTTTGAAACAGTAAAATACCTGTCAATTTTTGAAGAAAGTGACGAGAAAAAACTGACAATTATAAATTTATGAAATTATTTTTCAAAACTCAGAATATGCATTTACCACAACCGTGTATGGAACTTAAGTGACTGAATCAGTTTTTACTACAAAACTACGATAAATTAAAGGGATAATCACAATAAAATAAAATGATTATAAATGCGATTAATACATAACACTTTTAAGTGCAAAGACATAAATATACTACTTTGCTCTATATTATGGCTGGTCAGGCTGGATACATGCTCTATGATTAAACTTAAGCCTTCCAAACCCACAAGATTCTACGTGATTTTAAATCACGTAAATCCTTGTACTTGTACAGGCACATGTACACTACTAGTACGTACCAGTATATGTACACATGTACATGTATATCATAGAGCTACAATACGTGGGAACTATCCGTAGGAGGACCTCATCAAGGAAGATATTTTAATTAAAAGCAAGAATTCTGGGGAATAATGCAGTATCAGAAATGAAGAGGGATGAAATGGATATCTTAGACGTTCCTCTCTGTATAGGCCGGTTAAAATATAAACCACTGCTCTACAGTGTACATTTGCATGGAAAGATGATTTGACAACAGCACCTTCGCCCATGGACAGACAGAGGTGGAAAATTCAATCTTGTTCTGACAATGGAATACTGTTCTCTGAGAAATTAAATATTGATTTGAGTTTCCTCTGGTTCTTGTTTGGCATGACATGTACAGAAACCTTACGATGAAATATCATGGAAGATGGAACCGTTCCTTGCTATAGAAAAACTGGACATACATGTACATGCCTACATTTGTACACTGTAGAGTAACATTTAGCCAAACACTTGAATTCGTTTTTTCTGGAACACAGGAATCTCTACAAGCTTATCTAATAAAAGAGATTTTTCCACATTACATGTGCATCGGACTTATTAAGAGTATATACATGTACATAGCACAGATACTTTAAGATGTGAATTAAAGGGCACCTCTAAGGAAAACATGGTTTCTCTGAATAGTGCATCCAAATCGAATGCAGTATCATTTGTCTTCAGAGCTCAACCAGAACAAGCTTAAAGGGCTTTTTTTCTGTTCATGCCAAGATGTGAATTCTGAATGTAGATGGTGTCATTCTCAGAAAACAGAGAAATCAAGGGGAACCCTCTCCCCGTGTTCCTTGTGGGTAAACCCTGTGTATGCCAAATAATGCATGTAGCCATTATTTGGCACTCACAAGGGTTTATCTACTACGAACACAGGGCAAGGGTTCCCCTCCTTTTCTCTGTTTTCTCAGAATGACATCTTGGCATGAACAGAAAAAAAGCCCTTTTAAGCTTGTTATAGTTGAGCTCTGAAGACAAATGACACTACATTTGATTTGGATGTTTCCATATTTATTTGAACAGATAAAATCAGAGAAAACATGTTTTCCTTAGAGGTGCTCTTTAAATATGGAGGCTCAAATAAGTATCATCTTTCAATATGTTTATATTATTTTCTTAGAAACTATAAATACACATGAAAAACTAAACATAGAGAAACAAACACAGAAGCAAATGCTTCATGCCATCTGTTGTGTTGACTGAAGTGCAGGTTGCAATATGGCGATGATCAGAAAGGGCCACGTGCAACCATACCCCCAAACAATGGTGACCATTATGTGAAGGGCAGTCTTTGTCAAGAACAATCAGAATATTAGGTTTGCAGAACCACTGCAGGGTCTAATGAATGATGGTACGTATATAAATTTTCATACACAGTGTACAAAATTGGATCCTAAGTGTGCTTGTACATGTGGTTTTTGTATGAGAAGATTAACAGGAATGTTGAAAAAATTTCAACTATTGATGGAAGAGCACAATTTCTTACACAGTAGCTCCTTTTATATCAAACAATGCAACATGTACATGTACATGTATATCTACACAATTCAACATGATATACAATGTACATGTAATACGTAAACATACATACAAACACATGTACATGCATAATGCAGAAATATGTCCCATACTCCAATTATTTTACAGCTTCAAAGTACCGTAAGGAAAACAACCTCCTTATGTACATGTACATGTACCTCAATCAGCATAACTTCAGTCTCCATTGGAAGACACCAGTCTAAGAATCACAGACAATTCATCATCTGATCGATTAATTACTTGCTGGTGACGTGGGCATGCAGACGTGTCATTTCTTTCACAGGGTCAAATGAGAGATTCTCCTTCAGTATTAGACCTCCAAAATAATGCTGCAGCCATACAAGTATAATGTGAAAACCGTTCTGTAAATCTACTGAGCTTGGCCACTGGTTTCTGTAGTAGGTTATTGATTAGCCCTACTTGTGCAGGGGTCACAAATGAAGACTGCATGCTAATGAGGGTCTCTCCAATAAGCTTTCTGTTTTCACTCTGCCCCATTTGTATTATAAAGCTATCCAGTACAGCCTTAGGGTCCACCCACCAACTACTGTATAAATGTGGTAGGAAGGCTTCTCAGTGTTTATGCATCCTTTGGGCTGGGTTTAGGCCAGTACTTCTGGTGGAATAATTTAGAGGGGTTAATCAGATTATGGTTTGCAGAGGACTGGAATCTCCAAGCAATTTTCTGAGGTATTTAAGAAAATGCCATGCATAAAATTGCTCCCCTCCCCTCCTTGCTGAAAGCATATTTTGGAATAGATGTTAAAACACTTCTATCATTAATTGTGTAATCTCTTGAAAAAAACTGCATCCAGATTATCGTTAATCACAGTTCAAAGTATAATTCTTCCAAATTGATGGTAAGATGTGACAATAAAAATACACAACCGTTCTACTGGTAAATGGATCAAAACATATTCCCATCAATTTGTCTAGCACAGTGGTGCCATGAGGCAGCTCTTCACACAAAATAGGTGATGCTCAGATTAATCAGTATGGATTCATTTAGATGATATATCCCAGATTTATTTACTCATTGTATAAAGCAAATACTGAAAGTTTCACAATGTGTAATGGAAACAATATCCTCCAGTGACAAATGGAATATTCCATTACACTAAAGAGCTTTACCTTGAGTGAGAAATGGAACAGTCTATCTGTGATTTCAATAAATTTGTCTTACCAATGCACTCATTTATTGCAATGTTAAAAAAACTTGTAACCAAAATAGAATGAAACTGACTAACAACAAAAGTTTTATACCAGATCTGAATACAATTATTGTGCTGGCATTTCAAAGGCATTTGTGCCTTACAAAAAATATAAATAAAATAAAATATGAGATAATATATTTATATAAGATAAAATATACACGGTAAATACACGGAAATTTGACTTAAACATAATGCACAGCTGCATGTATAATTAATCATAGGCAAAGCTGTTAAAATGGAAACAGCTGTTATGATTACAACCCTGAGAAGAAAATGGAGACTCTCAAATTTATGCCAAAATATGTTCACTCCTGTATGCATGATAGTCCAACTGCTTCAGGCAAGTCAATATTATTAACAAGAGAAGTATAAACATTAATTTCTTCCATACACGCATATGTGTGTGCAGACATTTAAGAACTGGGATGGAGCGTGCCAGAAACACAATAGAAGATATGAGATCAATAGACAGATCAAGTTGCGTCTGAGCGCCAAGATGAATGAAAAGCACAAGAGGCTGATGTGGCAATTTTTGACAATTGATCACGCACCACCCACATGTAGACTGTAAACTGTCTGTATCACACGTATAATGAGAAATGCATTATTGCACTGATTAAGGCATTAAAATAAAGGCTACATATTAATCCTGCATAATTGATTTGCTACCATTAAGGATGGGGAAATTGACTTTTTAAAATTTGATATGATAATGAAATGCTCATAATACGTAATGAGTAAATTTTGTTGAATACATTTGCAGCAATTATGAGTTAAAGAGCACCTCTAAGGAAAACAAGTTTTCCCTGATTTCGTGTGGAAGTATCAAAATGGAACGCAGTGTCATTTGTCTTCAGAGCTCAACTGTAACAAGCTGAAACATGCTTTTTTTTCTATTCATGTAAAGATGTGAATTCTGAATTTGCGTCACTGAGGAGAAAACAGAAAAAACGAGGGGAACCCTTGCCCTGTGTTCGTTGTGGATAAACCCTTGTGCATGCCAAACAATGGTTGCATGAGCACTGCAGACAAATCACACTACGTTCGATTTGGATGCTTCCATATTTATTTGAACAGATAAAATCAGAGAAAATATGTTTTACTTCGAGGTGCTCTTGAACGTAATGCACTTAGACTATTTATAGCTCAAATTTAAGGGAAAACTAAAACATTGTCCCGTGTAAGGTAACATACCAGTATGAAGATTGCTACAGTAAAACAAATTTTGCATTTAAAAGATTTGTAGATGCTCATGAATCCAAACAAGCTCTGATTGAAAAAGAGGGATTTTTAATAGACATGCGTCTGTCAAAATGAAATGTCAATGTCATGTGCCAAACTTTTGGTAAGTCCTCAAGTGCATTCTCTCTGGGTCTTGCTAATCACTTTCACTAGGTTAGGTCGCATACACGCATGCAGACATACATACATGTATCGGTATTAATTATAATTAAATTTGCGGGATTGGTTGAGGAGGCTACTGAAATAGCTCTGCTGCCCTGACGGTTTGCCTTACTATCAACTGGTAAAGTTCTCACAATATACATGTACCTTTAATACAGATGTTTGAATCTGAAACAAGGGTCAATTTCAAAGGAAAACTGCCTGTTTGAGATAAAATATGGCTACTGTTTTGGGCTGTGTACATGAACACACACGTTGGGTTTAAAGTACATGTACATGTATCTTTGAAGGAATAGATTTTCACACATACACGTGTAAATGTACATGCACAGTATGTGCATGAACAATGGAACTTGGGTATATAAAAATTAGTGTTGTATCTATTTGTGGACATGAATGTATTTTCTGCAAATAAAGTCATACAAAAATAATCATTTCCCCAAACAATTTATTGACATCTATGATCTTACCAATAATAAACACTGCAACTGGACATGAACATGAACAGAGTAACATAAGTCAAAAATCTTTGGCATACAACATACATGTAAATGTACCATATGTACCAGTACATTTACTCCATTTCACAAATCAAACCCTGAAGCGAATATTGTAGTATGGTATGAGAAGCTTCCAATGTGGTGCTTAAGATACTTACTGATGGGACAGGTGTTGTGGGTACACTGGTTGAGTTCTCCATCTCCTGATGTACAGGCTCATAATTCCTGCGCACACTACCAGGATGAACAATCATCGACATGGATTGAGCCTCGTCACTGATCGTTCTCAACTGCAGACTTCTGGCCAGCCGACCGGTAGATGATTGCCGATGGACGGGAGGAGCAGTGAGGGTTATGTTTGAAGTGCTGGTTGGGCAGGTGTCAGTGGTGAGGGGATGGGACTCAGCAGCATTGTTATCCACAAGATTACTGGTGCTGCTACTGGTGTTGTCTCTGCCACCTCTCAATGGATCATCACAACTACCTGAGAAAGTTGATGGGTCCGCAACAGCCTTCCTGTCTGGTCCCTGTAATGAAAAGGGTAATTTCAAATCAAGAAGTGAACCACGTCTATTACAAGTACCAGTAAATGCAGGTTAAAGCAGAAACAGCAGATTCTAAATTTCAGTGAAATCTTGTATCTGTATATGTGCATTATTTAACTAGATGAACTACTGACACAATATTTAATTAACTGAGCTATCTGCAATAAATATCCTCTCATGTTGATGCGGTGCCATACTTAAAACTTATCCAAACAAACTGTGCCTGAAACTTTACTGCACCACACATGACAATAGAGAAAGTCCTATCTTTCAAGGAACTTGCAACAAAAAGGTATCATCTGGAAAAAGACAGGAACACTGTGGGCAAGATAAAAAATGTCATCCTCGGTGGTCTCAGACATCCAAATGCCAAGACAGACGTCTTTGCTTCACTTGTCTGACAAAGTTGCTTGGAAGGCAGGACTGAGACATATTCAGTGATGAAATATAGTATCACTTAACTCCATTCATTGAAATGAAAGAAAAAAATCCCTCTTGGAAACCACTTTCACTGGAGCTCAACACACAAACAAAAAGTCTGGTGACGCAAGAGCAAACAATACAACCAGAACTGGGAGATCTTAATCATGCCACACTGTTTATACCCAGTGAAACTGTATCACCTTGCGGATGCGGGTCTCTGATTTCTACCTATCCGGGCAGACAGTATCAGATATTCCACCCGAGACAAGGGGGGGTAAATGCCATCTTACGAGTATATACAGTAGAGCATCCCACGTACATGTACAATGTTGTTCTGCAACAGGATTAGACTCACTTCAAGTCTGCTGTGATAATTTTGTCCACTCTCTATGATACACTGCACTGGCACTTTCCTGAGTACACAAGTGATAGTTACTTGAAACAGAACTTTCAAATCCTAAATAGCAGACTCAGGATCACTCTCTTGAAGGAACAGATCCTATATTCTTCATACCAGTATATGGAAAGGTACATGTATATCTTTATTAATTATTTTTTTTAATGCAAATAACAAAGTTTCTTCTAAAAGTTATAAATGACCTGCATGCAGGCATACTGTATCACTGAACACAATCACGCATGTAGCAAATGTTAATTTTCTATGTGCATGACTAAGACAAGTCCACAAATGGGAAGTCTACTGATGAAGCTTCATAGTAAACCTTTTCTTGTAATGCGCATCCCTGATGATCCATCTGTAAGGTAACTGTAGGTGTTGGGAAGATAGCTCTGCTTACTGCAGGCATGAAGCTTTGATGCAAGAGGAGCACTGCATGACTGTTATTCTGTGCTTCCAATAACTAAGATGAATACAGGGCCATGCTTGTCATCGTTTCAAGAGTGGAGGCTGTGCTTCATTTACATGTAAATGAGGCGGACAATGATTGATCCTACCCAAAGGTTTCAATCATGTAAAGTTAAGTTAGGAAAACATACTCAAGAGAAAAGGGAAACACCGAACGGCACTGGTTACGGGCAACAAACATTGATGTTTTTCTTGAGTTTCTTGTCCCAGCTTTTCAGTTAATTGCATAAGGTGCATTTCATCATGACATGTCCCTCCTTTAAATAATGGACAATTCATCAAAAGTTTAAAAATTTGTACCCAGGGTACACATTTTGCACGTTATGAGAAACAGTGATTTATGCTCCAGGAGGCATATGTATATTTAAAAGTGAGCCAAGGAAAAAAGATTCTTTTTCTGAGAAAGTTTTTGAAAAGAGGAGGGAGACATTTGAGGATCTTTAATTTGTTTTTTACATTTGTCAGGCACTGTATCCCATGTCCATTCCACCTGCCTTTTGGATGGGCTAAATGTGACTTGCAGGTGCACCATGGAATCAATCTCATTCGGAAGAGGTGTGGTTCTTAAAAGAACTGGTCAGTGTTAACTTGACATTTCAGCAAGGATGCTCTGGCTGTCCTCAGGAGAGTGGGCTAAATGTGATTAGGCACTGGCCTTACAAACTTATATTACTGTATCTGTTTAAACTAGCAGAATAATACACGGAATCAGAAGTTTGAGACCTGTTTAAAATCAAAAGTCTAAACCAAATCCACTTGTTTATAAACCGCCCTAAAAAACCTTCCTTTCAGAAGACCTATAAAGTGTATTTGGATTCCTGTCCATAGGACAACAGAAATACCAGAAGAGAAGGTTTATAAAATGATACAATTAAGTATGTAAATCATACAAAATCCTAATGTCTTAAAGGTTCAGCTGAAAAGTCACACGGGTGAATGACAGCAGGTGAATGAGAATTTGGAAAAAACAACAGAGCATTGGGCATTGAATCAATGATCAAATTCTTGGTCGTCAGAGGGGGTTATATGTGCAATGTGTGGTGAAAGTTCTACTCATCTTTATTTAAAGAAAGGCAGTGGAAGAAAAAACAAAATGAAACTGCACACCCTTGAGGGATGTTACCAGTACATGCATAGAGGAAAGACACAGGAGTATGAACTGCCCCTGCCTGGGCCGTTTTCCAATACTCAACTTTGTCTCCATCTCAGGCTTCGTGTAGGAAATCAAATCCCTGATTGTGGGCCTGAAGCGTTTAACTTAAATTGAAGTACTGTCATGTTCAACTCTTTTGCATCTTATGTGATGTTTTGTGGCACAATCAGACTTACTTACAGCCTCAAAGTAAGGAAGTAAAAAAACAGTTGAAGCCTGAGACGGAGCAAAAGTCGAGTATTGGAAAACAGCCCTGGTATGTCCATAGCCAGAGCGCAGTGAACACTTGCTAAGCACCATCTGTTTCACAGCCACAAAACCCCTTTGTACCCTATGATTGCCGCCGCAATTTGTCGCTGATAATCTACATGTACATCCTTAAAACTTTGTGCACTGAGGTATAGGAAATTGAATATTCATGCATTTGTTGGTGCTTGGTATGATCTCATGAAACATCATATTTAATGCTTGTGCAGTTGCTTGCATTATGCTGTGTGCCCTAAATCTATATGTGCAGTCATTGCCCTTAATGAGCTCTTTCTTCTGGAGTTAGTTTGGGAATAACTAGCCCGGTTGTTTACAAGATCGTGTGTTTTGTTTGAATCATTTTTATTATGGCATTTGTACAACAGCGAATTTTATGAGATTTCACGATCACTCCCTGTGATGAAATAGCACATGTTGTTACTTATGAACTTAGTTTTCCAGTAAAAGTCAACATTTTGTTGGCCAGTCTTAACCAAATTCATACCAAGTCTTTGAACACTGATGTATTGGATGGAGGAGAATAAAATTACAAACTTTGCATGGATAATGGAACAATGTATCAAAATTCAAAAAGTTTATTTACAATGGCAAAAGTAGGTCTAATATCAGGGATGGTACATCTATGATGGTAAATGTAAATAGTTACCAAGTCCCTAATAAGCCTTTTGTAAGTTAAATTGAATAAAATCTGGTGCCCTGAGTTACCTGATTACACATAAACATCATGATTCTAATTCCCCAGACTAAAGAAACTTGCTAGACCTCGTGATTCGGGACAAGCTTTTGCATAGCAACCACTGTCTCTGGAGTGGACTGGTTCCTTTGTTCCATTCTTATCCATTGAAAACAGTGCATTGATGCAAGGCATCATGAGGTATAGCAAAAGTGTCTTTAGTTTGGAGAATTCAAATTGCTAAGTTCACGTGAATTTAAAGAACTCGGTGTACTAGATTTTATTCAAATTTAACTTACCAAAGGCTTCTTTTGAATTGAAAATTCAAAAGAAAAATGTCGTGAATTTAAAGAACTCGGTGTACTAGATTTTATTCAAATTTAACTTACAAAAGGCTTCTTTTGCCACCTATTACAAAGTTTCATAGTAAAACAAATGGCGAAATTACGGACCTGGGGACTACACTATACATACATGTGCATTCACAGATGCTAGGCAGGACGAGCTGCACATCTGGATATCACTAATGTGCACAAACCTTATGAGAATGGTCTAGAAAATCCTTAACAGCCTATGGCCTTAATTTCCTGGATAAATTTAGGATGTACCGTATTACTGCTTCCTGATGGCTATCTGTAGGGAAAAAGTACGTCTACATATAGACCATCATAGATGTCCAAAGAGTTCTTCCCCAAACATCACCACGGGGTAATTAACCACTACATATACATGCAGGGGTCAATTACATCTAAACTCTCTATCACTGTGTGATACTCTGTTAAGCACCACTTTGGAATTTTTAAAATTGTTCAAAAAACAAGTATTCCCACAAAAATTGTGCACATCAATAAAATTGCATATAGTTCATTTATTTATCACAGACAACAGCCGTACATACGAGATTGACATGAACAACATATTTGACATATATTCTTTGACAATTTTATGTACATGTACCACAAAGGATGTAAATTGAAAGAATAAAAGAAAATGGTTACCCCAAAACAATTTTCATGTGAAAAATCTTTGATGCTGAGTCACAGGTATGGCTGAATTGCTGGCTAATTATTTAGCACAACAGTATCTTGGGTTGCACACTTGTTGTACATACATGTACATTGGGTCTGTTATCATTTTTATTGAGAGATTGGAGTCAGCCAAGAGCTACAGTTTGATCTCAAAATAACTGAAGAATTTACATAATTATTACATGTTCTTGATTAACAACAGATGCACAATGACGTTGCTAGCTTAGTGTTGGTCCCTGATCTGGTAAGGTAATTTTTCTAAGCCAATAATGAGACAAGTTTGTTGACGGAAACCTTGCATGGGGGTAGATGATCAACAGTTGTTTTGGGACAAATGTTCTCTTTTTTCAAAAGTAGTTGTGCGCACACTTTCTAAGGTTAGCCTATGGCCTTGTTCTCCTGCATAAAATGTAACATGAAACAGCAGCGAAATGGTTCCCACCCAATTGTATCAGAATTACAATCATGGGATGTGACCATGAATCAACTAAGCCACTGGTAACCCAACATCCCTCATGCTTACTTTAAGTCCCTAGAATAAAGAACATGGTACACTTTAGTGATGCAAATACTACCGGCTTTTAAAGTTTGCACTCAACTGTGCCTAAAGTTGGTGACCATATGATATAGGAGGATGGGACTTGTGCATGACTTCCAGCCAGCGTGGTACAACCATCCCAAGGTGAATGCACTTTTGCCATATAAAGCAACGTAAAATGCAATTTGTTTTCACCTCACACTGACACGAGGTCACACAAAGTCGCGTCCACGAATCGGGTTGTGCAGACATCCAGGAGTTTTGCAAAATGGCAGGTAGTAACCGATGAAAACAGCAAACATGGTGACGTACGCGTGCACTAGCTAGTTGTTTTCATCGGTTGCTAGGCCTACCTTCCATTTTGCAAAACTCCTGAATGTTCGCGCTGCCCCATTATCACCAGATTCCTTATTTTGCTACTGTACAAACCAATCAATCTGACTTGACAATACATGTACATGGCGAAATTAGGGTCCAACTGAACCTTACTGTCACAAATGTTATGCAAACTTTGAATTTGTGCAACCAAAGAAATAAACCAAAAACCTCAAGCTGAACAACTTGAAAATGTGCACTAGGCCCAACATGACTGAGGAAGGAGTTCCATACCATAACGCAAGGTTTACCATGCTTACGGACACCACTCGACACCCTGTGCACAAACCCTATGAAACTGGTCTGAAAAATTTTAGGTGTTTTCTCAGAAAACGACTTGGTATTCCCCCCTCCCCCCCTAAATTGAACTTTTCTGGACATGTTTTGCTTTCTGAGTGATGGCTATCACTGTACTGTAGGGAACCATTAGTTTTTACTGTCTGGCCTAGGCCTAAATCATGGTGCTCAACTTGAACATGTTGACATGGTTGAAGTAGGCCTGCTAGGCTTTTTTGCTAAATATACAATGCAGCTCCATGCGCATGCTACCACTAGTACTACTAGGCCTACATTATTTAATTAATACATTAGGTCCATATGTGGGCCTATATTATATACAAGCCTAGGTCCTCATGACATTTGTCAACAACACTAAGTGAGGCTGGTACAAGTTTATTTTGCATTACTAATACAAGGCATGCAGGGCGCCGGTTCGGCCTACGTGTACATCTTTCATGCGTGAGCAAGACTCAGCTCAGTAGAATAGCCTATCACTTAATTTCAACACTTTCACATACAAGGATTGTCAACACTAATAATGCAAATCAGAGGTGATTCATATAATGTATGCAATGTGTGAAATGCACTAGTTCTCGCAAATAATTACCAGCTTTTCCTAAATTTATTCCTCCTCAACATGGGATGACAGAACACATTTCCACGTTCATGTGTAGGCCTACATATGTCGTTATGTTAACGCGCGTACACGTACGTACATGTACGTCGTGCATGCATCGCGCGCACGCATCTTACGATTTTATGCACAAAAAAGTGCTCTAATGGAACCAGCTAAGCTTGTATGTTGATGAAGGTTGCCAAGAACCTGTCGGCTACCAGCGTCATCATTCAACGTACGTACGTGTGCATGTACGTACACACTGTACGTGGCTCAAACATTATTTCACTAGGGGCGCGCGGTAAAATTCTAGCAGACGATAATAACATCAATTTTGGTTTTGTTTCAAAACCAAAACTTTCTTTAAAAATTACATCTAAACAACTGTTTTCAAAGTTAAAATTGAATTTTTACAGAATTTTCTATCTAAAAAGTATGCTTGCTTTTAATGTGGATTAAATCTTAAAAAAAAAAAATCTGAAAAAAATAAGTGTTGTGCATGCAAAGGCGATATTTCAGCTTCTTGTCAAAGAACAGTCCGGTATATCACTCCGCCAATCGAGTGCGTGATGCATTTTGGAGCCTGCGGCGGCGGCGCGGCGCGGCGGCCCGCGGATGGAGGGGGCATAGTATTTTGCAATTTGCATGTGTGTCGGGATATCGGTTGGAAGCATGGAGGAAGAACAACGTACTGGCAACCGATGAAGACAATTTTTCGTTTCCCAGCGCTTTAGTTGCGCTTCAGGGGCGTTTATTGAGAGCACAAGGCTTTCAGAAATTCGCCTTGTTGTGCCAGTAGTTGATTTGAGTGATGGTTATGAGTGTTGCTTTCATACAAATGTGGAAAATAATTCGGCTAAACATGAACGTTGTGCGTACGTGTCCACTGCTGGTTGCGTTGCCGTAGCCCAGGTAAGCTGCCTGCGAAGCAGTTAGCATAACCATAAACTTAGTACAGTGAGTTAGTCTTCACACGACGAGTGAAATACCAAATAGTGAGTAATTTGTCCTGCATTTTATTACTCGGTCTATTTTGTCTTGTTTTGATTTTCAGGATATGCAGGATCATATCCCTATGGTCTGTGGTGTACTCTGATACGACTGAACAGTTGGAAATGTGCTTCATCCTTTCACTTCAGACATGTCAGACTTCAGTATGGATTTCGACGCATATTATGTGGCTCAATGCTGTAGAGTGTTGACATGCAGGCAGTGTCGACCTCAAAAGCCGAGTTGCCATTGCGCAAACGGCTTGTGTTGTGGCTGTTTGTGTGAACAAGGGCTAGTTCTGTTGAACAAAGTTCAGAACTGCTGCATAGGAAGCAATTCCCTACAGGAACTGTAGTGGTCATCTGAAAAACAGAGTATTTGTGTACTCTTTGTCAGTATTTTAGACATCAGGCCTACTTCGTCTGATTTTATTCCTAAAGGAAATCTTTACTGGGAAATTTTCTTTTCCATTGTGGAGTTTTCTTGGAAGATTTCCCTTACCAAACACCATGAGTGAGAAAGAGAAAAGTCAAGAAACTGCCCAGCAGCACGGTAGAGGTGTGAGGAGACAAGTGATTTCTAATGGTGTTGCATCACCTGCTGAGCGAGTCAAACATAATTCACGAGGCAAATCACCAGTCCAAGCAGAAGAACCTGCACCACTCGCAGTGCCACTCATAAATGGAGAAGTGCATCCTGTATCGGTTCACAGGTCACCAGGTCATGTAAACCTGGCCATTCGCAATGGCCGGCCAGAAGTTGAAGCGATCCAAACTTCAAATTTGAAAGATAATGACCCACAGTCAAGTCACAGCAGCTCAGTCCTCCCAAAGGAAGAATTTAGGATAGATGGCGATCTCAAAAATGTCCCACCTACTGACACACAAGCTCTGACAAGAACTGTTGATGATAAAGACCCTTCTGAAGGAGACAAAGACTTGAAAGAGGATAAAGTATTAGGTCTCGGGAAACGACAGAAGTCGGTTACCATATGTGAGCCTGAAGATGTTGTCGCCAAGACGGAACAGTTTGTGCTTGAAAAGGTAGAAAATGATCTGAATAAGGAAAATGCCCAAACAGTCCCTGTTGGAATTTCATCCGATGCTACAGATGTTTCTGGGAAGGAGGAAGAGCTAAAAGATGGCACAGAAGTGGAGAAGGATGATAAAGCTGTTGATAAGTCACCTAATGGTCGCTTCATGAAGTATGACATCGAAGTTGGGCGAGGATCCTTTAAGACAGTTTACAAGGGGCTTGACACTGAGACTGGTGTTGCTGTTGCCTGGTGTGAATTGCAGGTCAGTCTTGTTAGCAATAAAACAACATAGCTTTCTGGTACATGTTGAAACTAGAATGTGACAAGAACAGTGACAAATAAGTGTAAGCAAATGAAACACTAATGTTGAAAACAAAAATGAAGAGTCAAGTAAAGAGAAGTTAACACATAGCACACTGTAATGCTGAGAAAATACTCTTAGCTTTTTTACCATTGGTTAGCTCAAGAAACTAGCTTCTGCCAAGAAGAGATTTAACCTACATGTACATGTACATTGTACCCACTATCATCTACATGTACGGTACTTCAGTATTCAAATCCTACTTTAGAAAATAATAGCCTATCCTTTACTAACATTACAAGAAATCTGATTTCCCTCCCTTACCCTGGTTAATAAGAGAAGTTGCCATCCCCTACCCCTCACATTTTTTGCTGACTCTCAACAAACTCAAGAAATACCTTCCAAACACTTAAACAGATCTCAAGGTGACATTCCTCTCTTGCATCTGTATTTAACAAATCATGCCCCTGAATACACCCAAGGGTGAAAAGGGCTATCTTGGCCAGTACTGAGGGGCATTTGGGTACCAGCAGCCTACAGACGCTGGCTTGTGGTTGCTTGACGCCTATGAGAATAAATACTGGGGTAAGGAGTTTCAAAAATACTTATTGGACCATGTAATGTTGCTTTCCTCATGATGACCCATGCATTTAAACTTTGAGTATAACAAATTACCTTAAACTTTCACAATTTGCTGAAGTTGGAAGAGAAAGTTGCATTTTTTCATTTCTTTATCACAGCCCACTGCCAAGCCCTTTTGTTATATTCCAGTTGGGGACATTCCATTGGTAGTGTGGAGTGACAGGAAAGTCATTCACTTCAAACATGAAGAAATTCTGATTAAGTGACACACCGACAGTGTACATGTACAAATCACATGTAAGAGAGAATACTCAATTCAAGCTAAATGCATTATCCTCATAAAGTCAGTGAATAGTCGGACTCATATTAATGTGGAAACACCTACATGTACTTGGAAATAGTTGTGTGAGAAAAAAATGCATTTCAAACACAGAAAACAATTTTTCACACAAAATTTATCGAACATATCAGTCCACTGAATACATTATAAATCTGAAATGATAGGGGTTCCATAGTCACTAACATTCAGCTTAACCAATTTATAAAATATACATAAGACATACATGTACGTAATATAGTTGTGCATGTTTACAGAGCTACCGTACCCCTACATAGAGGTCTTGATGCTTGAAACTGTAGCAAGTACATGTGCATGTTTACATGCCCATATACTTGTAAGTAGGGCGATACTGCGCCACATGTATTGGAAGGAAGTGGTCACTTTTACTCCTGTTCAAGAGTTTGGTTGTTGAGTTTGTCTTTTAGGATTTAGTAGATTTTTATATAGAAATTTTCACTACGCAGTTTATAAATTTATACCATTCAAAATGTTCATTTTACACTGGCATGTACAGTGTACATGTACACTTGTACATATATTTGTACACAGACAGGGTGCATTTACTAACATGTATGTTTAGAATCATGCATATACATGTACTTTATCAGGACAGTTACAAAAAGTATTACTTAAAAAGAATAAATTTTGAGAGTTTTAATTGGTTAGCATTTCCAGCCAAATGCCCCCATCTCCTTGAAATCTCCCTAAAGGGCCTCTGAAGCTCTTTCAATTTTTCTAAACTGACACTAAGAATCCTGCTGTACATTGTTACTGTTGTTTGATTATGCATTATTACATAAGAGCCATTCTATTATGAAGGAAGAGCTGAGGTCTAGCTATTTATAAACACAAAGTGTGTGTGCACAGACTGCAGTCTTTCCTGTGGTGCATGTACATAAAATGAGGTCAATCCATGGGTTGCTTTGAAAGTTAAGGATAGAACTATAGATCTAAAGGGGGAGAACAGGTAGTTCTGAATCTTTTTAGTCATTGTTTTGGAAATTAAAAGTTCAAAATCTGCCAGAGCATTCACAAGTAATGAGAGTGAACTCTAGTAACCTTTTCCAATAATCCAGTGTTGTTTATTGTTAGAAGCTGATGTTGAAATTCAAAAACTTCATCAGATTAAATGTACATGTACATGTGTGTGGTATGTAGATGTACAGTGTACATGTGCAGATTTACACGTGCAGTTGTTTGTGTTACTCAGAATTTATAAGGAAGTGGCTTTGTATGGTTTTTGTGGTATCACAAAAAAGATGATTTTGTTTTGGTACAAACTGCTGAATCCTGTGGTTGCTTTTATTCAGTAGAATATGAATTTGTGAAAAGTACAGTTTGTTTTATTTAAGGAGCACAAAAAGACTAACCTGAATGTGGTTAGATTTCAGGATGGCTTGGGTATAAAGTCATTGTCTGAAATGATGAGATCATGTGAATGGTCTTCGAGTTGCCATTCCCACACTCATGGGTTTGGTCAGTGGTTGAACCAAAGGTCCCTTTCAAGTGAATTGTCACCAAGTTCATGAAGGCATTACTTATAGGGGCCTACATGTAGGGTGTGCTAGAGGAAAAGGCATGCACTCTGGATACACAAATCTGTTATGATAACTGCACCTTGCTTTTATCATATCCTTCATTATCATACACTTTCCTGTACAGTTTTTACATTTCGTGATTACCTTCTTGTGTAAATATATGTAAATGTTATGATGTACCGGTATGTACCGGTACATGTACATCTTACTCTACATGAACACTTTTTATTTGTCTGTTTTGCAACTTTGGGCAGTGGAAATTGGCACAATTTTCAAAGAATATAAACTACTATACATGTTATTTGTGTGCCTTTTTTGTGAAGTAACCTTATTTCCAAATAACACTTTTTACTGGATTCTGTTCCTATCTTATCTTATTTACATACATGTATATTATACATGTATATAATAAACTTGATTGTAACTTAACAGTTTCTTTGGGGGTTGAGTTTTTAAGATTTTTATTTGTTTTGGTATTTGTACAAAAATTGGTTACCAACTTATGTGTATATGTACTTAGATTATACTTAGACAAATTCAATCGGAAAAAGTGTACACCAACAGCTGTACAGCACAGTTTTTTTGCCTGCGAAAAAGTTTGTCTGTTTCCAACAAGGAAGTTTGCATTTACATGCATTTAACAACCCTCATTCTGTTAATTCATGTACCGGTATCTCAAAGTATTTATCTGGGCTAGAAGTGTTTCATTTCTGAAAATTGTACTGTGTGAACATGCAGCCATTATGGTGTAACTCTAACTGTAACCCTGTGTTTGAGGCATTGTATCATTGATATGTAAATGATACCCTGTACCAAGCGATTTCATGGGGCCTTGTACATTTAGAATTAAGATCAGTGTTGGCATGAAATGCAGACATGTATACATTTTTATAATAGTCTGCTGTAATCGATAATTCACACCAAACAACCAGTCTGCAGTTAATTGCACAAGCCATGTTGAACACCTTTACTGTGACATGGCAAGGTCACATGGTTCTCAGATGACTCACAAACATGGCTAGCAACCATTATAATTTGTATTGGGTCACCACATGACCTGTCTGGTAGCTGACAACTGTAAATTTATTGCAGGGTTAAAATGCTGAACAAATGCATGTTTACTTTTCTGGTCACTATCAACTCCCTAATCAGCATGCGCTTTAGTGTGGTGGCCACTTTGTTGAATTGTATCTCATTGAGCTCTTAGTGTTAGCAAGAAAGGGGTTCAAAGAACATTTGTTTGGTGCTAGAGTCTAGTGTACATTTACAAATGTACATACATGTACTATCATACATGTGTATTTTTTTCACAATGCATTTTCTCAGATGGTGGTACATGATGCACATAAAACTACATGTAATCATGAATCAACACATAGATGGGTATGATTGTGGAGTGAATCATCCAAACCCTAATGGCAAAATACCATCGGTTAAGTGAATATTTTTTTTCTCGATTTTTTAAAAATTTGTTTTGGTGGGGGTTATTTTTCTTTTTTTCTTTTTGTAAATTGTGCATCCAGGGAGGTAAATTTATTTTACTCATTTGTAAAGTAACCTAAGTGTTTATTGGATTGTGCATGCATTTGCAACATGTAGTGAGGTAATCGTCCCTCATTATTTTGCTTTTGATACATTGAAAAGAGTGATTTCAAGAGTATCACCTCCATGTAAAACCTTACATTTGTTAAAGGCTTTCCTAAAACCTTGTATCTTTCCTCATTTCCTTGGGTTAGATATCCGCCTTGGCACTGTTGACAAATGGCAGTGTTCCTGATTTTCTGTTTTTCATGATGTACACATTCGTGTGTGTATACGTTCGCTTTCCTGTGCCAGAAAAACTCTTTTAAGATTTTGTATACAGTAGATTCCTGTTATAGCGCTCTCAAGGGGACCTAACAATAGACCGTATTCGCAGCATCTCCAATTTCAGTCATATTCCCAACGTACAGTGTAGTATATTATTTGAAAACGTTAAATTCAAAGAACCATACTATATTCTACGATTTCATTCCGACCCCCAAAACCACCTGGCACCATCCCATTACGGGTTACAAATCTAAACTGTACGTTCAGGAATACGACTGAAATTGGGGGCGCAGCAAATATGATCTATTGAGCGTTATAACTGCACAGCGCTATAACCGACTTGATGAACGCGCAACATGTGCACATGTACTCTTACATGTACATGTATGTCATGTATACAGGGCTTGCCCTTTATTTTTTCTGACAGTAGCCCGCCAGGCTAGTAGATTGTGATGTTTATTTATTAGCCCGCAAAGATTTTTACTCGCCCATGAAATGTGTGACAAAAATAACAAAGCAGGTTTTTGACTTAAGAAGGTTGGTCCACCAAGAAGTTTTATCAACCGCTATCACGTGGGGTGATAGCGGTTCATGGGTAGACTGGTTCCTGTTCCCTACTCACTTACCTGAGATGATTGTCCAATGAGGGGTTTGCGATCAGTGGTACAACGAAGTCACTTACGAACCGGATTGCACCATTCTATGGACGCAGTATCGGTTTTTGGGATCTGGTTCCCAGTACGAATTGTATGTTAATTATATTGGTCATGTATAGAGGTCACTGACTACTGGATAAACTATCAATGGGTGCGTTCGATTAGCTTCCCTAAATACACCAGTGTCACACGCAAGGGAAGCCTTGAAATGAGGCTAATCGAATGCTGCAGTGTATTCACCTAGGCATTCTGGGGAAAAGGTCAAGTCCCCACCACGATTCCATCATGTCCATGCACGAACAGTCTATCCACGACGTCATTACACTCAGGCAGCCTCTAGAGACCCGCTCGCCAGCTGGGGTAGTGGTGGCTGACACCAGGGCAGGCACAAAGATCACGTGATGGCTAAACGAACGCTCTCGTGTAAGTTTGATTTACACGTGTAAGCTAATCGAATGCTCTGGTTGATGCATTGATGATAGGTACTAGGTACAATGTACACGTAGTCCCAGCACACAATACGGGATTCCAGGTGCGAGTCAGAAGCGATGTTGGGGTTATTTGATTCCAATAAAATAATTTACATTCATGACAGACAAAAGGTAAAGCTTTGAAATCAAGACATTGTTTTATTTTCTTTAATCACATCAGAAAAACAAGGAACGTGTACATATTTTAACTCGCCTGCCGGACGACTGAGGGAAGTGTTTTGACTCACCTGTGACTGTTTTCACTCACATTTGGCCAGCGGGCGACCGCTAAGGGGAAACCCTGTGTATATGAATTACATGTATGTTTACATATATTGGCAGCTGTACGTACCATAATTTTCGAAATGTATGTCTTGTATCTGGTTTTCTGGATGTTTTCGTGACACCGATAAAAAAAAACCACCAAATCTCTTCAAAACCGCCACAAGACCTTGTGCATGCTGCCTCGCGGTACCACACTGCATCCACACCCACCGCAACATCCTGACTGCTTCTGCGTACCCATTAATGGAAAGTCCAATCGCTGGCTTTTTCAAATAACCGTGTGACTGCAGATACATGTATGTCATCAGAAAACCCAAGTGAAACAGACCCGACTTGTCAAGCTGAACATTTGCCACACAAAGATACATGTACAATTTAAGCAGCTGATTTTATTTATCGGTAGAAAGAAATCCTTAGGTAACAAAATACTACATGTAGTATCTCAATGTTGATTATTCGTGCTTGCTTCAAATTATAAGCTCTGGTTGGACATTTAACATGAATTGAGAAAGGACACATTTGCTACCCAGAAAAGTATCACATTAGAAAAATTTGAAAAAGTGAGTAAAAGATCTAGCCTAGCTCACTCAACTGTACAGTGTGTGTGATATCAAGCTATTTACAGTGTACACTAGAGTACATGGTGTATTTGGTTTCAGTCATGTGTGATGTGTCCTTGGCATGCCTACCTGCATACAATATATTTGCATAATAAACCAACCAGGAATGGTTTGTGCATGTATTTTGTGTATGTAAGGGTTGTAAGGACCAGTTCATTAATTAAGCAAGATGCCAAATTACAGTGGCAAATTTATCCTGAGAATTAATATGGTTTTGGATATTAAGATGCTGTATGAAGGGGGAATGCCATTTTTATTCTGGAGACTTAGTTCACTGTCAGCTACATGTATAAATGTTGTACATGAAAATGTACATGTACAGTACATGTACATTTAGGAACACGTTTGACTGTACGCATGCAGTTGTTGACACTATTCAATTGGAAAATTTACTTGATATTGTCAGTGGTATACATGTATTTTTTACTATGTTTATAATGTGATAATTTTAAACATTCTTTGAATAGTTGAACTACATGTAGCACTAATCTTATGGATGGTGATCAACCTAATCATAAGGTCACAGGTTTTTACTATGAAAATCATAGGAATGATGCCGTAATATTTTCCTTTCGTGTAACTGAGACATCTTGATTAATTACCTTCAAGTAACTTATTTCTACACATTTACGGTACTTATGAACTTCTGTTTTCTGTTTCCAGGGGGTACTTTGTATCAAAGATGATACATGTATAATTTTATATGATATCATTTAATTCAAAAAGATGAAATGTATATCAAATAAATGAAAAGTGTACTCTTTATCATTCAGGACCGCAAATTGAACCGAGTTGAGAGGATGAGATTTAAGGAGGAGGCAGAGATGTTGAAAGGGCTGAGCCATCCCAACATTGTCAGCTTCTTTGATTACTGGGAAGTGCAGAATCCAAGAGGTCGCAAACACATTGTACTGGTCACAGAGCTCATGACATCAGGAACTCTCAAAACGTAAGCAGTCTTCATGTTTAATAACATTTGCTGCCTATTTCACGTATGGCAAGTGACAGAAACCACTTCTTGCCAGTATGGCCTGCTGGACATGTGGAAAACTACATGATGTGTTTCTAAAACATTTTAATCCCAAACCTCCAAGAATCATCAAAATCCATCCAGATGTTTGGAAGGTTTTATTTAAAAGGAATCTACAGTGTACATGTATTTTGGATTGTGTTACATCTTATTCGATGTAATCTGCCAAATGGAATAGTGCTAAACTAGTTTTGGTCCCATGCCTTACTTCTTTTTAAAATATTTAGATATAATTAATCACAAATTTAAACTTAGTCCTCATTGTAAATGACATTAGCTTGTTATGAACTTCATTTCACTGTTTCATTTTTATTCTTAGGTTATCACAATAAAAAGTTAGCCTCACAATTTAGTATGGCTGACTTGTGAATAACACCAATTGCTTGATCACTTTTGGATTTTCATACTCAGCTATCTGAAGCGGTTCAGTGGTGTCAGGATCAAGGTTCTACGCAGCTGGTGCAAACAAATCCTCAAAGGGCTCCATTTCTTGCACACCCGATCTCCTCCAGTCATCCACAGGGACCTCAAATGCGACAACATTTTCATCACAGGGACTTCAGGCTCTGTGAAGATTGGGGACCTGGGTTTGGCAACACTCAAGAAGACTTCCTTTGCAAAGAGTGTCATAGGTACGGAAAAGTTTCATTCCTTTTAAAAAAGCTTGATACGTAGACTAAGGAGAGGGCTTGCGATGACACCATGTGGATAGATGTCTTTTAGGAGAGGTGTGGTTCTGATAAGAACCGGTGAGTATGTACTCGAACGTTTTGACTAGGGTGTGCTATGGTCATTCTCGGGAGTGGAGTGCCAGACCTCGGAGCATTTATATGAGTGCATGCAAAATCTACCCACTTGGTGTCACCGCAAGCCCTCTCCTTAGTCTATTCTCTACCCTGCAAAGCTTCAAATCTTATCTTGCTTGATACATGTACATATAGGTACACATGTTTGTGTAAAAACCACATGAGGCCATTTGATATATGGTTTGCTTCCGCTCATCTGAAGTGTTTTTCCTGTTTCAAATCTGTTTTGAAGAGCATTAATCTGATACTGAGTAGTGATACTTTCACTCTGCTAAACTTAACAAACTTTTTGATTTTGTAACATCAATTTTTCCCCTTAAGATTGTACATGTATTTTTCAGAAATTGACTCAGTTCCCCCTTTAGTGATTTGGAGTGAATTTGAACCAAACTTACCATTTTTTTTTCACAGAATCATTTTGAAAACTTTTTAACTCTCTGCCCTTTTCATAATGATCTGTGCCTTTTGTTTGGTTGTCAGATAAATAGTACACTGCCTTTTTTGGTGAGTATGTTGTCGTACCAATCCCAATTTCTAAGTTTTGAGCAACAAGCATTTTGCTGTAGCCATGCTTTTTGACCCAGCTAACCTAAGTCTTCTTTTCAGATTATTCCTGCAACTTTATGACTTGTCAAAAGGTAGGATGGTGATTCTGTCTTTCTCTCTGAAGATCCAATGGCCAAACAACTAATAAGTGTCAAGTGTGCCTGTTTTACACTAGACATTAACCTACAAAATTTGCTTTATTTTCAGTGCTTCCCACCACACTTCCCAGTGACACCTCCACTAAAACAGAGTTCCCCTCTGCCGATGGCTCTTTTTCTCCCTGCAGGTTTCTTTCAGCAGGTTCTGCTGCTGCCCCTCTTCTCAAAGCATTCGACACTGTTTGTATTTTAAGGTACCCCGGAATTCATGGCACCTGAAATGTATGAGGAGCACTATGATGAATCAGTGGACGTGTATGCTTTCGGCATGTGCATGTTAGAGATGGCCACTTCTGAATACCCCTACATGGAATGTACGAATGCTGCTCAGATTTATCGGAGAGTAACAACAGTAAGTAAAGTCATTAGCCTAGAGGCCCAGTCATTACAACTTGATCATACCAAATTCTTTAAGCAGTTTTGAAAATGTTTCCTGGAAGGACCAAGTCTTTTCCTCCGACTAGTTCAAAATTAATTTCTTTGTACTCTTGCATAGGTGAATCACACCTTTGTCATTTGTTTGCAGTTGGCTTGTCAAGTTCATTTGTGTTTTCACATTTTGTTCATCCTGTTTGCTTATTGCCATCAAATCTCAAAAAAAAGTTGAACCTCCAATCAAAAATTGGCTTCCACAAAAGAAACATAAACTGTACTAGCTTTATAATGAAAGTTTAAAACAGACTATTACAATTATTTGTGTACTTCTCAAATGCACAATTTTGTTTGATTTTCGTTTTCTAAAGGGAGTGAGACCAGCAAGCTTTGATAAAGTTACAGACCCCAAAATGAAGGAGATTATTGATCGCAGTACAAGACGAAACAAAGAGGAAAGGTAAGCAGTTATTTGTTACCAATGCTACCACATAAAATTCAGATAAAGCTCTTTGAAGTCAAGCAACAAGTGATACTAATAAGTTTTATTGTACTGTATATTTTACTCCTCTGTGCAAAAAGAATGACCTGTCAAATCATTCAAAGAAGCATTTTTTTTATCATAAAGGTTCCTCATGATATCTTTATCCTCATGATATCTTTATCGTTCAAACAACTGGAAGTTGTAATTATGAAAAGGGCAGGATTAGTTTCATTAACCTCTGAAGGGACATGTATCTTTACAAGGATAATGCACCTGTCAGATTACATCCTGTTGAAATACCAGTGACTCATCCCTGAAGCATTTGTCTCTGGAATTATTTACATGTACCTCTTGTAAAAGTAATCAATAGAATAGGCAAGTTTGGATAATAGCTAATATTAAAAATACCCTGGGCAGGTGTCTGTGGTATGCAGCTTTTATTGATAAATTAATTGGCGAACACGTATTTTACAACTTTCCTGAAAGTACATATGCCATCTGTATCCTTTGGCATAACTCTGCCAAGCACATATTAAAAAGTATTGACCATCCTAGTTTTTTTTACAATAAATGCTTGCCAAAAGCAATCTAAGTTTTAAAAAAATGTAAACAACAAAACAAGACCCAAAAATCTGCAGCAGAATACCCTCTGGTTCCTTTCAGAACTTCGCATGCCAAAGAGATCAGGGTTCTCCTCAGGATTTTTCAAAACTGTGGCGGATTTCCATTGGTAATTACCAACATTTTGCGAAGCCATGGCAATGGGGTTCAGGGCCTGCCCAAGGGCCCCGAAAATGTTTGGACTTTAGATGCTCTCAGCTGCATTTTAGAGCATTTCCTGGGCTTTTTAAGTACGTTTTCTCAGAGAAAAACATAAGAGATTCAATAAGTTTTTTTCTAAAGTTTGGGTATCAATATTTTAACAAATGTCCAGTTTTCCTTTCTGGACTACTAATTATAGGCACAAAAGGAGTCATTTAAAGTTTCAGATGTGCAACAACATATAGTGGCTATATTAACCAACAATTTAAACACCTGTTTATTCAGTATTAATTTTAATACATGCTTCAACCTTTGGTGTTTGCTGATCAGACCTTCCTTCGCCGGCGCCTTCCATGCACGTGCTGCAGGTGGCTGCTTTATCTGCCTTTGGGTTCCCTCAGCGCAGACTGCTGATGTTATTGGCTTAAAAAAGATTCTATCTTTGATTTAGTTTCTGCCGTTGTGCGCGAGACAAAACGTGGTGAAATGGCAACGAGAAATATCGTCCCCATTGTAGATGCCATTAATACTGTTACACAGGGCTACGGCTGCCGCCATGAAGAAAAACGTGTGTGGGGTCGATGTTGTGAGTCCTGCGAATGGTGTAGTATAAAATTTTAACCTTCGTAAATGCAGGAACACTTGCGTATTGAGCACACGGCACAGAAAAAACACACATGCGCAGGTGCATGTACGACGCCCATGCAGAAGCTCAGATTCCATGCGACACCGTCCATGAGGAACGTTCGGTGCCAATGTACATGTACGGTGTGCAATGTGGCCACCGAAGCGTGGTGCACAATGCATGTACTATGTAGGCTACCTATGGTATGTACATATACACAGAAAAATGCAGGACTATTAACTGCTTTTCGTCTAGATTTTCCGGACATGTAATCTGCATTATGTAAGATAATTCTGAGCCATACTATCATAACTATATTGTGCGATGAAAAAATGGGTATGGCCCGTTTTTTGCGTATTGGGCAGAAGTAGTTGCGTATCAGGCCCAATACGCAAGGTGGTACGTGGGGAGAATCCTGTAGAACATATAACATAACTAAAACAAACACTTATATTGTACATGAAATCTTTAGGGTTACAAAAATTTCTACAGTTACTTCATTTAAAATCTAGATCAAGTTTTGATTTAAAAAAGATCTATAAAATGTTGTAATGAAAGTACATCAATTGAGTTGAAACAATATGATATCCAAAGCACAAGCTCTCCACCTCCTGTGAATAAAATTCTAATCAGACTTGGAGCCATCACATAAGTGCATGGCAAGATTCTATGACATTTTCCCCTTGTCTCTTGAGACATCACAAGGTGGGCCTTTTTCTATTTCCATCTTCTTGCCTCTTGTAAATCAGCTACCTCAGATGTTCAGCAAGTGTTTAGTTTATTACATTTTTCCCCTTTTCTTTCCTTTCTTTTCCTTTTGTGTTTGCATTTATTTCTACACCTGTTGGTGGGTTTGATTTTTATTTATTTATTTATTTATTCCTTTGTTTATCCAGGGTAGCCCAAACAGTCGAAGCTGGTTTTCTTTTGGGCCCTCCATTTTAAACATACAAACACTTATCTAAAAATTAAGATAGAATAGAGATTAAAATAGACATTCAAACAAAAGATGAAATAAAAGCCAATTAAGAATGGGGTTAAAAGCTGGAGCAAAGTCATGCTGTCTCAGAATTAACGATCAATAGATAAAATACAATATGGCGGTAACTGAAAGAAATATGATTCAAAAACTTAAAATGGACAAGATCAAAAGACGAGCATATATAAAGCATTAACAGAAAAATGATCGAAACAGTATGGAGTAAGAACACAAAAATTTAAAAAGAAGCTTACCGACAATAAAAGTAAGGTTCTAAAAATCTTAACCTATAACAGAAAGATTAAGCATGTTCATAAAAATATGTTAAAAGATCCTTCTTGAAATTGGGAAAGGAAAATATCACTTTTACTTGGGCAGGAAGAGAATTCCAAATCTTTGCACCAGTGATTGCGAAACTGTGAGTGTAATAATCTGTTTTGGCAATTGGAACTTCTAGAGTGGCATTTGTACTTCGCCTAGTGACTTGGTATTTTGCAAAATAGGAAAAGAGATCTGTCATGTTGTTGGGCAATTTGTGGAGCTCAGATATTTAAAGACAAGAATACTTTTCCTATAATTTACCCTCTTTCAAAGGTATCTGCAGATGAAGTAGTAAAGACGCCTGAAAATCAGTCTAGCTGCTCTTTTGAGCAATTTGTGGAGTATATTTTTGGGATGTTCATATTAGCCTCCCCATATTGTGCAACAGTGATGAGTTTAGCCAGAACCAGAAATTTAATCAGAGTGTGAAGACTGTTTCTGGGAATACAATGTCGAATTCTATTTATTGTGCCTAATTTTGCACAGACAGGACTTGTAAACGTAATTGACAGGCATGGGAATATTTCCGGTTTAACCAGAATTCTGCTTTTTTTTCCCTTCAAATTTGTGGTCTTCGAGTTCAGTGTAAAAATGGAATAAAATTTGGGGGGTAAGTTGTAAGGGGGGTAAAGGTTGGTTGACAACGCAGTGCTAAAAATTTCCCTAATTCCCAGTGAAATTTTGTACGTTGAGACAATTGGATTCACACGTTGCTTTGGGACAGTATAAGCAATACCCTTCAAAATGTACAATGTATGTAGGAAGCGAGGAACCAGTGACAAGTGCAGTCGCTCGCACTTTGCCTTAAAGCCACTTTGTGATCACGTGAATGCCTGGTGTCATATGAAAATCCAACTCCGTAAAAATCAGAATTTTACCTGTTATTGGTTAATTCCTCTCAGATGACCAGGCATTCTCCTAATTATCATATGTACGCATGCGCATTACTCCCAATGGGCCCTTGTTTCATAGAGACGTAAATTCATGGCAGCGCTGCTGCATGGCTATGTGCGAACTGGCTTTTGGAAATCGGTACAAGTACGTGTGTACGTATACACGTTCTTATGCAGTCAGGAAAAAATTGAAATCATAGCAGAACGAAAGAAATTTGTTGAGCGTGGAGCTGCTGATCCGAAACAGAGTGACAAATCAGTAAAAAACAAGTGGAATTTGTCATGGTACGACCAAAAAAGTGGAAGATGAGCACGTTGTGGGCGACTGCTTTTGCAAGCTTTACAATCCCAGAGAAGCATGGTGTGAGTAATGTTGCATTTGTATCAAGTACGGTACTTCCGGAGCTAAAGCATTGATACAGTATGCAGCTCTGTACGATAAACACCGCAAACACTTCTGTGATAGGAAGAGGGCTCGGCAGAAAGCACTAGAATGCCTAGCTGCAAAAAGAAGGAAGATGACGTCAAATCAACATCCTCATATTTAAATGGCCATTTCAGGTTTTACAAGTCCAATTAATAAAGAGAATTAAGAGTAATTTAAAAATAATGAGAAACATCCTTACCATTGAGAAGATTTTGCTTCAATAAATTGGAGGCAAAGGGGGCCATGAATTGCCTCAGATTGCACCACAGAGCATTTTCAAACCAAAATTTTCCTGGGGCCCTTAAGCAGGCCTCGGACTCCATGCCGTAAGGGCTTCCTGCTCTGTGCTCACAGTAGTCTCCCTGTGATAAATTTCATCACAAATTATTTTCGGGTTTTTTTCTTCATGCACATGCCTGAATTGGTGTCGTCCATCGACATGTCCATTACACCTTACATGACCCTTTCTTGCCGATCATATTCTGCCCTTAATAATCATAGAAAAAATACAAATACATGTATGTAGATTGATTTCTTACATAACCATCTGGAAATATCCTATCAGAAATTAAGATTTTGAGAAGAGCGACAACAGTTACAAATGTTTTGGTACATGTAAATATATATTTCTCAAACTCATAATTAAGAACAGATTATGACGGATTGTGTTTGCCATCAAAGCCATCTAATGAGATAGCATTACAGTGGCCCCCTAATATTCAGATGGTACTCTTGTGGTAATTACATGCATGCACACGTCTGCAGACACAGCTGCTCTAAGCCAACTTTGTCACTGAATGGCTAAGTCATATCACTTGGGTATTACTTCTCTCAGCACATTTTATTTGTTCATGATGATATGTGAAAGACTTTGATGTTGGTACATTGAAGTACGTGTATACGTTACGAAAGATAACAATTTCTGCCAGTGCATCTGAACAAATGTACTTTTGAGTTTGTCATGTCTCTAAGAAACTGTGACATTTGATACGATCTCTGAACATTGCCTTTGTCCCTGCTATTTAAAGCATGTCAATTTCACAGACACTGTAAGTAAAACCCCCTCAGCGACATCAACAGCAGAGATCCATACCAACTTCCTGAGTCTACAGGGTTTATCAAAATGTCAAAATGACACGTTGAGTACAGCACAGTGACTTGTGGGATAAAACCCTTGGAAAACAAACTGCAAATACATGTACATGTAGATGTCAGAGCTTACTGATGTGTTGGGGAGAGAACCACAAACTAGGTATTTGCCCACACACTTCCAGCCCAAATGTCACTTTGTTTTCTTGGAAATTTACATGCACAGTAATTTAAGTTGAGCACGGTCAGCTGGACCTAAGATAAAACATAACCCAAAATAGACTTGTTCTATATTCACACTACATATGATCATACCACAGCTTGCTTTTTTGTGAAATGTACTGTACATATCTAGCATGAGAAAAAATTATTTTACAAGGCAAAAGACAAAAGGGAATTAAGGAATTCACAGTTTTTAAATTTAGGATGATTTTGTCATTTTGTTATCATTTTTTTCTTCATAGACAGCTTCTGCAAAAAAAATTGAACTGAGTATTTAAGAATATGTTGCTTTGCAACACTTCGGTGTATATTTTTCAACCATGGCCACAAATATTGACCGCATCTGCCATACATAGCTTGATACAGACTTTCTGCAGACCTTTCAATTTGTCTCCTGAGCCCCCAGGCTGGTTACTGATTCACTGTCTCCAACAGATATGTATCACAGAGAAATGCCTGGGCACAGAGAGTGTGTTTCAGAACCCTGAAATTGTATTTCTCCTTATTGAACATTTCTTTTTTTTGGCAGGAGAGTTTGTGGTTCATCTCTAGTGGGCTTTTATAAATTTGTGTCAGGTTTCTCTACCAAATGTTGATGAGCGATGGCTTAAGTGACATTAAGAAATTACTATACCTGTAGTTGGGTGGTAAACAACTTCACTTTCATTTAGTGGTCTCAGCTTGTTGGTAATTGTGCTGATGTTTTAAGGGCCTTTTATTTTTGAAGGGGATTGTGGTTGAAGGGGATGTTGGTTGTGTAGGTTGTGTTTTACCTGCAGGGATAATAAAATGAGAAAATATCAGACACACTTTCTAGCCCACTAGGCTTGGCAAACTTAAGGAATAGCGAGAGAATCTCATGAATTTGTGTAGTCAGCTTCATGTTTACCCTCCCCCTTATAATGCCAGTGCATTCCCATCTAACTTGGCTACACTGGGGGCCCGTTCTGATGACGCACAATGTAACACTTGGCTCGCACAGGGGCTGAGAGCTAACATGCGTACATGTGTGGATTTTCTATTTTATGTCACATCTGTGCAAAAGAGCTGAGGGTCAGGTTCGGTCGTTGCTCAAAGGGTGGTATTTGATAAGGACTTACATGTATTAAAGTGAAAACAAAAAGTGGAGAATTTTTGTGATAAACAGCGTCACAGCAGGCTGAAGTGTAATTCTCCAAATTGTGAAAGGAGGGTATGGGGAGCTGTCATTCCTCATTCCAGGGAATTAATGTTGCTAGTGATTACTCTCACTTTTGGATCACAGCGTGGGGCTTTTATTTTCAAGGCACATTTACTTTGTAGATCATTGAAATATAAATGTGCTAATCCTTCTTGTAGTTGAGTATGTACAGGTAGGTGACCTTGGAGTACCATTAACAGGCACAAGTGAATTGAGTGGCTAGAGTTATCCTTTTGCCCCATGTTTTTACATTGTAATGTACAGTATGCAAGGTATTACGGCCTGTCATCTTAAATTTGGTGCAGTTAATGTATGTAGCTGTTGTCACTCAGGATAACATCATAGCACAATATTCAAAATGCCTTCAGATACTGAACCATGAAACTGTGTCATGTTATTTATGAAATACAATACATGAATTGAGACCTGTTACTGAATATGTGATGATGTTCAAGCTATTCCCCACTAAATTTTCCACTTGAAAATATGAATTATTGAGTCATAAAGTATAAGTGCCTGTGAATTCTCATAATTATTTGCTCTTTGCACGCTGTTACCATAGGCATACAGAGCCTTGATCTGGTAGCTTTACATACTAAATATAGCTGGTTTAGTGATTCACGTATATGGTGCTTAGTAATTCTGCAGCATGCGCTGCATCAGCTCTTATACCATGGGATTGGACAATATTTCAGAAGCTGCCTTGATCTGATTTTGACGTGATTGTGCAGGCTGCCAGATTGAGGCTCTTCGTGCCTATGGCGGCATCTTGCAAAGAGAGAATGGCTCAGTTGTTAACTTTCATGTGAAAAATCAGAATTTAGACCCTGTGGATACCAGTAAACACTCTGTACAGTTCAGAGCACCCATAATAGAAGATCTGCTATCCTGTGCTTAGTAGTGAGTGATAGATTGTGAATAAGTGCTACCGCATACTTGATATTCAGGCCTGTTAAGAGTGCTGTGTGAATAATGCTTGCCATTAGTGAATAAGTCTATGGTGTTGTAATTAATTTAGTTTCCCAATTGTTTGTAACTCACATTCCACTGAACTTTCAAGACATTGTATGATCAACTTAAAATGATTGGTCAGTTTATGACACATGAGGAAATAACCTTTCCCTTTTCCAGTATTTGTAATTTGCTTTGAGTCACCATTTTTATTCCCTTAAAATAACATGCAATGGAAACTTGCCCACAAGTATTGCCTGTGTGACTTATTGCTTTAAAATTCCCTGTACCATCAAGTTTGCTGTGAATTGACTTCCAATAAATATTTGGATACTGCCATGAAGTGTCTGGATTTTTGGAATGTTACACCTTAATTTCTGCATTATTTATTGTTCCCAAGTGAAACTCAGCGGCAATATGATTTCTCTCATCAGCTGACTGCAAGGCACGGCTATGTGGCGCCATTCTTATGATTTACTCCCTGTATTGTGCCACATAATTCATTTCTCACCTAACAAATTCTCCATGTAGACTATTTGCTTGAAATTAACCTCTCCAAATGACATTAACATGGTTTTAGTAATCATCAAAGAAAGTAATTAAGTTATACCCAGATACATTGAATATGTCCCTGTTCTTACAGTTCATGCATGTATGTATGAAGTTTATTTGAGCATTGTTTTCCCTATTTGAAGCCAATTGTTCTGTGTAGCTGAAAGTGCAACTGACCCCCCCGCCTTGCACAGCTTTAATGTAACCTTGAAATTCTCTAATGAATAGATTATAAACAGTGCCGCTTACAATTGAAAGCAAGACTAGATAAAGGTACTTGTAGTTAAGTAGAAGCATTAGTATGCAAGGGGTGTTGAGTAGTTAGTAGGCATTAGTGAAATGTACTGGTATATACATTGTATGTACTTCTGATATTCTTAAGGATTTTGTATACCATTTGTTACAGTTGTGATCTGAGTTAGTAAAGGTGTACATTTAAAACTTCATGTTTCAGCAATACATTTAGAATTTATATGTTGCACATACACCTAGTACATTTTGAGATTGAAAGTAAATTTCTTTTTCAAAGCAATTTTTTCAAATGTCATTATTACTCTGTTCTGTGATTGTTTGTTTGATAGTACATATATTTGCTTGTTGGCATGTACATTTTGGCATTTGGGAATTTGAAGCAACATATATTTCCTCATGATATTCATCTGATTTATATTTGAAAAGAAAAGCAGCAGTTACTATATTCAGCCTTCAACCCCCAGGGTTTTGCTTTTATGAAGCTTTGAACCAAATAAAATCCACAGTGCATGACAATATGAAGTAATGGCAATTCAGTCATCTTCACTGAATTCATTGAAATCATACATATCGGTAACTAGATAATTAATTTGTTCAATTTTGCAGTGTTTGGGATGCATAACAAAATTTATTTCTATCTGTAATCTCGAAACGTGGGAACAGGGCAAATGAGCCTTAGTTAATGTACATGGCAGTGTGATATTTACATGTATATGCGCACATGTCTTTTTATAAGCTTTGGCTTTATGGTTCTTTCCGATTTTCCTTCATTTCACTGCAGGTACTCCATCCAAGATCTTCTGAAGCATGAGTTCTTTGAGGACACAGGATTTAGAGTTGAGTTGGTGGAGGATAACAACACTGACAACATCCAACTACAGCTGCGAGTCGAGGATCCCAAGAAGCGACGAGACAAGCACAAAGACAACGAAGCACTGCAGTTTGCATTCTACCTTCAGAAAGATGAGCCAGAGAAAGTGGCTGCTGAAATGGTGAGACATCAAGTGGTATACATCTGCATCACTTTTAAGTATTAGATCTCAGAGTATGGATGTGTATCTTGACAAATAGTCATTAAATTGTAGCATGTTGAGAAACTGGATGGGTAGTGAGTGAGTGAATAGAACCCTGTGTTCAAATTAGAGGCAGGTTTTTTATTTGAAATGCATTGGTGGCAGGTTATTCATCAATTTTAATGATACAAACTAATAATACTAGGACAAGTTCCCCAATCCATCACACTTTCGAAACTGCATACATGCACATTTATCTTTAGGCTTCAGTACACGTATCTACATGTACAAGTAATTCAACTCATTATCTACCTTGGATTAAGTATCCCCATGTTGGTATCTTTAAAAAGTAGCTCATCTTACATATGTTTTCATACACATACTAATTTATTTAAATATCTGTGACAGATCAAAGACAGAACTAGAGTTTATCGGACTGCAGGGAGCTTTAAATTTGGCCTGTGAATGTTAAATCCAAGCACATAAACAGATCAGTCTATCATGAGGACAGCAGTAACTGACATTGCATGCTATGAATACTGGTATGAATATTACATCATGCAAGCCATTATAGTGGTCTTGCCGACACTTAACCTGTGTCTGTCTCTTGATGTAATTTCAGTCTCATCTTTTGTTCTGCCTCAAGATTTTACGATCTACAGCTACATGTATTCATCTGTTTCAGCAGCATGTACGTGTACCTGGAGTTGTTTGTGTGCAAGCACTGGGTTGAGACAAAGTCGCGGTTATTGGAAATTTGCCATTAAAATTGAATAAAATGACTGAAATAGCCTGTCATGCTGCAAAGTGCGTCTGCCAGAAAAAGTGCCTTAATTCACAGCTAAAGGATTAAGGTCAGGGTTATTGTTGGGAACCCAGTGTGTTTTCAGCCTGTAAGTATAAAAGTAACTGTACTTCAGGAAATACTGTTTGAGCTGAGGAAACCTTTTGTCATGAGTAACAATTGACCCATTTTGTTCAGGGTACTGTTAGATTTGCAGAAACATGCAAAACAAATTTCCTTTATGTTGGTGTGCTACATAATTTCTATGGATAGCATGATTGTCCATCTTTTTATTCCTCTGAAATTACGCAAAATTCTGTACATATCCAGAAGTTCTAGATGGCATTAGAAGTTTGGTACATTATATATAGAATTTAGGAACACACTACGCTAAGGCTATGAGTACATGTAACTCTATAATGCTCTTGTCATGGCAGAAAATCAGTGTAATCCTTTAAGAACCTTGTGATGTTTTGGTAAGAATGGATTTATCTGATCAAGCATTGTTCAGTGATCATGATGAATGTGGCATTTCTTCTCTAATCTGAAAATGGAATGTTTTAGCACCTGTTGATTTTTTTCTCCAGGAAACGGTATATTTTTTCAAGTTGAAAAGTGAAACCACAAAGACCCCTGTGTTATACTGACTACATTTACCATAAAGCAATGAATGAAAGAATGAAAAGTTGTAGAGCCATTTGGATATGATAGTTATGAAAAAGACCAAAAATAGTCCTCAATAAACCTCTTTGATCAGTGTATAACATACAGATAATAGTTTTGCTTTTCTTATGTCCACAATAGCAGCATGGTTTAACCTTACCTTTAGGGACCATTGAAATCATGCATACATGTATGCTTGTTTGATTCAGAATGATTAGGCTTAATCATATATTTTACTTCTTTGCACTCCGTAAACAAACTAAACTGTTTTTCTCTGAATCAGGAATCATGAAATACCACAGTAGTACCAAGAAAATGAAACTGACGCAAACATGTATCACAGGATATTGCGAAAGTAACTAATTTAATTTTGAATATTAAGGCTAATGGGCTAAAGTGTCAATCCAAAATTCCAAAGCTCACTACTAATAATACATTACTTTTCAATCAATGTAAGCCTATTTGGATACAGTGGGCAGTAAGCAGAGGAATGACTTTTGCTATTTCCATTATAACGCCCTTTGGTAAAATACACATTGAAAGTTTCTGTGTCATTTGATTAAGGACTGAGCTGATCAGTTTCAGCATTCCCTTAAGACCATTCCTCCGGGACAATTCCTTCAGATACACTGAAATGTCAGCCTCCCATAATCCCTCCCACCATCTTAGCTAAATGGCCTCCATCCTCATAAATACAATCAAATGAGATGATGCTGATCATATCCATTACTTCCTGCATAGCTGCCCCCTACATCACTGACAATAACATGCCATCTGTGCCGTGTTTTCCTCTCTGCTTAAACACAGGTCCGCTCTGGTTTCCTGAACGAGGAGGACCTTAGGGTGGTTACCAAGATCATCAGGGACCGTATTGCTGCTGTCAAAAAGAACCGCCGAGAGAAACAGGAGAAAGAGAAGGAAACTGAAGGTCAGTATGGATTTGGAAATGGCTTCCTGTTGTTTGATATTGCATGATGAACTCATATTTCCAAATGTGGCAGGTGTCAGTAAATGTTGATGCTTTGTTGGTGTAATTTTTATGTTTTATATATATTTTGGAAACACTGCTTTGTCCTTCAACATTCCAGTTTTATATGTCATTTCTTTTTTATTAGTAGAGTCCATGGGAGATCAGCTAATACAAATGAAATATTATTTTGACAAAACTCAAAACACTTGAATGAAAAGAAAACTACAGCCAATTTGGTCTGCATCACTATGCTACTTTCTTCTTGTAGTGCTGATGTTGTGCTCAATATTACCTATTCAAAGGAGTGCATATGTTGTTGGAAAGCAAGCAAGTCTAGACTACATTGCGTGATTTCCCTTGATTATTTGCACCTGAATGGATTCTCTCAGCACTGCTCATGATTTCATTACTCTTGTAAATTTGCAATAAGCCTTTACACTGTGAGGTGCAACTGGGGTGTTGCTAGTTCGCTCGGTTACATTACATTGGAGGGTTTGTACTCCTAAAATGAATTAACCACCCCCGGTATGTTTTTAATACATGAATGCATTCCCAAGGTTGCCAAAACATTAGCTTTTGCACCAAACAAGCTGATCCCTCAACTACAGTTCTGAAAAACTGGAAAAAAAGGAACATGGGATATAGAAATTTCCGTACAAAAACTGTGTCAATGAATTCAGTAGAATAATAGGTATTGTTGCAGCATTTCTTGAGCAGTTGGGTGTGTTTACATGTACAGTGTAACTCGTCTGTAAATGGTTTCATGGCACCAGCAATGAGGTTGTATTTAATCCAACATATATGCACTCTTAATTTACTGAGCAAGTATAATCATGATATATGAAAAATCCTCTTGTACGAATAACAAAACTTTAAACAAATTCGCACAGATTTTCATGTTTCCTTGTTGCTCTGTGGTCCTGCGTTTAACCATATCAGAAGATATCAAACAAAGAAGAGTCTTACCATAAACACTGACGCAGAAGCCTGGCTGCACATGAACCCACACTAGCTTATTCCATGCAGGGTCTGGCATAAATCATACTCCCCAACCAATTTGTAACCCAAGGGTTTTTAAATATGAAGAAGAAATGCATGGCCTTTTATGATTTGATACAGTCACCCAAAGAGGGGGAGGGGAAGAGAACTAAATTGAAGAAATTCAGAAATCCCAGGAGTGATTGCTCTATAGGGCTGATTCACTGTAGGGAGTATCTTCAGATGTAAAGGGATAAAACTTGATGGGAATTGCAAAGATTGCTAATCTATTTGACACAATGGTTAAATGATCATATTATGGTAAGCTCGGCCTGAAGTGTGGTCAAGAATGTGTTTTCATGTTGATGTTCATATTTGTGACCGGTCACAACAAAATGAGCGTATAGTTGCATTTTACCCTTTCTTGTCTTGAGGGTTAAAAATCAAATATTGAAGTGGAGGTCAGTTTTGGGATTTGTAATATTTGGAAAGAGTAACCTGTCTCCTATTTGATTCCAAACTTTTGCAGGATCATATATTCAAAATGTCATTTTCTCAGTAAATTTTGACGACAGTATTATTCATGGCTGGTCAGAAATGTTGAAACAGTGTCAAAAACAAAGACGCACAGCTGCCAGAATAATGTCACATTGTCACTTTATAGTTATACCTTAGTGTTCCATGTACCAACCACTGGAAAGCTCTATTTCTGCAGAATTCAAAAATACCAATATCTTAATTTTTGAAAATTCTGACTTTCAGCTCATTCTGTGGTGACAGGTCATTTATTGTCCCTCTTAAAAGCATAGTGGAGAGTTCTGGACACAGCTAACTAAAATTCTTTCATAAAAATATGTGGGTTTATCCAATTTCCCTTTGTCTTCCTGCATTTTTATCCTAATCCTTTGCATACCAAAGCAAAAAGTGGTAAAGATAAAACAGTCTTTCAAAAAAGATACATTTCTTCATCCCATTTTATTGTAGATGCCTGATTCATCTGCTCAGAATTTCCTTGAGCAAACCTGAAAATTTCTTAAATTTTTCCTGTGAAATATGCAGTAATTCAGTTATTTATCAACAAGGTAGACAGTGCGTTGTGAACCACATCTGCATGTACATGTACGTTACAGCCTTCATGATATTGATATCATGATATTCACCAGTGTGATGTCTGATGAGGGACAGAGTACAAGTAAATTATGTTTCTCGTGTCGGCAAAAATTTCTTGAGGAAACAATTCTAGGCTACACATACATGCAAGCAAGAACCTTTCTGGAACATTATTCTGTGATGGTCGTTCATAGTTAGAACATGTACATGCATAATCCTACATATTGTGAGGTACAGTATTACAACAATTTAAGTACCTGTAGGTTGGTCAGGATAGATGATGCTCTATGATGTCCTGTCAATGAATTTGGAGTATTATGACTTTCATCCTCAGCTACCACAGCTATAATGGTACTCAACTTTGTGTCTTTGACAGTTGAAGGGTCCAGTAATGTCACAACACAAGATAGTGGTTTAGGATCTTCCAGCCTGTCAGATAGTTCCAAGTCCCAGAGTATCTCTTCATCAAGTTCTCAGCAGCAGCAACAGCAGCAGCTACAACAAACAAAACAACAATCGTCCCAACAGCAACAGTCACAGGTGGCTCAGCCTGTTTCACAGCAACAGCAACAGCAAGGGGTACCAGCTGTGCCAGTAACAACATCAGGACAGCAGCAACAGCAGCCGCCACCACCACCACAACAACAGCAACAACAGCCCCAGATTACTCAAAATCAACAGCAGCAACAACAGGTACAACTTCCTCACATCTTTTTTTAACTTACCCCACAAAATTCAATTGGAGATCTTGAACTTGTTTGTCCTGTCTTTCCTTTGAAGTAAGTTTCAGAACCTTGTCTTTTCGTAGTTTAGTTTGAAGCTGCACATGGTACAGAACCACTGTGAAGCAAGTTAGGTTCACAGGGTGGCCATGCATCAGTGGCTGCCTCATTTTAGGATCCTGAGCTGTAGTTCCTTGGTAGGAACTCAGGAAGGAAGAACTGCAACCGAATTTCTTTTCATTATGTAAGGTCTTATCAGCAAGGCTTGGCAATGCTACCAGTATGTGCACAAAAACTGATGCGGAAAATTTATCTGACATGCCGATTTTTGTAGGCGGTAAGCTTTGAAGATTATTCTCTGTCAGATTAACAGTTCAAACAGAAAGTAGAAAAATTCGGATATTTCCAGGCAGGAATCTAGATTTGACCCTCTTTGACTGCTTCTTTAAGCTTTATTGCTGTTCCTAAGAATGGCCTTGGATTTGATGAACTGTCTGTTTCTTATGTAAGCCCTTGAAGACTCTTTACTACAAAGCAAAGGTGGATGGGGAAAATTTGGTTTGGGCAGAAAAGTTACCTACGTGTATTTAAACCTGTTTTAATATATTAAAATTCTGTAGGGGAAAAAGATAATAGAAGTGTTAGAGTGCAGGAAATGCACTTTGAGTGCAAATGCATTCCTTTCCATTTTAGTTGGACTATGGAACACACATCAGCAGGACAGTCAATGATGCCATTGTCTTGCTCTGTCTTCTTTCTTCTCCCTGGATATTTGCCCATGTATTACTGGTTTCTCTACCTATGTAAATCATCCAGAGGCCATAATCAGTGACAGTAATTAAAGCCAGTGTTATTGGTCGCAAGTAACTGCATAACATCTAGCAGATTACACATACAGTGACTCCCCAGTGAGGATCTCCTTTTATTACACTTCAATCCCACAGAGACTACTCTTTGAATCCCTGAAGTGACAGCTGCCATAGCCTGTGAATGTTTACTTAGTGGTTGAAGTCCTAACTGTCAGACAGTTGGTCAGTTCCTTGTGGTCAGACCTTTTCGAGACCAAGGAGACAAAAAAATCACACTTAATTGTTCATGGTCATATGGCTTTCTCTTTGATAGGGGTCAGTCTCTTATCATAAATCCCTCTAGCCAGTTATGAATTGGCTTTGACCCAAAACCTTGTCATAAAAGGGGTAAGGGAGACCTCTTACAGTAGGAACCTCTGAAGTTCAGGTACAGTCCAGAAGGTGAGCTGAACATCCCCTCTTATCTTCATCATTACACAAGATTTCCTGCTGCCCATAAACTCTTAGGTTCATGGAAAGGTTGCCTGAGTAGATCATCTAAATTGGTAAATACTGCAGATACCCAAGTTCAAGTTATCAGCAGCTATTTTTAAAACTGCCTTTTAAATCTTAGACCAGCTTCCGAAGCTTGGCTAGAATCATTTGGTTGAACTGATAAACAGGTGACTCGACAGAGAAGATGAAAGGTGATGTTTTTATTTCCAGTTTAATTCACCTTTAATTAAGTACATGGTATTATTCAGCTAGTTTGTGGTCTGTTTCCAAAAAAAGTTATAATTCGATATTTCTCTTTACTGCTATGTTTAAATTCTTCTGAATTGTGCTTAGTTGTCAAATGTTTATTTTCATAAGAAGTAAGAGAAGGAATTTCTTATTCCTATAAAGTGAAAAAACATCAGAGCTTAAAGATTTAATCTGTGGGAGTAATGGATATAAACATAGATATATGGATAGTGTTCCTTAATGCTACATTTGAATTCTCTTGAATTGTGTTTAGTTTTCGAATGTTTATTTCCATGAGAAATGAGAGAAGGAATTTATTTCCAGAACGTGAGAGATAAACATCAGAGTTGAAAGAGTTTATTTATTAGTTTTTATTTATGGAAGTAATGTTTTGAAAAAATGTCCATGTACAAGAAACATGCATCGTGAGCAAATGGGGGGGGGGAAATTGCTGCCAGTGTGTGGGTAAAAGGATTTTCAATCGTGCCATATGCAGGAAACACAAGTTATTGGAATTTAAGAAATGGTGATGTGTTATCATGCATTTGTATAGTGAAGTCAACTGAACAAAAACTTATTGAACCAAGTGTAGAGTCAAGCACTTGAACCTATCAACTTGCACCCTTTCTTGCAATTCCCAAATCCCTCTTGCATGTTATAAATGTCACACCCATGAGCCCTGGGACTCTTTCATATGATGTTTGCTTGGTGATTCACCCGGCCAAAAGGAAGTGAATTTTTGCAAGTAAAAGTTGGCAGACATCCATCAAAAATCCACAAAACTTAAGAATAGAACGTTTAAATTTCTACTTCAATGTCCAAGTTCTCCAATTGTGTTGAGTCAAATGAGTTTGACAGCTTTATGCTTAGGTTTTTTTTTTAGTTTAGGGTTTTTTCTGTGATTGGGTGTGTGAATTTCATTCACATGTAACTGTTTTTAGTTAAAACCTAACGGTCCTCGATCCTTCAAAATTCTCTCGGCAGTTTTGGAGGATTTTTGAAGATTGAGGCTGCATGGCAAAATTGCATTGCTGATTGCCAAGGATACATTGTCTCAAGGTTGTGGGTTAGATCATGTGTTGTTTATGTTCAGCCATGCATAGATTCGTGCCCACATTATATGTGAAATCCTCCATACTGCTCCAAGATACCATTCACACTGCCCCAACATAATGAGAGGAATTGTCAGAGGATTTTGAAGGATAGAGGCAGTGGGCACCCTTCCACAGAACATATTCAAGATTTATTGGAGGGTTTTTTGGGTTGAAGCTGTACCCAATTTTTTATTGGGGCAGTTTGAGGATTTTGAAGGAATGAGGGTAATATACTGTGAAAGGGCCTAGGCGGTTAGGGTTAATATTGTACATAAATTATGGGATGTACAAGCTTGATAACATATGAACGTTTAATTCTTATTTATTTAATCTGGTATTTACACTGCTTCAGTATAGCATCTCTTGCTTGGTATTACTTTGAGGCTTAGACTGTAGACCACACTTTGCTGTAACACTAAGAACAGTCATATATTGATACACATACTGAATGCAGGGCTTTAGATAATCTTCTTCAAGCCATGAGTACAGTAAACACTAGAATAGAGTACAGTAGAGTACTAGAGTACAGTACTCTTTCACCCTCGGTATTTTTTCGTATTGTACCCCCTAAGAGTTGGAGGAACTGAGTACCAATATAATGTGAGTTAGTCCTTTTGCCTTAGTAAATATAGTAATACTTGTTATTCTCTTGAAAAACACAGTTAAAAAAACGGCGCTTAGTGGTAACCATGAACTCGTGACACCATAGACAAAAATCACATAAGTCTGTATCCGCCTATGGGCGCAATGTTGACTAGCCACCGTGCGCACATGCCCAGCAGTAGCCATTCAGAAAATCACAGTGCACTTCATTGCTCGGCAACGAAATGCGCTCACACTCGTAATCTAAACCTTAATCTTTCTTAGGTGTTTCAGACTCAAAATTTTCCAAAACTGATGCCTGGTTTCTTGCAGATGTACTGGAAAGCCTCTAAAACACCACTTGAAAAATGCCCGTATTTAGTGGATCAAAACTTGCAGAAAACTTCATGTTTTTCAAAGAACTTTTGATGAGGAGTTCGGGTAACTCAAACCCTATCCATTTGTACAAAAATCGAAGAAAATCGTGTGGTTCCTGTGGGCTAGAAATCATCATATCTTCAGGGAGTCTGGTGACCATGTTTTTGTACACGAAAATGATCCATGCGCACAATGCGTGCACAGTAGCCAATTTCAGTCTACAACACATTTCGCTTTAGGTCTTTCCTGTCGATTCAGGATTTTCTAAATAATTTATAATGGTTATATATGGAGTGCTGGGAAAAGCTGTACAAGCACGAACAAATCGGTTTCAGTATCGGATCTGAAACTCACTGGGTATTTTACATTCTGCATGACGTTTTATGCTGCGTATTTTGACTAAATTTCCAAGCCGGGAAGCGTATATACGCCAACATGCACGTTATCTAAACCCCTGTGAATGAAGACTTAGAGTGTGACTAAGTTTTCAACGTGTATTTGTTTTCCCTTTATGAACAGGTACCAAGCCAACAGAGCTTCAACCAACAGCAGCAGCAGCCACAACAGCAACAACCACCTGGTCCTTCACAGCAGCAACAGCAACAACAACCATTGCCACCCCAGCAACAATTCCAAACATCACAGTCCCAGGGCCAGGTAGGCACCCTTACTAACTGTCCTTTGTAACTGCTTGTTTTTTTCCCCTGCAGCACATCCATGTTTACTTCAATTTGGATCAGTTTGGATTTATTGTTATTGAATATGTTGGGATACATGTGTACATCTTACTGTTTGATAAAAATGTTTCTTGACAGGTCAATGTGCTAAGTTCTCTGTGTTGGTTCTGTCTGCCTATGTATTCTTGGAATGTTCTTCCAAAGTACAGTGACTTTGTTGGGATTGATGTTTGCAATCATCCATGTCCTTTGATAGTGAGGTATCTTGTAACCTGTGAGGCTTTCTCCTTTCACACTAATCTTTTCAAGGCCTTAAGTAGGATCAGTAAACTTTAGTAAACGCCCTTCCCTTCTGTGTAGCGAAGTATTCGCTCATATCCTAGAAGTAGCAGTGGGTAGTAATTGTGCCAGACACCAGAATCTTCATTTTAATGACGACATGTACATGTAGAATCCGTAACAGTGATCTGTACAACTGTAAACAATATCACAATGTTTGCCGTACAGCCAACAAGCTTACTGTCAGGCCCTTCACAGGTAAGCAGACCACATAACTTGGAGATCTAGACAGTCTTTTGAACACAGTTACTTTCACAAGCCATGAATTGTATGAGTTGGAGCTGACATGCCCCTAAAGAGAGATCACATTTTCCTGGTGGAAAATTTTACACATTGACAGCACGGGCAGGTGAGTCACAACATGAAGGCTTCAGTTCTGTCCTGTGTCACTGCACATTTTACAGGAGCCGACTTGAATGTGAAAGGTTCTTGTGGCTTTTGGTCCTATGGTGTCTGGGTTCTGTTATTCAAATGTTGTGTGATAGAATTTTAAGCCTGGATATTTTACGTGAGGGGATGCAGATACTTTTCCCACAATGCACTGTGAATGAGCTGATGGAATAAATGTTTGCTTGGTTTGCAGTGTGCAATAACTCAGCGTAGAAAAGTTGGAATTAAAAATGGTTTTTGTGAAACATACATGTAACCGCATGGATATGCTTGCCTGCCTGATTTCATGTATAGTTGCTGGTACAGCTCAGTGTACAAATGCAATCATTTTCATTTTGACCGAAGGGAGGCACAATTGCTTTTAATGCTTCACGGCTGTCTGAGCTGTGTGTCTGCAGATTTCTGAATTCCAGCTGTTATACGTTTAGCTCATTCCTTGCTAATAAATTGATGTGCTGCAAAAGTGAAGTCTTACCGCAAGTTGAAACGTTTGAACTCCTGCAAATTTGGCTGTGACTTTGTTGAATTCAATTGAAATGTGAATTGTTTTTTTCCATAAATATCTTCCTTTGTAGCTTTGAAAATGAAATTTTCATTCTCTGCTTGATTTTTGCAAAGCTCCCATTTTTTACCCTGCTTAAAATAACCTTTGTCCAGTGCTAATCAATACCAAACAGGACTTCATGCCATTATTTGATTTGCATTTGAGCATTAAACTTCCATTGGTGTATATCATTTCTTTTTGCGAGCATATCATGTTGCCTTTGCTTTTTGATGTTTGAATTTGCTTCTTGTGCACTGTATACCTGGCTGTTGTATATTTCGCAGGTGCGTAGAAATAATAGCTATCCACCAACTCAGCAGCATCTGCCAGCACCAACTAGTGGAATGTATAGTCCACCATCGCAGTCTTACCAGCAAATATGGCAGGCATGTCTATGTCCTCCCCCAATACTTGTTAACTTTCTCTGTTTCACACCACCAAGTAGGTCAGCACTATTAACAGTGTTTAATCATATGAGTTTGTCATTGCAGTCAGCTGAATATACAACATGTAGGCTAACCCATTCGTCAAAGATGTACTGAGATGCGGTACTCGGCACTGACTTGCCAGTCCTAGATATGTTGATAAAATGCACTCTGTTATAATGTCTTAAAATTGTCTTGGCTTAGATGCTGAAACCCTTTTAAAAAGGCCTCATTTTAGTTCATAAATATCAACAAAAAACCTTCAATCACTGATGAAGCCTCTATGAATGTCTTGTTAGTTGTGACAACAAATTGATTTTGGTTGTTTCTCTTAGGCAGACCAGCCCTTGGGTATGTGGCATCTTTGTTGGTGCTGTACTTGCCATACCTAGTGAATTTTCTCTTCATGCGTATAACCTTCCTACTCTAAACTAGTGCCTGATATTTCATGTGTTTTACCACAGACCGATAAAAGATGAGTTGTGTTTCATATGACATTGTTATTTGTATTTATTTAACCTCAACAAAAAAACGATGGAAACGAAATGAATACACTTGTAAATTAATGTTAACACATGTAAAAAAAATAATACAAACCAAAAATTAATCAGGAGTTTGAGGGCAGCAGGTTAAATGAAGCTGCATGCTTTGGCTAATTGCTAAAGAAAGCAGCTATGAGTACACATTCATATTAACTTGCTGCTTCATTATTAGATGCACATTTGATTGGTTTAATCAGTGCTGACCATGTGATTGTGTGAGACAAAGCCAAATAACTTGTCTCTTTGTTATTTCCATCTTTGTGGCTTCATGGTATCTACCAGACATAATTGTCTTCACTAACCCCAGCTGCCGCCATGGAAAATGACTCATGTTCAATCAAAGCAAAATATCCTTTGATGGTCTCCATGGGGATTCTACTCAGCTCATTTGATTAACCCCAGAAAAATTTGGTGCTATTGGCAAGGACTGTAAGATATCTGTCCTTTTATCATAAAATTATTTCTAATCACAAGCCAATTTCCCTTGTTTAATGATTGGCTTGATCCTTACCTTGTTTTGTTTTAAACTGTTAAATTGGAAAACTTAACGACTCAGTTTCTGGCACATCCAGTAGCACTGACAGCAATATTATGCTGACAACATGTGAAATCATGTTAACCACCTACTATTTTGTAGTCATAGGTGATCAACACATTATGTAAATGACCTCTGAATTATTCATCACTTTACAATCAAAATAATCCCAATGATCACTCCAGTAAAGATATACATTTTTTAAAAGTTGGCTACAGTGATTGTAGCATGTACGTGTAGCGGTAGGTGGCAGTTGTTCCTTTGTGGAACAGATTCCAAGTGGTTTTAATTGTACCTTAACCATGTTCTGCACAATCAATGAAAGTGCACAAATTTCAAATCTGCACAATTTTCCTGCAGCTGTTTTTATTAGGTTGCACATATTTTAAATCTGTGCAGATAATGTTGAACGCAGTCTTTGAACGTGCGTAATTTTTGTGCCTTTTGTGCAGTTTTTTAAAGGGGGTCATGATGGTTACCACATGGAGGAAGGATAGACCGGGGCCAGTGGTGCAGGATTCCTATTCCCTTTCAAGCCTCCAGCTGTATAGAATTCCTGTACAAACGAGTAGTTTTGGGGGTCGTTTCAAAATCCTTTTTTTCCCTGACATTTATTTTGTCTGGGATCCTACTTTTATTGCAGATATATTTCTAATCAATACATGTGTAGCTCTAAGAATTTTCCAAATTAAATGTTTAAGTTAATAGCTCTCACAAGGAATTTTTTCAGAGCGAAGAATATTCCAAATTAAATGTCAACGGGAATTCAATTGCTCTCATGTGGCAGTATTTATCAAAATACTCAAATGGTGAAATTTCTTGTGGCATTCAACAACCACATTCTTTCTAAAAAGTGTTGTTATTTGAGTTAACAGTTTTGTCATACGTTTCTGGATAGGAAGGGGCTAGGATTTTTCCATAACCTCATTTTTGATTCATGTTCAGAAACCGAATAATGAGTCTGCCTTTTTCCTTGGAATCCTTTTTTCCTCACTTCAGTATTCTGTCAGTGCCTTTTCTTACTCGTAGACCGTGCTCAGTAACATAGCCATGACTTGTGTGTCTTCAATGGATGAGTCAGCAGACACATCTGTCTTCAATTACAACACAATAGCTTTGTGACATTTCTAATCATTGTTTTTGTAGGGCATCTGTCATCAGTTTTGGCCCCTTCCCTTACCCACAGTCCTTGAGAGGCTGCCAAACTTGAGGGGAGGGATACAAATGATATTTCAAATGTTTGAAATTGATAAAATTGAAAAAGAGGATTAAGGAAATCATACATGTAGGGGACTTCTGAAGCACTTTAACTTGCTAGATGTTTTCAGCACATTGGCAGTTTCCTGAGGAAAAACGAATACCTTTTCTTCAGGGTGACCAGTCAGAAGCTGAGTGAAATCCATTATCTACATTTGTACACAGAGCATGTATGTACCTTGAATTGACACTTTACAGCCATTCACTTAATGGCATCAATCCCAAATGTGGTATTGATGTTAAAGTTAAAAAAATGTAAAAACTATTTCTAAATGAAAGTACTAAATAATTTCAAACCATTACAAGTCCCAAAATTAAGCATTCAAAAGTAATATTAGAAGTACTTGTATGTGTATGGTTTCAAATTAATGTCGGCTATATTTGGATAAATACAGAGATGCATGTGTCCTGTAAAATGTCTTGTTGAAGAGCAAATGCAACAAACTCATGAACTTTTGCACGAATTTGGCCCCTGTTGTTTGTCAAAGTAAAGTCCTGTTGACTTCATTTCAAGTTTAACCAGTGAGATTTAACAGACGCCACAGTCATGTCTTTCTGTCATTTCTGTGCAAGACAGTGGATGACTTTATGTCTGTCTGAGCTTTACACGAACAAAACATAACACACAGTTGACACGTTATGTCCCTCTGGTGGCAAAGTCAAATTGTAGGTTTTTAGGTCTTTGTTGAATCATTGTATGTGTCTGTCAGCAGTTTACTAATCATGTATATTGAGAAATACTGTGTCATGTTTGATTGCATTAATTTTTGGAGTATGTCATCCCTTCACTGTCAAAACTTACAAACTGAGATGTGCAGTCATTTGCCAAAAAAATTATCCCATTCTGACCATGTTGTTTTTAAGGATACGTGGGCATTAGACATTCATAGCCGTAGCTGCAAATGCTAAGAAATCCGATTCATAGGTTTTTGTAAGTTATTATTCCATTTTAATATGTACATGCAAGTTTTTCTTCATAAATGTTTGAAATAATTAGTTGCGCCTAAATGCTATTCACTTTGGTATTAACGTTGTATTCATGCTTGTGCTATTTAAACTTCTTATTCAACACATGACACTGTAATTACATGTAATTAGAAATGATTGTTCTCACTGATGAATTTATCTTTTGAGGGTGCGGGGTGAGAAGGGCTGTTGGAGGAGTGACCTGTTTTAGGAGACTAGGGTGGGCTATGACTCAAAGCCCCAGGCTAATTGCATTAAATTGACTGTAATTCACAGTTGGCGCTGCTGTCATAACTCCCCAAAGTCTGTCTCTCTCCCCTCCCCTAGTTAACAACCATCCTTTGGCAAACTATTAGGGTTGCAGGATATACTTGCAAAAAAGGGTCCCTGCACAGGTACATGTGTAGGCGTGGTGTGGTTGCCTGTTTTAGAGGCTTACAAACATGCATCAAGCAGTTATGGAAAAGATTTGCTGTTCATATTTTATCAACCAGACAGGACTGTGTTGTTATTGCCTTTATTTTCAAAAAGAGTTCCATGGGCCGCATGGAACCTGTACCTGTCCGAGAATTATGTTGGGTTTCACAGATTAGCTTTGCATGTACATGTATTTTAGGATACGTTGCATGTACATGCAAGAAATCAGCTGCCTGAAGAGTTTCCTGTGCCCATTTTCAGACAGATAAAATCAGATAACATTTGTTGTTCGGAATGCGACAGATATTTATGAATGACCTGACTCACATAACAGGTGCATCCCACTCCAAGCTTGTCCTCTATAGATAAGGGACAGGAAAATGTGTTCTTCAAGACATTGTTAAGAACCATGAGATCATGGAAAAACATTCCTATACAGAATCGTCAGCCTGGCATAGCAATTTGCATGCATTAAGATGTCAGGAATGTTCAGTCACTCAGTTCAGTCACTCAGTTCAGTTGCCAAATATTCAAGATTAAAGGGTCTATTATAGCAAAATGCATACAACGTGTTGCTTGGGAGCTCATGAGTAAAATTCTAAAGCTTACATTACTTGATCAGTATCATTGAAATCCTGCAGAACAGCTGCTGATTAATTTTAAAGCAAGAGTTGAGAACAAACCTGTGTGACCCTTGAGATGCATTTGCTGTATACTGGTTTGTTTGACACAAGTTACATGTATCTGATCAGGTACATGTACCTATGACATGTGCATGTACCCCTACTTTCAAACAGGAATAATTTACAAGTAGTTCTAATCAGCGTCAGACCAAAGTGAAATCTATGTCTGATCATAGAGCAAGGACTGTCAATGTTTCCATCTCGGGCCTTGATGACTATCTTTTCTCACTCGCTTTCAAGACAAACATGTCGGGCATACTGAGTTTCCATGTCTGAGGGCTTAATTTTCAGTGGAATGATGATTCCTTCAGGGAAACAGAATTCCTCTCCAAGGTAGCCTCTTTAATGTGGAAAGCACTGGGCAATTGATGTTGTCATTGAGAGATTGATGGCTAGGCATGGCTTGTGGCTCAGTGAGATAGGACTTCCACGCACCCACATCTGTTGCTTTTCAACATATCATCACATTCCCCTTTCACTCACCAGTCCACTGAGACTCCTACTTCCTCCCATCTCCTGTGCATGCACTGCATTTGTAATGTTGGGTATTGCAAAACTGCATAGCCCTCCCCCCAGCCAAAGTAGTTGAATGTTGTTTGCCTTAAAAGGCAAAGACAGGCAACACATAATGCTTATGCCGTGACCTACCGGTCCCTTTGAGAGGAACAGTCAGTCAGGTATTTTTGCTCTGCACAAGCTCACACAGCATCCTGTCATGAATCACTAGATTCTGCTCCTGAGCTCATACGTATTTCATAACCTTTCACCTCTGTTAAATGACCCGGACAACCCCGTATGTTCAGCTCAAAGTCTCACAGGTATCTCCTTTGTAGAGCCATCATCTCACTCTTGAGGAACAGCCCAGCTCGTGATATTGTTTCACCTTGCTGCTTCCTGCTAGCTGATTTCACCTGAATTGACTCATGACCCAGTGTGTTAGCACCCACTGGTCCTTAAATGTTGATACAGTCCCAGTTTATTCTCTCAAGCTAGCGACATGTTGCATTATGAGAAGGGTGCTGAAACACTGCAGGTTTTAAAGGGACCATCACACTTACTTGTGCTGTGTGGATGATGCGTGCATCGCAGTTCTTATGTTCTCAGTTTTGTCAGTCATGAAAATAACTGCCCATTCAAAGTAATCTGGGTTGTAAAAGTTCCAGTGACATATCCATGAATAAAATTGAATATTGAAAACTTGGGTCTATTTCTGCAGATACACAATTCCAACATAATCAAGATTTTTGATGTCTTCAAACAAGTTGAAAAAAGTAGAAATTTCAATACCTCTGGTGGTGTATGTAATGGCCCTTTAATAGGTCATGCTGAGAAATGTTAAAAAAAAGCAGTACCTCATATCTGCTTGATCATATTTCACAATGACGTCCCATTTGTCCTGTTGCTGTGGTTATTATTGTCTGGTTTCCCTCAGCATAAGCTTACATTGGAATCTGAATAGTCCCATCTAGTGGCCTCTGCATTGATTATGCGCCAGCCCTGGCTGCAAGGAAAGCAGTCCTTAGTGTAAATGCCCATAAGAAATTCTCATTGAAGGTTGATTGTATCGCTTGGTTAAATCAAATTTTGTGGTTGAAATTCTTGGCAAGTGAGCACAGTATTAGCATTGGCCATGCTGATTGATCTCCTGACTCTATTCCAAATTGAGCCAATTGAGGCCAGTCATATGACTCTGACTATTCCCTGTGGCTTATGGAATGTCTTTGTATCTGTTGTTACCTGCAACTTCCAACTCACTGTACCAATGAAATGTTTACTTCATCTTTCCAATCAGGATAAACAAAAATTTTGGGGTCATTTTATTCTGTATTCAGGTTTTGATATTCCATGGTTTCTTCACTTTCTTCCTGTAATGCATCCTAGTTAACATGGTCATGCTGAATAACTTACTAGCTCCATGTATGTTTATTAACACTTGTAAATAAACCACCATGTATATTCTTGTATCTTAGGATTCATACCAGTACCTGCTTGTTTTTCTTTGACTTTTTAGCCCTTTTACAGCCTACGAAGTGATCACAAGTTAAAATAACTGTAACATACCTGTAACATTACATCCGTTTTTGGTATGTAGGTCTGAAACAAATTTCAGTTGACAGTCATTTTGAAGGTCTGTGGTTACAGAACCTACATGTATCAGGAAGTTTCAGGAAATAACATTAATTTTTCTTAAAAACAGAAAAGATACCCAATTATGGGAATTTGTTTTCATCAGACAACATAATCTTTCATTTGGGGTCAGTACCTTGTGTAATATCATGTCTGTAAAAAAGTTTAACTTATGTCTGTTTTTAAAAGATACCAGTTGATTATCGATGACCATTCAGAAATCCAGTGCATTTTTCTTTTGCTGTATTAAATGTGTTGCATGTGCATAGCTTGCAAAATGTGAAGGGATGGGAAAAATGTTTTACATGTCATTAAAAACTTGTTGCACTGCGATTTTTGGATATGACCATTGACAGTTAAGTGGTATTACTTTTTAACCTGACTTAATGTTGTCTTCTCTCTGTACCAGTACATGAATTACATCTTTCAATATTATTACATCTTTTTGGTTTTGATCAGTAAATACTTGTTGTAAAAATAAGTACAAAAACAGATTTTAAAAAAATTGTTTCAAGCAAAAGAAAAGAAAATGGGGATTTGCTTCAAGTGAAAAAGTAGTTCATTGTATAAATGCAAATTAACCAAACTGTCTTCATCCATAGTAGCTTTTTGTTAGCTCTAGCTAGTTAATCTAACTCCTGTCAGTGTATTCAATTGTTTTTAATCATATCTGTCTTGTTTAAGGGGAGCAGTAAGCAACTGTGTAACTCTTAGCAATATGTTTTCTCTTTCTTTTGAAATAGTTCGTGCAGACCAATGGACAGTACCAGCAGTATCAGATGCCAGCAGGTTACCAACACCCACAGCAGCAATCCCAACAACAACAACAACAACAACAGCCAGTTCCGCAACAGCAACAAACACCACAAGGACAAGATGGCCAACCTCAGACTCAGGCTGAAGCCCCAAAGGTACATGCCTGTATATATAGACCCCTAATAATATTGGGGGTCCATATATCAATGAGCATGTATCTCAGTGCAGTATACATGTACATATACAGTAGCATGTACATGTAATTATATGCCAATATATTATGCTGAACATCATGCACATACATAATGTCAGTGAATTCCAACTGGGATTTATCTTCAGAAGCATAAGGAGACATATCTCACTCAAATAAACAAGACTATTTCTAAATAGTTACTTAAATATGTGAAAACGTGCACTCTTAATTACTTGAGAAAAGTAAATTGAAATATTTAAACCAAAAATTTGAAATACAAAAATAGAGTATGTAAGGGAAAAGGCAGATTTATGTGGCACCTCTAGGTGCCCTTAGGAACAGAACAATTACCTGTTTTGCACCAATTAATATGCCTTGAGAAACCCTGAGGAGAAAAATAACCCTATCTGAAATATCCCCTGGTTCATGAGCAGGAAGCCACTGCCATGTTTGAGTAATGACATATGTTCATATTCAACCTGACTTTCAGATGTTAGCAACATACTCCCACTTCCGTTAAAGTTGGCCCATCAGCATACAGCATATATATACACCAAGAATGCATCATTTGTTTACTTGTGCTGAAAAATGCTGCTACTACATCTACATCTACTACTATTGAAAAAATAATAAGTCGTGCACCGTGAACCTGGAATGTCCTTATCCACAGTGCAGCATTTAACTTGTGATGTTAAAAAGGACAAGATGTGATTATAATGCTTTCAGACGACAACGTAGTTTTAAGGGGTATTGTTTTGGTCTTGCTGTACTGTGTCAGTCCCCAGCCTACAACTTTTGGCATGACCGTTGGGGTGGTTGTGGGTTAAAGGAAATGAACAGAGGTCGGGGATCTTCACCTAATTTAAACCAAATTGAAAAATAGGATGCTCTGTCAGTTCTTTCACCCTGGGGATACAGTTGGCTGTGGTTGGGAGGGGCTCTAACACTTGTTCCAGGCAAAACAACTCTAAATCAATTATCTGTCTGAAATAACAATTCTGACTTTGACAACAGGCCTTCACAAAAGTGCTAAGATTCTTGACTTTGATATTTAAAAGGGTAAAGTAAAGACTACATTGAATAAGAATGAATTCTTTTTCCTTGCAAGAACACATTCAATATGCTGAATGCATAAAAATGCACAAAACAGTGATAAATTCTTGCACAAATTAAAGAGTTTATCTTGTAAAAAATGACTCAGAATATTTAACTCAAAAAATCCCAACTCCCCCCCTTAAAAAAAATCGTCTGTTGTACAAGTAGTATACCTGGGGACATTTAACATTTGTTGACTGTTGTGGTGTAGGATATAACATTTTGAAAACTCAAGGGATGTATAGCGCCCTAGGGAAACTGTGCATACCTGAGCTCAAAACATCATATTGTACACATCACAGCAGTCAACAATTGTTATGTCATATCTCTTTGTCTTGATGATGTTTCTTACTTGTTTTTCTGAGTGATATTAAGGGGAAAAAGAATTTTTGAACATAAGCAGTTAGCAGTTCCTGTATTGTCCTGTACACTGTGGGGGGAGGGGTGTGTGCATGTTGATATGATGTCTAACGGTGTGTAGTGTGTGTGTGACATGCCTGTTATGTCACCTTGGCATGTGGTCGCTCTGGACTAATGAAAAAAAAAAACTGTGTTCAAGACAAAGGTATGATAATAGTGTTAGTCATTTTCAATGTTTACGGTCTTCAAGTGTACTGATAGATGACATAGATCAATGGACTTTTCTTTCAATTTGAAACACACAATGTAAACGACTTGGCACTGATCCAGCACTCACAATGCTGTGAACCCAGCCTAGTACATGACTGACAAACTCTGAAATTCTCAATAACTTCATAGAAATTGCCACATGAATGTTCTATTGCTCATATCCTGTCTGCAGGAGTCTGACCCTCTCATACTGTGCCTCCCTGCTAATAACCATTCAACAAAACAAGCACTTTCAAACGTGTATGTTGGGCATATGGGAGTGGGTGTATATTATGTGTGGTTTCTGTAAAAAATTACTGGTAGACCCTGCTGTGCTAATCCAAACAATATCATGTAAGAAGAACAGAATTGAACAGGATTGCTTGGTCACAACCTCCCCGCTGGTCTGGCTTAAACAGGTTATCGACCTAATTCATGTTAAGATAGAAACCTGCTTCCTGTTTCTCACGTCCTGTTGTGACCTGAGCTTGAACAGTGTTGAATCCCACAGAAAGCTGGCATGTGGTTGTGGTTTTTCTGCTATTACATGTTTGTTTATTTTCTGGCCACCCTCCTTTACTTGGGGGCTTATATAAGTTCCCTTCATTGCTTCTGAACAGCTAAGCTTTGTTCCCTGGCATTTGAAATACATTGGCTCAGGGCTCATGGGTCATTATGAAAAAAATTGATACTTTTGATAATACTCTAAGGATCTTAATCTGAGCATGAAAAAAATATTTTATTGAAGCAGATTACTTTTTAAAACTTTTATTATAAAGCTATATTTTCTTGCCCAAATTCATGTTTGAAACAGTAATTTTTCCACAAGGTCCTTTTTGTGCATTTTTTCACTAAAGGCCTATTAACACTGACAAAATTAATTAAGATTCGTTTAAAACCCTGTTCCAGTGATTTTTTTTTTCAAGTATTAACCTTCATTTTCAGACTTACATAATCCTCATGCCATAGTATTGGCTGAACCCAAAGTGTAATTAAATCAATGGTGAGTTTAACAATGTAGTTTCCATTAAGCCAATTGTTGATACTTGTAACTGAGGAAATTTAAAGTTCTAAAATAGACACATAAGTCTACACTTCCAAGAAAATTTCACCTTTCCTTTGAAGAAAAATGTTATCACAATTCACTGTTGGGAACTTCTTTAAAGTAACACTAGCAAATTGTTTCTGCAGCAGACTGATGGCCAGTCTATTACAAAGGGTTCACCAGCCATTGAGAGAAGAGACACTACAAATGCCAATGTCCCTCTTGTTGGCTTTGCCTCAGTTCCAACCTTCACAGATGCTGAAGATAGGTATGTGTACATGAAAGAGAAATACTCAAGGCTGTGTCCAAGTGATATGGCTACGGCTGGCAGAAAGAAAAAATACATGCATATGAGGGAAGTCAATTCAGCCACTTTTATGTGAATTACTAGCTACAGCTACTGATTTTGATGTGGTGTAACGCCTGAAGGATTTCTGTTGTGTAGTGGCACAAAATTTGATTTAATAGTACTTGAATGATACTTTAAATGTGTTCCTGATTTTGATCTGAAATTATTTTCCAGTCATTGAAACCTCTCTTGTTAGTCATGTTTTTCTTTAATCTGAGCTAAGACTAAAACTAATAGACTGTTGCTAAGTGGAGGCTTGAATCTAAATTTTTTGGGTAAAATTGATAAACTTCTCAAGGGCAGATTCACTATTAGTCACATTCAACATTTTTTTCTCTTTGAATGGTTGATTTGATCTCAATAGTAGTACAGAGACTGGCGGTCCTGGCTATGAAAAGGCTGAAAAGAAGGAGAAAGAGAAGAAGGCACGGATGAAGAGCATCAAGAAGAAACATGAAAGGCCTCCTAAACTCAACATCATCTCAGTGGATGAAGACTTCATCGTGGAGTGTTCCTTTGAGACGCATAAGGGAGAGAGGGTGCAGTTCAAGTTTAGTGTGGATAATGATAATCCTGATGACATTGTGGAGAAAATGGTACGTTAGATTGGTGTAGTGAGTCATTGGATGTGGTTGTTGTATTCGACCTTGGCTTATAAATTAGTCTTGTGAAGAGAGCCTTCGCTGCAGTTACTCAAGGATGAGTTCTTAATCTGAAGCTAAAAATAGACCTGTGTTTTGTTTCTATCCGGTTCGTAAGTGACTTCGTCACAAAGGCGGACATGACAGGATTTCCAGTCTTTCATTGGACAATCGTTAACTTCCAGTTGTGTGGTTCTATGTAAACGGCGATCAATGCATGTAACTCTATGTGCAGTGCACGTGTGCAGTGGGCATGGTTTAAACTGAAGTGACGTCACACTTACAAATCGGATAGTCTAAGTGGTAGTGTCTCCACTATCCTGAGCCCTACACAGAATACTAGATTTAGACATGTCCTGAACCTCATGCACTTCTATGTCAAAACTTCTGTGTCTTCCATGTCATCCTCTTTAATCTTTTCAATTCTAGTAAATGCATCGTGTAACCAACCACTGTGAAAATAAGTAAAGTTGTAAAGTAAGATGAAATTTAGGAGGTGCTCCTATATTTTGATGAAAGGGCATGTCTGTATCGATTTTTTCCCACACAATTATTTTCATGATGATGTTTTTCAAAACTCGTTTTTATTGAGTGCTAGGTCTGAAAACTTCGAGTTTGTAGAGTCGTCAAGACAAACTGTACATTAACCAAACCTTATTCATTTACCTTCAGCTGACAAAAGACCTGATCCCGAAGCAGTACACTGAACTCTTCATTGAGCAGTTGCAAAAGATCTGTGTAGAGGCCAAAAATACTGGTCCCATGAAGGCCACACCCATTACCACCTCGGCAGAGACAGGCCCAGCAGACATGCCACCTTCCTCTGCCAGTCCCAAGGTTGTAGATCCCATGACTGCTGCAGCTTTGACAGCAACATCTGCTGTACCAACCTCAGTTGCTGTGACTTCATCATCTTCATTGGAGACAACAAATGATTCAAATGTACCCAGTGATGATAGCACCAGCCCACCTCAGGTATCATGGGAATGGATGTTTTGTTCCATACCCTGGCAGAATTCTTCCAAATTCATCAGGAAGTTTAAGATTGTGCAGGAGTGTGGAAGATTAGGGTCTTGATATCCAGTGAATGTCTAAGTACAGAAATGGGTCATTTGTTTTTCTTGCACTGTGGAAGAATTGGGAGCATTCATAAGAAGTATGCTCAGGGAGTTTGGATTAACAAATATGAATGGTTTACTGTTATTTCCTTCCGTCCCTTGTGAGTCTCTTCACAGAGCACCACATCACAAATGTACAAATATCTTTTGTCTTTCAACTTCATCATATGAATATTCATTTTTTTTGGTCATACCTCTTTAACCACTTTGCGCCAGGGGCATTTATGAATGCTGATGATGCAGGGATGGGATAATTTTTTTTTAATATGTTTTCAAAATTCTTTAAAAACTCATATCTTAATTTACTGGACACTTACACCCACACAAAGAATTTTCTGGTTTCTACTCTAATCTGACAGACAACATCTATTGACGCTGCAGTATTTCAGCTAGGGCTTGCTGTCTTGTAAAAAGAGCCTAGATTGTGCGGTGTTATGTAATTTTCTTTTGTTCACAAATCTGGCACAGTGTGCTGCTGACCTCTTTTCAGTAGGGGCCAGATTAGCGTGCAGCGGTACTGTGTGGCTCATTGCTGCGGTGGTGGAGTGCTTTTGTCCCCGTTGGTAATCCGCTCACTCTAAATGCCCCAAACTGTGGTATACTGCTTCAAAACAAGGCTGGATTATCTCCACTGTTGAGTGAAAAAATGTCGGTAATGCCCAGCAGTCTGGTCTTATGTTACGAGTACGGGCTTTTGTAACAAGGCCCAGTTCCCTTTGTCTGATTTCGGAGACCCCGGCCACGCATATAAAGAATACGTGTTGAGTACCGGCAACCCTACGGCAAGTGGTTAACAAGCATGTGAGACGACTGTTTATTAAACTTATAATTAGTTAGTGATTTCTAAGCAGATGTGTTCTTATGTTACTGCAGGTCACTGGGAGTAAATTGCCAGATGGCTCCACCAATGTTACCCCTACTGACAGTCAAGGTCGTCCATTGTCACCAAAGAAGGAGCCTCCTGATCCATCCAAAGTGGTTGACCCCAGTGGGAACCTGGCTCCAGCCCCAAGTCCCCCTGTAAACACAAATCAAGTCCCAGGATTTACTGCTCAACCCCAAGTCCCAGAAAGAATCGAAGCCAGTATTAAACCGGAGGCTTGTGTGGTAGTATCCAGTAGTGGGAATCTTCCCCGGACCTATGCGGAAGCCGCAGGAAGAAAGCCTGACCAAGTCTTGCAACAGCAAGGTCCTTTACAGGGTAGCCAGTCACAGCCACAACTCCACATGCATCAGCATGCCCTTCAGGCATCAAGGGGTCTTGTCTCACCGGCTACCATGGGGGATATTCAGCAACAAACTCAGCCTGTATCTGTGGGTAATCCCCCTGCTGTGACATCCCAAGCAAGCATACTGGCCCCGCAGCCTGTGTACCCGATCCAGATGATGCAACAAGGTGTGCCAGTCCAACAAGTGATAACAGGACTGGGGGGAACACCACAAATATACCCCATGCACATGCCGTCAGATGGACAGCAGTTTATCAGTAATACCTACCCTGTCCAGCTAGAAGGACAGAGGGTGTGGGTTTCTGGACCGGGTCCTGTGCAGATGTCAATGGTTCCAGGTTTTCAGGCCCAGATGCAGGCTGGCATGCAAGTCCAAATGCATGGACAGGTTCCAGCAAGTGTTGTCCAACAACAGAACCAACCAATGGAGCCTCAGAATGTGTATTCCACAGCAGCTGTCAGTCAGATGTCTGTCCAGGGAGGCACAGTGCCACCGTTGATGCGACAGTCATCTCAGAACCAGCAACTGGCACAGCAACAAGCTCAACAGCAGCCACAGCAACCTTTTCAACAGCAGCCTCAGCCACAACAGCAGCAACAGCCAGTGCAGCAACAACAGCCAGTGCAACAACAACAGCCACTTCAAAAGCAACCACAACATCAACCAATTCAACAGAAGCAAATGCCACAACAACAACAGTCTGGGATCTCATCACACAGTGCAGCCTTCCAGAACGTGCCATTTGGAAAGCAGCAGGGAAGTGCCGCCTCTCTAGCCGATCTAGATGCCAAACTCCATCAACTTCACAAGAGGCCTCAGAAGTCTGCTTTTACTCCAGCTCAGAGCCAACCGCAGTCACAAGTCGCAACACCTGTCCACTCACAACCGTCCACTCCAGCATCAGTGCCGGGATATAGTAACATACAGTCACAAGGAATACCACAGTCCCAGCCACAGGTTAGCTACCAGCAGACACCTGTACAGGCACCTGTATCCCAGGCACCTGCTCAGCAGATTCAACCACATGTAGAGCAGCACATGCTGGTAACTCACTCCCACTCCGCTCCAATTCTTGTCCCTGATGTAAATGCAGGTGTTCAACAACAAACACCCCAGCATGTGCATTCAAGTGCTTCGCATGGCATTCAACCAAGTACCATCATAGAGGAGCCCAGTGCAGATGTGGCTGGTCAGGATACAGCTAAACCATCAGTTCAGTCCAGGCATCCTTCTTTCTCTGAAACAACCCCTGTTAGCTCAGCCAATGAAGGCAAGTTGCCTGAAATATCTGCAGAAGTTTCCAAGGCAGCTGAAGTTGTGAAAACAGAGCCAGTCAAGACCATTTCAAGGTTCCAGGTGCAGCATGTCGTTGAGGATCCTGTGAAGGAAAATCAGCCCAAGAAAGATACTGAAATGGCTACACAAGCCGTACCAACGTCAGATGTCAATGCAATTAGTGATGTAAATAAGAGAGAGAATAGGGCACAGTCAGTGCCAGATGTTAGTGTAGCAGAAAAGAGTGCTTTAACTCGAAAGTCTTCCATTGAAGTTGATGCAACTGTTCCCCTATCAAGGGAGAGTATGGCAACAGGATGTTTAACCATGACACCAACATCGGGTGTGGACACCAGTGCTGAAAAAGTAGCACCAAAAGAGGAAAGTGCTTTTTCAGTAAAATCATCAAACACTGAGGCTGTTAAAACAGGTGCGCAACTGAGCAAAGTCTCATTAGAGGGAACTGAGAAAAAAGAATCGGTGGCATCTCGCTTCCAAGTAACCACCATCAAAGATGAATTTACCAAGGTTGAGCGAGGTGTTGCTGCTGAGAAGGAGACCCCAGTACCACCTCCACTGACAAGCATAGAAGCACAAGCTAAACCAAGCCATGGTGCTTCAGTGAATGCCCAATCCGTTCCAGACCAAACATCCAGCCAGTCCAAACCACCAGATGCAGTCGGAACATCCACTGTTTGTCCTCCATCCCACACTGCCCTGGAGCGCAAAGTGTCTGGTGAACGAGGGACACCAGATAGTATAGCTTCAGATATAGGCTCCTCATCACATCCACCTGCAACAGATTACAAGGGACAAGGTGCGATGGTTACACCACCTGTCAGCAGCATTCAGCCTGAAGGATACTATAACCAATTCCCACAGCAAGCATTCTTTGCCTATTCAGCTGAGAGATTGTCACCCGGAATGCAGGTAATTATTTCAAAGGCAATTTTGCACATACCCTGTAAGTTGGAAGTGTCAGTGAATTGCAGAATGTCAATGGCATTATTCTGCCCAAGTTTCAAATTTTACAATTGAATTTCTTAATTCCATGCTTGTGTATTGTACAGTTGTTTCTTATTTTTTCTGCAGGGACAGATCTTCGGGCCAGTGAGTTTTAACTTTGATGAAAATGAAGACAGGCCAGAGCTGAAGGAAATACTTCAAAGGTAAAGACACCAAACATCTGTTCGTAAACTGTCGTGAAGAGCACTTGACTCTTTGGTTTATCAGATTTTCTGGAAGTGTTCAGTAATCAGCAAATGGTTTGCGAAGACAAAAGGTTTTTTTTTATTGGAACACAGGTTTGTCTGTCTTGCTAGCCTGAGAGTTTTTCAACAAGCTTTATTTCAATCTAATTATTCTGATTCTCTTTGAGACATATTTTAATAATTACCCTTTTAAGTCTTAAGCCCTAATTTTTCTCCCTTCCACTAGGCACAGGGAAGAACAAATACAGCTGCTTCAGAAGCAACAAGAGGAGTTGAAGAAATTCCAAAAGTCACGCTCAGCTCAGATGTTCCTACCATCAGCCTATCTTCCACCAGTGTACCAACAGATGGCTAGTCATCAGTTCTACCCATTCCAAGGTGGCTTGTTACCACAAGGCTATCCGATGCCACCAGCTTTTGCAATGCCACAAGATCCCAGTGTGTACAACATGCCTGGGGCTTGGCATCAAGGTATGGTCCCTCTCATGGGTGGACAGATCCAGGGTCCTGTGGGTGTTAGTACTGCCAGTAGCTCCTCCACATTGACTAGCGTCTCGTCTGTGGGACAGCTGATTGGCCCTGGTCCAGTGTATTACCCTAAAAGGGGTTCCATCACACCGTATACCATACCAGCAGGATTTGGTCGAGTGGACATGAGTTCAGCTGGAGTGCCACCATCTGTGCCTACCACGCTCCCACAACTACCACCCACGCCAGTTCTCTTTAATAAAAGTGAGAGTTTTGCAGGCCTAAACAGCAGTGGGCTCCCAGATACACTGGAGGCACGGCAGCGAGCAACAACCTTTCCAACCGTGGCAAATACAGAAGTGAACAACATGGGCAGTGTAGGGGCACAACCAGCTCCATTGGACCCCTCAGCTTCTGCTTCTCTTGATGCAGCTCAGCAGACTTCCAAGCCAGTGTTCTATGTACATGAGTCAGGAGGTAAGCGTGTCTTTTCTCCAACTCCTTCTGAAGGAAGTCTCTGTGACACTCAAGAACCGGTGATTACTCCTGAAGGAGAGGAGCCTCCAACCAAGTTTGCCGAGTACAGGGCTGATGGAGGCACGTCCCATGACCCCAAAGAGGTCATGTCTGCATCCTCTATCGAACCATCTGGTAAGAAGCCTGTCTTCACTGAGGATCAGTTCAAACTGGCTGAAATAGCTAAAGCGCCTCCTAGAACGGCAGTCACAGAGCCTGAAAAGAAGATGAGCCTGAATGAACTACGCAAGAATCAAGTGAGACAGGATTTGCAGAGTAACATTGGCTCAGGAGGGGGAACAGGAAAGCCTAGCGGTCAGCAGGAATAAACTCAAGGTCACCTGTTTATTCAAATGTACAATTCAATTGTAAACAATTAATAACACGATGAAAATTAATTCCATCCAATCTGGGTTCTCTGGCAAGATGGGTGGTGCATTCACGTGTGTTCCTTAGGAATTTGGGCCTCAGCCCAACTCTATCAGATCCTTTAAAGTCCATTAGGAAGTTATTGAGGATTTCATAGGAATATAGAAAGTAGAACCCAACCACTGCAGATTTTGGTGTCCCTTGAAGTTACAAGTATAAAGATAATGGCTAAGAAAATTGGCAAAGTACCTGCTCAGGTTTTTGCAAAAGATAAACCTGATCTCTCTAGCATGTTGGAAAAGGTCTCATAACTGGAAGGATTCAGGACTTGAGGGGTTACTAAACAAGGATGCCTGTTTTGACTACCCATTTGACATTTTATAGTGCCAGTTGTGACTACTCAATTTAGACTTGGTTGCATGTTGTTTGTTGAGACACCTGTAAGAGCAGCATCATTTATTTGATGGATCGGCTTTACATGTGGCTCTTAGCAAAATAAAAGCTTACGGTCTGACCAGTGATCATTATTTGGGGTAGGACTAGTACCTGTCCATTAAAGTAAAGAGTTCTGAGAACTTCATGGATTAGTTAAAGGGTGCATGTAAGCTAAACATAATGTAGGAGAGTTTGCTGCCACCAAGTACATGTATTTTAAAGTCTCCATTGATGCTAATTGCAGCTCTAGGAATTGTATCTGCATGAATATTTGAGATTTCAGTCACAGGAGCATTTTTATTTTGACCATCAGTTCTGATCGTTGTGATATTTACGCACGTGAAAGCACCACACCATATGTGTATCAAGTATTCGTGTTCAAGTATTATTCCAAGCAGTTAATCAGTGGGTTATTATGTACATGTATTAGTCATTGGATGAAGCACCATATGTTATAAACTTTAATATCACCATTCCAGCGTTGTGCACATGTAAAGGGACCTTTTCTGTATCATATACACCTGCCACCTGGTTCAACTGTATTATATCTTGTCTAATGGTGGTTGATATTCTAATTGTCCAAATATAACAAATATTGCCTTTTTTAGTTCAAATTGAGGCGTGAAGACAAATGAATGGTTTGTGATCTTATGCTGCTTTCTTTGTTTGTGTGTGTGTGTGTGTGTGTGGGTTTGCTCTTGCTTGATTATTGGCAATGTGAGAAGATCAGACACAGTCAGTAATGGTATTTAACCACTTGATGCTGGATGACGTATAAACTCACACAATCTGTTCAGGTACTTCATAGACGGCAACTTTGAGCCACTGAGCTTTTGGCTCATGTCATGACCCAAGCAAAAATGAGGAAAGATCGTGGTGATGCTTTTTTTGCCTTTCATCCATTAACTTCAAGAGTTTGATCTCATCATATTTGGATTATACCTTAGCATAGATACCAAGACTGTTTGATGTGAAGTCTTAGTAGGCAGTTAGACGTCATGCCTTGCAAGATGTGTTTGTGATTTGTATCATCAAATAGACTGTCCACTTGCCTCTGGATAAGCCAGCTTCAACAGCCCATACACATGTCGAACCACTCAGCATTTATCTCAATTAAAGGAGCAATTCTTTTTTGTAACTGAAGACCTGACAAGTTGGAAGCAGAATTAGCACTTTCTTGAATAGTTGTTAGTTCGTAGTTCCCCTGTTAGTTGGATAGCAGCTATAATCTTAATGATATTTCTGTAGTGGGTTTGGGTATACTGAAGATATTAAAAGTAGTTTTCGAATTCTGTTGGACTTGTGAGAGATACAGTGGGTTGAAATGACTGTACTTACGTTTTAACATGAACCCGTATCTTCGCAGTGTCATTAATGTGTACATATGTGTATGAAATAAGCCTAAAATGGTGTGAATGGCAACCTAATATGCAAGTTTTTGTAGCACTTTGCCTGATGCAGAATAGCCATTGCCTTTCCTTATTGCTGCTGATGAAGCATAGTGCTAGAATGCATCTGATAAAAGGTGATGCTTTTTGCTGCACATAAACTGTTGTAAATATAACTGTATTATTATTATTGTTATTATTGATATTATTTAAACATGGAATTGTAAAATTCAAGAGAATGTGCCTGCTTAATTGCTAGGGGTAAGTTTAACCAATCAAAAAAGAAGTGAAATCTATAAAAAGTTAGTAGTGAAAGAATCCAAAATTAATTTGGCTATGAAAATGTCCAATAATACACCAGCAAATAAGTTATATCTCATGTCATCTTACTGACAAATATTTAAACATGACAGAATGGAAATGCACTATAGAAACTTATCAGAGCATCTGTGGTTCTCAAAGTGCCCGTACCAAAGACAGTCTGCTTCAATCTTTTCCAATGATACAAACATCAACCTTGCCAGTGGTTTCTGAATTACTGACCACACCCCCTTCCCACTCTGCTCTAGTGCTTTCTTGTGAGAATCTTTGATCGTTTGCCATCTACAAGTTACCCTAGCTTAAGTTCCATTTGAATACAAATTATTTCAGCTTCCATAATATTAATTGGCATTGGTTACATAGTATACACATCACAGTTTTGAAGCTGCTTAAGCCATTTCTACGTGTTATGTAATTAACAATTGTAAAGTTTTATTGTGTGTGAGCACTTGTTTGAAGATTGTACAATACTGTAACCATCCACCACCAAAATCTGTACCAATAATTGAATGTTAATGTCTGCCTTATTACTAAAATTATAAGGGACTTGTTTTGCATTGTTGACTATTTATGACACACCTGATAACTTTCACTACTGAACATCAAACATTTTAAAAATAGTAACCTCAACTGATTACATATTACAAAGAAGTTTACTAATACCATTCCAAGTCTTACTTCTCCACCAAAATTTAATATAGTCTACAACACCCCGTTAGTTGTGGATAGAAATTTTACTGAGCTGTGCATCTGTACATATACTTTTTGCCCATGTGCATGTTTCTTACCTCAAAAAGGTAAAGTGAGACATTGTTCTGAAATTAGTCTTGGGTAGATACCCTACACTTACCACAGTCTCCTGTTGCACAAGGAAATCAACTGAGCACAGGGTTCCGGTTCTTCTCACAAACACAATTAAGTATATTCTACCAATGCCACCAAAACAAAATATTGAAGTTGAGGTCATGGTTCTTCTGTCAACAAACTGAAAAGTGAAATCACTGAAGTAAAATTCAAGCAGTAGTGTTTATAAATTCATGAGGTAATCAAACGGATATTTTGAATTTCCTGAGACACTGTTGGTGTCATTTCCAGTCTCATACTTCTGTAAGCACACAGGTTCATATATAAGCTTTCACAAGTTTCTGCATGAAGGTACAGGTTTGATATTTTTGTTCATTCTTGGAATAGGTCCCTCTTATGCCCAGTTTTGAATTTTGAAAGGCACAAAAAAATCTCTTTTCCTCAGTTGTGTTTTGGTTTTTCCTAAAGCTCCTGTCTGATATTTATCTTTTTTCTCTACAGTAAGAGACATCAACCAGCTTAAATGTATTTGTGTAAAGGCTATTGTAGTGTTAAATCTTTGTAAAATTATTCTAGGGAACTTACATATGAGAAATTGTTAAAATATAACAACACCAGTCATCAAAGTTTGATTGTACACAGTGTTTCTTGTCACATTTTCCAGTGTGGCATAACTGTGACCAACTCCTCACCAATCCTAAGCAGGGAATGTTTAAGGCTCTTTAAGTTAAACAAGAAAAAATAACAGAACTAATGTGAAGTGATTACACCTTGTAACATTTTGGCTTGTAATCTGTCTTGCTGAGTCAATTTTCCTGCTTACTGGGTTCGTGAAATTGGTTACAGGTCTTTACAGGTGTGTAGGTATTGGCCAGTTTCTGTATTTTAATGCACTATGACTACATTGTCCATGACATGAACAGATTAAAATTTGTTCAATTATATGATACCTATATAGTATGAAGGAAGGTACATGTATGTGCTAGGTCAGGTGGCTACAGACTAATGGTGGAATGTCATCATTTGTCCGTCTTCTGAATTGGCTGTATTCTGATGGAAGGGACATAAATTTCACAGGGTTAATTTGAGCTGTTTAACTAGATTGTAATGTGCTATGTGTACATGTGTAAAAAAGGCCTTTTCAAAAAAAAAACAAAACAAGCCAGGAAATCCTGTTGTAAGATTGTATACCTTTGCATACTTTGACTACACAATATATGGTGTATTTAAGAGTAGCAGTGAAGTAGTAAACTTCGGTCATATTGCCTTTGCACTTATCCCCTTTATATAAAATGCACTTCAATCAATTATAGCTTTTGTATCAAAAGTTGCACACCCCTAGTCATCAGTTCTTATTACCTGTTTGTCTAGAGCAGTAGCATACCAAGCTGTGATAGGAAAGTCATAATGCATAACTAATGTCATTAAATGGTGCCAGTTTAAAACACTGTTTCTTGAAGTTCACACAGTAGCAGCTGCCTTCCAAAAACAAACAAGAAAATTGTATTCCAAGGAATCGGGGTATACCAAGATGAGATTTGTTGACATTGAGGAGAAGGAGCATTTCTTGGGATGGGGAACACCTTGCAAATACATCTTCCTTTTGGGTCACCATTCTTTTGTTGTTTTGTCTTGAACACTTTTTTATTCCTTAGTCATGAAACCAACACATTTAATGCAATTGAGGTTCTGCATGGCAGCCATTTTTCTGGTAACAGCTTTTGTTCCTCGGGGAGACACATGAGCAGACATTTTGTACTGACCCTCCATTGCAAAAGTGGTTACAAGAAGGATAGTTGCCATCTACAACCTCTGTTGTGGAACAGTCTGTCAAGATGAATCACACAGACAAATTTTAATCAGGCACATACTACATTGTTTAATAGTAACAAATGTACCTGTAGTGGATTTAACCATGTATTGGATGAAATGTAAAACCAATCGCTACGTATTGTTACCTCAGCAAAAAAGTTGTAAGCCCGTTTCCTCCACTTATTTATAACTATTAACAAAATATTCCTACAGTAATTATATAAGATTATTTTCAAAATGTACTCAAAATGCTACAACTTCAGTTTTATAGGTCACTTCATTGGACCCCCCCACACATGTATTGGTTAAGTTAATTTGAAAATAGGACACATAGCAGGTAAAAGACAGTTTGATTAACCATGTTCCCTAACATAAGACCAACATGTCTCCAAATTGAATTCTGAGAATTTAATATTACTGGAAAGATCTGGAAAAGGGATCTGGGAAAACCATGTAAGCTCTGCTGATATCAATTGATGTTACACCTGTGAAATATTAAAAGGAATCAAGTGTTTGATACCTGTCTTTTTTGGTTTAAGAATTTTTGTTTCTGTAAGTAGTAACTGATGCATACATGGCAACTTAACAGTTATTTAGTTGAAACTGGTAAGAAGGAACTTACATCAGTAATTTTTTTCCTTTTTCTTTCTGTCTGAAATTGATTTCAGACACGCCGCATTAGGTCACTTGGATGACTACTGAAATTAGTTTGTTTCTCCACACAAACCTGGTAATTATTTCATTTTCCACAGTTACCTTTCTGAACATTATATTTTCAACTTGGTTGGATTTCTCTGATAATTTCACTTTAACTTTTTTCCTGTATAATTTCTTTTGTTACTAATAAGTTATTATGTACTTGTATATTGCAATATATTGATTAATGTGTTAATGATTATGTAACAATTAAGAAATAAGAATGGTATTTGTCCCTTGTATAACCCCAAATATTTAACATTTATACACAAAGTGGTTTCAATTCACACGTACACGTAACACACAAAAAAGGAAAGAGAGCAAACAAGAAAAGAACTCAATCTACAGTGTGTTACGATGAGGTGCACATATTGGGTTTTGATCATAAATTCCGAAGGATCTCAGAAGAACTATGGGACTAAATGAGCTTTTCTGTAATTACTGTTTATCCAATGAGTTGCATACTGTTATCATGCATTACTTTGAGTTGTTGTTGCAATGAAATAGCAAATAAGAAGTAAAAACGGATAAAAGACATTGCACAGCCCATTGTAACGGCTACCCCAGCACATCACTTTGTCCTGTGTCTTTTGTGTCGGTCTCTTTTCAAGTTACAGTTTCCCTTCAATTTGATTTGTTAGGAATCTTGAATTGCTTTACAGTAAGCTGAAGTTTTATGTACGAAAAATCAGGTTTACCGTGTAAAATGTGCAAAGCAGAAGTCTGCCGCAGTAAGGAAAGAAAGCAAACTCAGTCAAAGCAGGTGGCAGTGTCAGAAAATAAATGCCCTTTGGATTTTATGGAGGTGTTAAGAAAGTGGTCCATGCCTTGATTACAGCGTATTCAGTCATCTCACTGGGAGGCAAATTCTCAGTCAAAATCTGCACTCGATCTTGTCAAACACTTGATGTCCTCTGATTTCAAGACGTGGATCTGGAAGTCAATATCGGAGTTGAACTCTTCTATATAACAGATACTTGGATTGGACCCTGCACTAAAGCCAGAGGTGGATCAGGTGCCTTGACTGACACGGTCGAATTTTGCTTCATTGGATTATCTTGGCCATGGCTCGTTGATACGGTTATTGGTCCCCAGACCATAGCTGCAGGTGGTTTCTCTGTTGTACCTGCTCTCGTCAGATTTACTTCTTTCTTGTTAGGAGTTGTGTTAATTTCCTCCTCGGAGTCTTCGCCTGCATTCATAGTTGGATGCAAGTCTTGGACTTCTCCTGCTCTCAGAAGCCGTCCGCTGCCAGATTTGCTCCAAGGAGCTCGCAGGTTGTAAGCCACAACAACGATTAAACCATACAAACCGCTGATGGGGTTAAACAGGGCCAGTACAGCCGCTACATCTAGCTTGGCCTCAAAATCATGGAAAGTTGTGCCAAGAATTAACATAGCCAGGGAGACATTGTGAAGTAGGATCTCTACACAGATACTGCGACGCTTCCAGATGTTTTGATGAAAGAGCCAAGCTAAGAGGTAGGCGGAGATCCAGCCAAGAGATGGGAGGAGGAGGATTGCAAAGACCATACCAATGGTGGTGTGCTGCATGTACCTCTCAAAGGCAACCACTTGAAGGATGCAATCACTGACAAAACTCAACAGACCAATCACAGTGCAGATCTAAAAGGAATAAAGAGGCCAATAAACAATTCAGACTTGACATCTTAGGGAGATAACAGGTGTAGGATAATAGTTTAAGTGCTAGATAACTCATAGCTTCTCTCACAAATTGATGAGTCAAACAGTTGCCGCCTAATTTCACAGAAGTGGTGAGCAGCAAAGATCGCTCAGCCAATTTCTGTGATAAGCAGTATTGAGCCAAGAACTAGTTGAAAATGACACACTTAGCAAGGCACTTTGGTTGGTAACCTGCTTAACAAGTTTCCATGCTGTGTAAATTGGCTCAAGCTATTGTATTAATATGGAGGGTTTTATATGGAAATGAAAAATGTCATCGTCAGATTTTTCAGACTGACTTTGGTGGTGTAGCATACCTTTTCAACAAACCAGGCCACGTATGCTGAATTCCTTTTGATGAAGTAGCCAATGATTGGTGATACAATGTGCAACACCAATCCTGAAATCAAAGGCCAAAGGGCAATGTGCAACGTTTGATGTGTCCAGCTACGTGAGTAGAGATGGAGCATGGCAGGTGCAAAGCCAATGGAAACGGCACTATTGACGGCTGTCAAACAGAAACTAAGAGAATAAAGCAACCAAGACTAATGATTGAAAACATGTTTGCACATTTTCACGTGATTTGTGTGAAAATGGGAAACAGAATACAAGTACACGTAACATTGTTCCATCAAAGACATTTCAAATGGCCACTTCACTCCAAAAAAAGAGCACCCAGAAAATGAAAAATAAAGGAAATAAGAAAAAAAATCTGCAAATAAGTATGCTATTCCTTTGTCAAACTTTGACGAACTCAATTGTACCCATGAGGATAAATTATAACTTCTAAGGCAATCCCAAGGGTTGAAGAATGCTTATGGAGGTGGTTTTCGTGAGTGCTTGGTTGGCAAAATTCACAAAAAATCCACTCACCTCAAGCACACATCTCCATTGATGTAAAAAGTCACCAAAGCAGTCAAGGCACTGGCTGGGCAAGCAGCTGTTAGTGTCATAGCAATGCTGTAGTGCCCAGGCAGGTTCATCAAGTGGTTAATCAGGAAGGCAGAAGCAGGGAACACCAGGTATTGTAACAAAGCCCCAGCCAATGTTCCTCCTAAGGTGTTCCACTGGCGTCGGAAGTCCCGTGGTTCGAGAACACAACCCATGGCAATGTTCAGCAACAGTGTTGTGATGAGCATCAAACAAGTGGTGGAGATGTAGACATACTCCGTGGTGTCCAATTCACCAAGATCTAAACCATCATCAGCATCCATTCTGAAATATTTCAATCTGCTCACTCTAGTGAATGATTTCTCATAGGAGTTTGTTATTTTTTTATTCCATATTTATTTGCTCTTATGGAACCACAGCTGTTGTCCAGAGTTTCTGCAATTGTTTATTACTAGCAGCTGTTTGAAAACTGAAATAAATTAAACCACTGTGTGAGATGTGCAGCCGTCACGCATGCTGCTCACTATGGTTGCTGGATCCCCAGAAACCTGCAAATCAGACTGGGTATGGTTTTGTCATTTGTATATATCATCTCGGAGGTCTGGTTAATTAAATTCTCTAGCCAAGCCAAAGAAACACAGCACGGCACTGAATCATACAGCACAATCGCCATAGATGTGGCACATTGTTCAGGTGCGTTTTAAGTTTCATATATTGCCTGCAGCTAGATCAGTTGAACAATTCATTATAGTCCCAGGCCAACCTGTCTTCTCTCCAACACCCGCAAACATGCTGGTACCAACTTACACATTGCAGTATCATCAAATACCAACTTAAATATTCATGTTAGTTGTTTTGCAACACAGGGTTCAAGTCATTTGTATTTACATTTTGGAGTGGTCAGCTAATTTGGAACTGACTTTTATCGATAGATACTGAAGAGGCTTCCATTTTGAGATTTCATCATTCAGTTCTCAGGTAACTGGAGCTAGCTAGTAACCTGAGTAAGACTGTAACACTATATCCCACAGCAGAAAATCACACAAAGCTTATCATTGCTTGCTGTAACAGTCTTAAATCTTATCAACCTGGAAGTTCATCCTCAGGAATGTTTGCTGTATTCAGAAAGAAATAATTTTTTTTATACAGCCAAATAGTTGAGACAATTACAGACACATTTTAAGACAAGACATTGGATTAAGGTCAATTTAGAAAATAATAAATAGAAACCAATGCAATATAAATTGACTTTTCCTAACGGAAAGCCCTTTTAACATTTGAAAATATGTAACAAAAATGTCACATATGACTTAATTCGGTAGCCAATTTATCCCTGGAGTTGCACATTTCCCCTAGCTATGTTGAACATGCTTTTTAAGCAAAGGACACAAGTTATTTGGCACATTTCTTACATTCAAAGCAGGGTAGAATACTTTGTAATATAAATAAATCAAAACGGACATGAATTATTTAATTATGGAAGTTAAATGTACATTTTTAATATGCAGTTTAATCCACAATTTGAGATACAATTGTCGTATTTGTCATTTATTCTACTGGCCTTGGTTTTCTTTCCTGACAGTATGTTTTTCTGGTGATCACAAACCGATAACCCCGGTACCAGCAAAATGTTAAGATGATGTCTGATGGATGGAAAAGGAAAAACTTTAATTTAACAGATGCCATTATTGTGAGGTTAATGCCTAGTTTTATAAGCAGCTATAAAAAAGACACTGATGAATTTTATTGCTTGAAATCTTCATGTGTGTGTGACATTAACATTTGGATCCTGTCAAAATGGTATTTCTCTCTACTTTTCTGTCCAACTTTTTGGAGCATTTTTTGCTAAAATAACGTTTAGGGGAACTTTATTCCAGCTTCCCCATCAAAAACATTGGGTTGCCACAGCACTCTTGACACCAACTCTATTTTGCAAGTTTGTTTCTATTCTGCTAGAGGTCCAATCTCAGATGTTTTTATTGCAATCCTTGTTTTTATTCTGGTTTGAAAGCTGAGAAAAGCCTGATTTGTAACCCTTTCCAAAAAGGTTACATAATGACAATGTGACATAGGTGCACTGGAACACACCCTCATGCTTCCTATCTCTCTTCAGGTAGATGCCTGTCCCACAACCAGACACCCCTCCCCCCACTCAAAATGTACAAAAGAACAATCTTTGAAAAAAAAAAGCACATAAACCAAAATAAAAAATGACACCAGATACACAGATTCAAGAACAAGTTATGAAACTAATTCTTTTAAATCTCACTTTCTGTACAAAGGTGATGGACTTCAGCCAAATTGAGCCACTTTGAGTTAACTAGAAGATTAATGCAATCACATTAAATGCATTGAAATAACATGAAAATAACATTTTACTTGCAAAGAAATCAATGCAAATTAAGGACACAATCATGTGATACAAAGTCAAATCATGTTTTAGTTGAATTTAATTTGTCAAAAAAGGTCACATGACAAGTCTATAAAAACAGACTAGTGTTGCTGTACATGAAATCCAATACATTGCCTTGTATAAGGAACCTATGTATCCCATGGCAAAATGCCACAATATCCAAATGTCACGTACATATTCCTGCAAAGCTCAAAGTCACAACTTGATAACAACTGGAATAAATCATCCATTGATTGCCATGATATGGGATACATTTTTTTTACCCTACCCCATCAAAGATGCACAGCACATTGATCCCTCTGGTGTAACAAACGCTATATCCCACATTACAACAGTCAATAATAGTTTCAAGTTTCCCATGTCTCCAGTCCAACCAAGACTTTGAAACCTTTTGTTACAAGGGCTTACAAAGTCTCTTATCAAATGTAGCTGGCATGCAATCCAAACAGTTAAATCAATACGGGCGTTTCACAAAAGTGCGTCTCCAAGAGTCTGCAACACATTGGCCAATCACAATGTGAGATATCTGTTGACCCAATACGCATTTGGAAAAGGTCAACAGATTTCGCCCATTGTGATTAGCCAATGCGTTGTAAACTCTTGGAGGCGCACTACTGTGAATCGTCCATAATAGCCATTAATCCTAGAATGTAACCAGAGTTTGAACTGTAATTACAGATAAAACATACAAATATTTGAAATACCCCATAAACTCGCAAATCCAAGTTTTAGTAAACTTACAGCTAGCAATCAATGCCTTTTCAAATTTCATCTCTGTATCTGAACACTCAATATCTGTTTACCCAGAAGTATAAGAATCCATACGATGGTTGGCAATCACTGCAAATATATTTTGAAATAACAAAACAAAAATGACCCCCCCCCGAAAAAAGGGGGGAGGAATGATTTTCAATGCAACAAAATACTTAATGTTCACATCTGAATACTTTGAAAAGGGGAAAATTGCAAAACGTTTGAAGGTCCAAGTCTTACAAGCTAACAAAATAAAAATATTTCCGGACATCTTGCAGTAAAAACAGATGAGGAGTTGATAATTTTTCAAGATGTATTTTTGCATTGGGGAGATGTTTATTGTATATAACGGGTTTGCCCTTACCCAATGTATATATAGGGCAAACCCGTTATATAATTAACATCTCCCCAACGCAAAAATACATCATGAAAATAGTTCCCGGTACCCGCTGCTTCTTTTGACTCGGACCGGCCAGCCGACCCCGGCAAGC